AGGGGGGGATTTATATGTCTTTACGATGGAACAAATTCACAAGAACTTGTGTATTTGAAAAAAATAAACTCAGTACCCCAAACTGGAAACTGGATATTATATCTTTGGAATATGAAAAATGGGAAAATTTGGAGTCATAAGAATAAATTCAAGTAGCATGTCTTATCATGTCTTACATATACGTGATCCCCCCCTCCATCCAATCCCCCCCTCCATCCAATATTAATTTATTTCGATTATTTTTTGTATAACGTATGGAAACTAACTTTAAAAAATGAGCAATGTCATTAGTATTGTGATAATAATGTCCCTTATACCTATTTATTACAGGTCGTGTAGACCACTGTTGCCCGATTTATAGCAAAAACATTGAGTTTTGCACGTTGATGATGATGCGCCTTTTTTAATAGATCTCATATCTTTGAAGGTATCAATTCAAAAAAAATACTAGATGAGCTAACATATTTTGCCATGCACTGCGCCTATTCATTTGGCAATTCAGTTGTAAATTTTCTCTTGAAAAAATAAATCTTCCAAATTTGTTGAGTTTTCTTGCAGAAATCGCCTAATCCCCCCCTCCATCTATTTTGTACGATCACTGGGCGTGTTAGTACAAGTTTACAATTACTAATAAGAGCTGATTTGGTTCAAATTTTATATACTGATGCTGAGGACAAAGGACCTCTGCTCAAGAAAAAATTGTTTAAGATGGCAGCTGAATTTCAAAATGGCTTTTGATAATGACAGTTTGGGATTTCCTAGACTTGTAGCTATTTTTGCATAAACTACCATGGTAGATCATTGAATTTCTCACATTACAATATGCATTTATAATAATAACTGTATCATGATGATAGTATTTTTCAACTCAACCCCTAATGTATCTTAGCTCATATAATGGTTCCTCTTGCTTTATTCTAATTTTCATCATTTGCATAAGTGAAAGCTAATTTCATATATTTAGCAAAGTATTTGGTCCAAAGGGATTATGAAATATAGAAATCAAGCATTGTCATCTATTTCTTATAACATTTTACAAGTGTCATCCTTTTTCTACCAGTGTCATCCTTTTGTGGTGTCATCCTTTTATGGTGTCATCTTTTTGTGGTGTCATCCTTTTCTTCCAACCGCACTGGTTATTGGTTATGATGGTTCACATTTTGTCGTTTTGGTTCATTGACTTTGATGTAAGGCAATATTTGCAATTATGGAATCATGGGGATAAGATATATATACTGATATTATCTCCATCAGCATGTAGCCATTTACCCTGATCAACATCAGCTAGCTATATGACCCTCTTACTATTAAGATATTGATTCTGATATTATCTCCATCAGGTACTGCAGCATGTAGCCACTTACCCTGATCAACATCAACTAGCTATATGATATGACCCTCTGATTACTGTAATTGATTGAATTTAAAGATTTAAGTCTGATACGATCATGTTGATCTCAAATGAAGGGTCTCATGGCACTTTATGGGAATTTATATATAAAATGAATATCAGCAAAATGATGGTATAGAAAATGTAGTTTGATGACTTTCTAGGTTTATATTCTGGTTAAGTAGACTAGCTAGAAGATTTCATGGCCAGTGTATTTCTAAATAAGGTTAGATGTTGAAGTAAAGACTCATTTATCTCCCCAAAAGCGCAACCTGTGGCCCATTAACAGAAACTTCATAGTTTAAGAATTAGTAATACCCATTGTTCTCTAACTGTGATGTCATTATATCCATGGTTACAACAATTGATTTACGAATTTGTAACTTTACTTAGTTTTTGTTAATGACCCCTAGATATTAGCAAAAATTCAAGGACAACAAAGAATTGTCCCAGACCTGTAGCTATGGAGATCATATAATGACGCAGAATGATGTCGTAGATTATGAAATTTCCTCTTTGCCACAATAGTGTGTCAGTGTAATGGCCAAGTGTGTTAATTGGCTCTTAACACCGCAATACAACAAGTACTTAGTAACCTAGTAGATACAGAGATCGATTCTTTGATTAAAACCAAGTCCCTTGTTATTTTAAGCTAAACCAGCTTCAGAATATTGGCCATAGCACTCCTTTTATTTAAGATAATTTTTATCATGTGTTTTTATATCACCTTAAAAAATAAAAATTCAGATGATGTTTAGTCAATTTAGCTATAGCGAGATGTATATTTCTGTAACTGATGAAAGTTAATATTTTATGAATGCGGATAAATCATATGTGGAGACAAACATTCTGGAAATACAAAATGAATACAATTTCTTGTTGACTTGGAATGTCTAGTAGGGTTTATGGAGACATGATAAGAGAGTTATAGAAAGTTATAATTATTGGTCTTAGAGGATAACATAAGTCATCAATCAAAGTCGTTGTCTTTAGAATATCTCTCATTTGGTCTCCGCTTGTCTCTTTCATAAAACAGAATTCCTTGACCTCTGGTGTAATTATAAAACTCACTGTTGATATGGTTATAGGTCAAGGAAAGAATAGATTTAGAATTACAAAATAACAGAATCTCTATTGATTTAAGAGAGCTGTCTCAAATCTAAGGGATTAAAAGTCCAATTTATAGTTATCCCTGAAGGATCAGGAAAAGTACACAAACACTATTATTACAGTTAGTGACTCTACTTTAGCAGGGGCTTCATTAGTAGAAAGTATAAGTCCACTTATTGTTTTGACCAAAATCTTTTTTGAAAATTTGGATAATATTTCTAACTTGGGATCTCCAATTACGTAAATGTGAGAATTCATCAATATCTACTTATCAATCAGTCTCTTGTCGGTTCAGAATATTGATATGAGTCTGTCAGAAAATGTTATTAATTACATTTCGATTAAATTTTCCTTTCTTTTAAAAGGAGCCAAAAATATTTGAAAGCTTTTCTGAACCAGGAGCTTCGATAAAAAATAGTTGATGCTTTAGAGAGTTGATTGGACTTAGACTTAAAGAAATGTCAAAAAAAATTCTGTAAAAATAAATGGGAGAATTATGGTAACTTTTTACATCACATCAGTTTTGACATAATTCCCTACCTAATAATATGACATTAATGTTTTGTCTTAACTGCTTAATTGTATTGTATATTTATTGCCTCATTTATATGAGAGAATACATTTTAGTATACATATGGTTTACATATAAAATATAAAATACAAGGATAAGATTAAATTATGTGATAAAAAAGTTGTTGTTTTGGAAAACATGAAAATAAAGTGATAGAGAAATTATGTGTCAAGCAGAGCCAACAGGTTGGCTCTGTGATTGTACATTTTGTGTACACATGATGATACAATTATTAACGTCTCACATGAAACATCTGAGAGACCTAAAACTTTCTTCATAATAACACCCATACTGTCACCACGACAGCCAAGGGCTTCAAATATGTTATGCCTATATGGTTCATACATAGGGCATCTTAATATAAAATGTTCAATTGTTTCAGTTTCACAGAGGTTACACAATATACATCGTTTTGAACCATTGAAGTTGTTCGTATTTAATACATGGGCGTTACATATCAATTGCATCATAGTTTTACACTGGCTTTGACATTTAGGATATTTCTGACAAATCAACCACCATATGCAAGGTTTTAAGTCTGTGACATAGTCACGTAGGTATAAAAGTTTGCCATAACATGAGCATTGCAAGAAAAATTGCTTGACCTCGACTGATCTTACAGCATTGACAATTTGCAGTCTCCATGACCTCTTCGACGGAAGATATCCAGAGTCCAGCGCATTTTTAACCAGATTTTCAATTCCTAGCATTTTGGTCTTAAGGAAAATGCGCCGGATAGGAGAGAAAATATCGGCATGGTTGTCATAAGTGACATGAAACATCTTTACTAACCGTGTTATAGTTATATCCCTGTAAATATTATTAAACCTAAGTAAACTCCAGAGATACATCATCTGCAACACTGTAATATAGCCGTCTATTGACAACCATCCCAACGGCATCGTTGCACTAGGATTGGCTGAGGTTTTGGGGAAAAATTGGATACGTTTGCCAATCTCCCTATGAGTCAATTCAAGCTTTTCAACATCTGACGCTTGGTAATTTATAACTGGTGCCCCAAACAGCATGGTTGGAATAGAAAAGGCCCAGTACAGTTTTGATGCTGTTAAGGGTGACAAACCACCTGTTTTGTGCCCCAGTCCCAAAAGTGAGCAGAATTTTCGCTTACCACTAGTGCAGCGATCATTAACATATTGTGAGATATCATTTTTACTAGATATTGGAATACCAACATGAACAGTGAAATTGACCTTTGGAATTCTCGTGTCACCTATCTTGAGAACGACATGACCTTTAACACTTGAATCAGTGACCATATCATTAAATGTCAGAAAGTTACATTTCGCTGGATGGATTTCATATCGCCATCTTCTACTATGTTCAAAGGCAGCGTTTAACATAAGTTGCATATCCTTTTGATTTGTGGCAATAATGGTTAATATATTTCAATTAGGATTGGCAGAGACAGTTTTATTATAGGAGTAGAAACATTTTTATATTGCAATCAAAGTTCCATAATATGTAATGGCTTCTTTATTCAATAGTTGCAAGCTTTCCATTGACATAAATGTAATTTGCTCTTGACTAATATACCATTCGAAATATATAAAATATATATATAAGGGGATAACCATAAATTCTTATAAAACATCTTTACAAATTTTATAACATTTTACACAGCAATTGCCTGTAAAAAGTATTTTTCTTCTGGCTTTGTTTATCTTAGTCCAGGTGCCCTCAGTTTCATTATCGTTGAGTTATGATTGCTAATTGCAACTCAGGTACCTGAATGTACCCTGGATTTGCTCAAAATGTTATATAATTTTGTTTTATAACTTGTTTTTTTATTTGTTTTTTGGTAGGGTGAGCCCCAGCTAAACTGGAGCGTTTTTGTTCCCAACGAGGAATTATTTGTTATTGTTTGTTCTTTTATGTCTGTTGTGTAATGTTTAATGCTTTATTATTCAGGATGAAAGGTTTGACTATAGAGCTAGATGAGACGAAGAAACAGAGAGATACTCTACAAGCTGAGCTGAATGCCATTAAAACAAGCTCTACAGAGGACATTTACATGGCACAGATAAAAGAGGTATGTTTTTGTTCTACATGTATATTTCATCCCCCTCCCTCTTAGTATTTTACATAGTTTTATGATAAAATAGAATGTCAGTAATTCTTATACATGTGAGAATGTGTACTGTAAACCATTTGTTCTCTATAGTCCCACAATCATTTTTGTGTTGTTACTACGTTTTTGGTAATGTTCTTGTGTTATGGTTTTAGTTATGTTACTATGGTTTTAGTGATGTTGCTGTGGTTTTAGTGATGTTACTATGGTTTTAGTGATGCTACTATGGTTTTAGTGATGTTGCTATGGTTTTAGTGATGTTACTATAGTTTTAGTGATGTTACTATGGTTTTAGTGATGTTACTATAGTTTTAGTGATGTTACTATGGTTTTAGTGATGTTACTATGGTTTTAGTGATGTTACTATGGTTTTAGTGGTGTTGCCATGGTTTTAGTGATGTTACTATGGTTTCAGATGGAGAACACATTAGCTGAGCAGAGCAAGGAGATACAAGCGGGTAAAGACAAACTGCTGGCACATGATGCTGCTGCAAAAAGGGCCATCACTAAATTACAACAGGAGCTTAAACACAGGCTGGACCAGGTATATGCTAGTGTTATTGTGAATCGGAAGTTTTTGAAATTCAAAATTTTTTGTCCTTCAAACGCAGATTTTGTAAATTAGAATTTCACATATCACATGTTGGTAAGAATTTCACATATCACATGTTGGTAAGATTAAGAAAAGACTACAATACAAGGCAAGGCAGTTTAAACTTTACATGTGACCTTTAAACAATACACCCACATTGCTCTTTCATTCAGGTGTCTAAGATGTACAAGGACTATCTCAGAGAGAAGGACAGTTTAAACTTTACATGTGACCTTTAAACAATACACTCACATTGCTCTTTCATTCAGGTGTCTAAGATGTACGAGGACTGTCTCAGAGAGAAGGACAGTTAAAACTTTACATGTGACCTTTAAACAATACACTCACATTGCTCTTTCATTCAGGTGTCTAAGATGTACGAGGACTATCTCAGAGAGAAGGACAGTTTCATGTGACCTTTAAACAATACACTCATATTGCTCTTTCATTCAGGTGTCTAAGATGTACGAGGACTGTCTCAGAAAGAAGGACAGTTTAAACTTTACATGTGACCTTTTAACAACACGCTCACATTACTCTTCTATTCAGGTGTCTAAGATGTACGAGGACTGTCTCAGAGAGAAGGACAGTTTAAACTTTACATGTGACCTTTAAACAATACACTTACATTGCTCTTCCATTCAGGTGTCTAAGATGTACGAGGACTGTCTCAGAGAGAAGGACAGTTTAAACTTTACATGTGACCTTTAAACAATACACTTACATTGCTCTTCCATTCAGGTGTCTAAGATGTACGAGGACTGTCTCAGAGAGAAGGACAGTTTAAACTTTACATGTGACCTTTAAACAATACACTTACATTGCTCTTCCATTCAGGTGTCTTAAAGATGTACGAGGACTGTCTCAGAGAGAAGGACAGTTTAAACTTTACATGTGACCTTTAAACAATACACTTACATTGCTCTTCCATTCAGGTGTCTAAGATGTACGAGGACTGTCTCAGAGAGAAGGACAGTTTCATGTGACCTTTAAACAATACACTTACATTGCTCTTCCATTCAGGTGTCTAAGATGTACGAGGACTGTCTCAGAGAGAAGGACAGTTTCATGTGACCTTTAAACAATACACTTACATTGCTCTTCTATTCAGGTGTCTAAGATGTACGAGGACTGTCTCAGAGAGAAGGACAGTTTCATGTGACCTTTAAACAATACACTTACATTGCTCTTCCATTCAGGTGTCTAAGATGTACGAGGACTGTCTCAGAGAGAAGGACAGTTTCATGTGACCTTTAAACAATACACTTACATTGCTCTTCCATTCAGGTGTCTGAGATGTACGAGGACTGTCTCAGAGAGAAGGACACTTTAAACTTTACATGGGACCTTTAAACAATACACTCACATTGCTCTTCTATTCAGGTGTCTAAGATGTACGAGGACTGTCTCAGAGAGAAGGACAGTTTAAACTTTACATGTGACCTTTAAACAATACACTCACATTGCTTTTCTATTTAGGTGTCTAAGATGTACGAGGACTGTCTCAGAGAGAAGGACAGTATGGTTGTGAAGTTTGCGCAGGGTGAATCCAAGATCCTTGAGCTCCAGAAGACAATTGATAAGATGGACAAACAGATCAGGGACAGTGTCAAGGAGAAAGATATGATGGCATCTAAGATGAAGAACATGAGAGTTGAATTCAAGGCCATGGTCACACAGCTGGAGAAGAAGGTACTTGCTCCATGTAATCTCCCCCGCATTACCTTTTCAAAAGCTTTTCATTTCATGAGTGTAGCTATGAGGCAAGCGTCTCACGAGAACTTTTCAGAAAATTAAGTCTCAAAAGTTTTTTAAGCAAAGCTGATAAAAATATGTCCAATAGAAGTATAATATAATCTTTGCCTCGTGTCTTTCTTGCTTATTTGAATTTGCCTCGCTTATTTCTGGGATCCTGGCTATTTCCTTGGTGTTTAGCTTGCCTCAGTGCCTCACCTGTTACCAATAAACCTTTGAGCTTGCACAAAAAAGATTCTCAATATATGTTAACATGTCAGTGTGGGAGCAGTTTTCTCTGATTGGTTGGGGCCCTAATATAGTTTCAGACCCTTCTTTAGAATTGCTCTAGAATATCAAAAGTAATATTTACATTACACACATGTATTTACACTAAACCATATGTTTCACTAATCAGGAACTAAAATAGACTTGAACAATTAAAAAGGAATTTAATGAAATCCAGATTGTTTAACATGATTAAATATTGAAGTATTAATTTGTTTGACTTTCATTAATTTACATTTTTATGTGTTTAATTGAAATTGCAGAAATTCAAATATATTTGGAATTTATCTCAAAAGTTCATGTTTTTTTTTTAAAAATAGAAATCTTCTTAATAACATAAGTGTTGATATTTATTCAAAACATATCTGTTGTAATTGCAACGTACTGTACAAAAATATAGGCTACAAACAAAATATATACAAAACTACTAAACTCGATCTGTTTCACTATATCCCTTAAACTACATGTTTTTAAAGAGAACATGAACATGTAGTACATGTACTATCACCCTCTGATCTATTTTCCTCATACCTTTATACCTTTATTCAGGCAACTCGATATGAAAGGGAAAACTGAATCCTAGAAGGACATGAATTCTAGACTTTCAAGTTATCTTTGAAACATGTAGCTTACATTCTCTGTTATCAACCCACTGAATGAACTAGTTCAGTTGGGATATAGTGAAACCATCCATTTGAAAAGATACAATACCACTGTTCTACTGTCTGGTTCTGTCTGTCATGTAATGTAATGTCAAAATCATGAGTAATTTGATAAAATATGTTTTGTGTGGTGGGATTTGCTGCTCCAGTGAGTTGCTTTTTCTATTTTTCCTCATGATGATCATATTGTGATTGTATTTCAGACCACTGACCATGCTACCCTCACAAAAGAGTTCACTGCTTACAAGGATAACATCTCATCACAAGACGTTAAAGTTAAGTGGGCAACAAACAAACTCAAGGCTGAACAAGATGCTCATAAGGTATTCTATTGTACAAAGTCTACACTTGTAATCCTCTACTGCAGTTACCCCACACTCTCCCACTTATCCTTACCCCAATTATCCTTTACCTCTGTAACTCTTTGGCTCAGATACTATTTCCCTCAGTTATTCTTATCCCAGTTATCCCTTACCTTTTTTTAGCCTCTATCTCAGTTATATTTTAGTCCAGTTATCAGTTATCCTCATCTCTTATTATCATGTACAAATATATATATAATTCATATATCTACTCCCTTTATTATTTTTTTTCCATTTTTGACATACAGTATACATTGAAATCTTCAAATTGAAATGAATTAGTTCAAATCAGTTTCAAACTAGTACCTCCAGTGTTTGATCCCTTTCATGCTTTTTGAGTGAATAAAGAAACAGCACTGCTGTAATATTAACTGTACATGTATTTAGGAGACTAAAGAGAAGCTCACCCAGATGACCAACCGCTTCAAGGAAGCAAAGGAAGAGACTAACATCATCAGACGCGACTGCCAAGCTATGATTAAAACATATCAAGTAAATAATATACTTTATCCCATGATTATTGTTTTGGCCCTATGATAACAGTCAGTGATATTATAGTTTTAAGTGTGATATTTTCATTAACTGTTAATAATTTGACTCAAATGGGTACAGTACAAGTACATGCAATAATAGAGTTTGACTACAGAGCGCATAATCATCAAATCATTTGATGTGACATGTACATGTATTTTAGATTTCCATAAAGCATGTCTTAGCTCTCCATTGTGAGCGATCACTGCCTGCATATTGTTGCTTATTTGAAAACAGAGAGATATGATGAGTATTGCTATGGGAAATTTATATTTCCATTGCTTTTATAAATCTCCATTATTTTCTACATCTCCATTGTTAGACCTCAGAGGATATCAAGTCTGTTTCACTGGACAAAGAACTACAGAAGAAAGAAGATGAACTGAAGATGCAGATACAAGAGAAGACTGATCAGGATGAGGTATCTGCTCCCTCTCATTGTAACAGTGATCATATCAAGCATTGTAGAAAAAATCGGAGTTAATGACGATTTGATTAATCAAAAGAGACAATTCACATCTAATCTTGCACTGTATACATGTATTTATGAAATTTTGATAAAAGATTGCTGCATGCCTATTACTAAACTTAAGTTGATTTCTTTTTAAAAAGGGACTAAAAGTTCAACTGTCTGGGTGTGATAACTCAAGAACTGGTTTTCAGAATTATTATATATGTTGATTTTTTTATATTATTTTAATTTGTGATCAATATATGAGACCATGCTTATTTAAGATCATTCAATTCCATATATGATTTCAATATTTCAGGTTCATAATATGATTATTTCAAGTTCATAATATGGTCATTTCAGGTTCATAATATGATTATTTCAGGTTCATAATATGGTGATATCAGAGTTAGAATCTTTGAAGAAGAAACACAAAGAACTATTAGAAGAGCTGAGAATATATAAAGACAAGGCTCAATGTCTGGACGCTGAGCATATTCGCAGTGAAGAAACTCTCAATAAATTCAAAGAAATTATCCAAAGACAGAAACAAACTAATCAGGAATTAAAAGATAAAGTAGAATACCTAGATAATGTGGAAAAGGATTTGAATCAGTAAGTAATTTGAAAAGTTTGAAACCTGAATCAAGATATCCTGTTATTTTATTTCTTACAATATTATAAAACATGTATTTACGATTTAGTTTGTAAATAAGGGATGGTATTTGATAATCAGCACTTGTGGAATAACAAAGCTTATTTCATTAGGGGGGGGCTATGTAAAGGTTTCATCAGCGAAAAGTGTTGATTTTTTAGATATTCAGGTTAGAGACAAATCAACATTTTAGAATTTCATTAAATTAGGATAACAAAATTAATAATTTTTTTTTACGAGTGTTGATAATTGGACACCATGCCTAATGGATATACATGTACATCATACATGTATTATGGTCAGTAGGAATGACAAATGAGGTGATCGTTTTTGTAAAACTAGATTTTGTTTTTGAAATTATTCCTCAACACTACATGTTCATTTTGGAACAAACATATCTTTTAATCAATGTCATAGAATATTTTTTTGAGACATGCCTTCTTGTTGATTTCTCCAGTGAGCGAGTTAAATGTGAGACTCTGCGGGAGCAAGTACAGTCAGTGGAAGAGCAACATAAAGATACAATTGCAGAGATTGAGCTGTGCCGTACCAGGGAAGGAGAAATGTTGGAACTCACTCAGAAACTAACTGCCAAAAATGCTACTCTACAGTCTGAAAACACTGGCTTGGCAACCAAGGTATTGTTTCCAATTATATTTCCAGTGGCTTTCCATATGGAGAGAAACTTTAATAAAGTCTACAGTTAAAGCTCTCTAAAGTGCCAAAAGAAGACAATAGTACCTCATAACTGCCTGGATATTTCTGTCATGTAATGATCAAAATGATGAATGATTTGATATAATGTGTTTTGTTCAGTGGTATTCGCTACTCTGAGAAGTTGCTGTGAGACTCTATCTGCTTTATATGGGCTTATAAGCCTTTTGCAGATTATTGACATTGACATAGACATAGACTCATAGGTTTTCATAATTCTCCACAGGATACAGTACCCAGTATACAGGGACCACTGTAATCAAAATGTGATACAATTATCTATAAGGCCATGGACTTGAATATAACATGCACTCTCCCCTTCATATTTCAGTTGAGCACTCTAACCACAGACCACCAGAGATTGAATGAATTGAGCCAACAGCTTGAGAGGAGAAATAACATATTGGTAAGATATACCATTTTCATAACAATCAATACAACATGTTGCTCAATATATATTTTACATGTTTATGCTGGTAATGTAGATTTGCATGCGATTGAGTATAGTGAGTGAGGAAGTATTTATGTGTTTAAATTTTAAAAATGTTTAAAAAAATTAAATTCTAAAAGTTTGAAATTTTTTAAAAAGTTAAATGTTGTATTGAACAAAAGGACTATTATGAAAATGTTAAATATAAATTGTACGTTTACAGTATCGACATATCTTTTCATTTGAAAAAGGTGGAAAATGTTATATCTACCCCAAACCCTCTCAAGTATGAGATACACCAGTTATGTACGGTCAGTTTTGGATATAGGGTATATCCCTCAGGAAATATTTATGTCTCCTCTTGGTCCCTTCGGTCCCTCGGGGAGATGTAAATATATCAGGATATACCCTATATCCAAAACCTCCCAGTACATAACCCTTATATACTCACCCTATACAAAGTGAGGAAGCATGAATACTGAAAAGGACGAGAAAAATATGATTATTAATTATATCAGATTCCAGGCTTTTTCATGAGTGGTAGATATTAAAACCTCCATGCAATGAAACACATTGTTGTGATGCCATATAAATCTCCTGCATTAAATCATGTTGAGATGAGAAATTGCTATGAGTAGGAAATCAGCTCAGTTCAGCGGTGCTATTCTTTTTTTGCCACATTTTCTCGTCCTTTACCATATCCTTATGGTTGACCTCACTTTGTCTTATGTGATACTTAATCTGGAAATATGATATGTGTGGCCTAAAATATGAGGATGAAGAATGAGAAAAGGTCATGTGATGAAGAATGAGAATAGGTCATGTGATGAAGAATGAGAATAGGTCATGTGATGAAGAATGAGAATAGATCATGTGATGAAGAATGAGAATAGGTAATAGGTCATGTGAAGAAGTATGAGAATAGGTCATGTGATGAAGAATGAGAATAGGTCATGTGATGATAGTTAATGTGATCATAGGGATCAGCTTGGGAGCTCCATAAATCTCCCCTCATTCCAAAAAAAGCTTTTTCAAAATGTGACTTGCAATTCTAAAATATATTTCAAAAATAAAAAGTTGTAAAATCGTTCAATTCTCTCCCCACAACATTCATAAAATGATGGTCGTTTAAGTCGTATGAAAGGAATACCCTTGAATTTGTCTTAATGCTTAATTTTATTAATGTGTTATGCTTTTAGTCAGAGCAGCTCTCAGAGGAACAGAAGTTAAGGAGTCAGGAGGCAGATATAAGCAAAAAACAGTTGGAGGCCAAATCTAAAACAAGTAAGATTTGCTCTTGGATCAGGTTCCTAAGTCCTATGATTACAAGATATGATGATTTAGATCATACTAATTATGTACATATATTTTTTAATGACACTTCTATGCCATAATATGATGTACCATACTACACAGCCAACCCACATCCATGTGGAACCCATGCCACAAGGATCCACGTGGATTCCGCATGGATCGGATTTGGGGTGTAGTCTATGCAAAAGTGAATCTACGCAATCCCCCCTCCCCACAAAAAGAAGCAATTTTGTAAAATATGTTGAAAAACATTAACATTTTGTAATTTTGTAGTTTGAAATGCTTAGAATGCAACATGCAATGTAAGTTGTTAAAAATTTCTGGGGTGAACCCTGTACCCTTCCCCCCTTTTTGGGGCCCTTGAAGATTGCGCCCCTGTACAAAATGACATGTTTACATCACATATTACATAGTACTATAATATCTGAACCAATTTGATGCATCCTGAATGTTTAACTCTGTATTTGTAGTTGCTGAATTGACCACCAGGGTGGAAGAAGAAAAAGATGAGAATAAAACTCTGAAGAGAAAGCATGCAAATAATATCAAAGTTAGTATCAATCATATTCATGAATGTTGTCAGGATCTAAAAATAGCCTAGCAAATTAAATACAGTGAAACCTGTTTAAGTGGAACATCTTTGGTACTTCCAAAATGTGTTCAACTTAGGTGTTCCACTTACAGAGGTTCAATTAACATTAAGTCACTTGGTCATTGCACTCTTAAAGTTTTTCAGTTTCAGAGGAAGCAAAATTGAGTTAAAGTCAAAATATATACTAAGTATAATGCCTCACATTTATGAATTTATTATAGAATTTATGGATGTGTATTTGTATAACAGTTTTTATGCCATCACCACACGTTTGGTGGTTGGTGTTCAGTGTTTGGTGTTCGACATTCAGAAGTCTGTAACAAATGGCAGGTAGTGACACTTTGTATGTTAATGCATTGTTTTCTATTTCTGGAGGGTATAACATATATACTTCTACATTTTGCTATTACAGGACCTGACCAGACAGCTTCAACAGGCCAGGCGTAAGATGGAGAACATGGAGTCGCATATTGTAGGAGAGAACAACCCAATGAGTGGTAGCTCTCGTACAAGCTCAAATGGCTCCCTTGAAACTGCAGTAAATCAAAACTCAGGCAATAACAGTGGACCAACATCAAGGGCCTCTAGTCAGGAACCAGCAATAAATGTAAGTCGGACCCCTTATTAATTATATGTATGTTTATCTGTGCCTAAGTGGTCATTCCAAAATGTCCCTGTCCAAATTGTCATGTAGTTAATGTGTATGTTTAGCCAGTCAGTCATATATTCTAATAAACATATAATTAACTTCATAATGATAAGAGTAACCTTTCTAATGGTACATATGCTTTCTTACTAGGCTGAACTGAGATTTATAGATCAATGTCAAGAGTAGCCTATTACTAGAATTTGAAGATGAGAAAAAATATCATTGGCACTAAGTTAACAGATAGATGGCAGTAGTTTTATGTTTATATCTTAGACCAGTAATGCCATATTTTTGTCGACCGAGAAACTATGTGAAATATGCCTGAGATTTCATAAATTCTATGTTATATTGCATGTATATTGTAATCGCTGTGTTAATATTATTAATGATTCTATCCATCCCAGGAGGACTTGGACCCACCAGTACAAGTGGTTGAAGTTGACAGACAGATGCTGATTGAGAAGATAGTTCGTCTCCAGAAAGCTCATGCCAGGAAGAATGAGAAGATGGAGTTCATGTCTGACCATATCAAACAACTCTTAGATGAAGTACAGAAAAAATCAAAGTAAATTTGAAAACTTTAAGTCCATTGTACATAAATCAAATGAATTATAGAAAAATAAAAGCAGTGAACAACAAGGTGATTTCCATAAGTGGTGACATATTGTTATAGTCTATAACTTTTTTGTGGATGATGTTTAGCGATTGGTGTTTGGTGTTCGGCAATTGGCTTTCGTAACAAATGGTAAGGTGGTGACATTTAGCATGTTAATGCCTTGTCATTACTCGACTTAGATTTTACAATCATAATTATTAAATACATACGACATAAGGATTTGAAAGATTATGTTTTCATTTTCTCACAATGTATAGAGTGTACCAATTTGAATGTGTATCTAATTAAAACTATAATAATATTTTTGACTTTGATTTAGGATTATTGGTAACTACATCATGCGGGAAGAGTCGGGAGCATTAGCCTCTGAGTCCATGGATGAGAATAAGGTATGCTCCCCTGTTACAGTTACCATGGTAGCTGGGACATCTCAATATATGTGATTGATCAAAGCCAAACACAGGCCTTTCAATAATGTTTCAATAATGTTCAATGCTGCTATCAAAGGATATCCTCCCTTGAATTAATTCATAAGTTAGAAAAATAAGTTTTGGCAACTTGTAATTCCTCATTATAACATCGAAAAGTAAATCATTTATCAAAATTAATGACATCATAATTGAGATATTCCTTGCCACATACATACTAACTAGCTTGAATGGCATTCTTGTTATTTAGCTATATAGAAGAGATGTTCTTTAAATGTTTATATTCATGTTTAATTGTATAATGTGCACTTTCAAGAGCGTAGCCCTGGATCAATAATTTGGCGAGGCGAATGTAGATTTTAGTGAGGTAAATTGAGGCTAAATGAGGTATATATGAGGCTAAATGAGGTATATATGAGGCTAAATGAGGTATATATTGCTATAGCATTGAACCTCATTTTCACAGTTTGAGTTGAATAAAAGTCTGAATAAATATTTATCTGTAGAATCTTGGTTAGTTATTTGCCTCGCCAGCTTTTTTCCTGGCTGCACTCGTGGCTTTAGATCACTGTATGATTTTAGATTTTAGACCTAGTCTAGTTTAAAATGATGCATCCCAATGTCCCAATAGATTTTCTTAGAAAAAAGTAGTGAAAATATACTTTTAAGTAATGAAAGTGCTAATTGTATAATTCCTAAACATGGTCTTATATTTTAAGACGTAAAATGAATTTGATTATGTATTTTTAAATAATGTCAATTGCTGGGGTAACGTAATCTATTTTAAATCATCTGATATCATATTCTCTATCTGTGTATCAAAGCCTTCGGTAACCTAGCTTTCAGTGTGTCTTTCACTTTTCACCAGACTGATTGTAATTGCTGAATTCATTGGCTTCTCTTTCTTATACATAAAGTTGTTAACAAGTCTTCCAAATTGTTGAAAAATGTTCAATGTATCGTGACTTTTATGCATGAATTATGAAGCCACCTAGTGGTTGAAACTAGTACTATTTATCTCGTTCTTCCAGCAGCTCAGGAGCGAAGTGCAGGTATTTGTGTATTTGTGTATTTACTACATCATGACATCATTTCCATACTTCTGTGGTGTCATGGCTTGTCTCTTATTTTGTTGTCTAGTTCATTTTAGTGCCACAGTTTCTACTATATTTTCTCCAATGGATCCTTATCCCAAATTTTAGAAGAGGGTTTTATTTATGATTTTTTGATTCAAAACTATTTATATTATGTAATACTAGTATTATAAGTTATTGAATGATTTGAAGTGCAATACAGGATATATTCTGCTTGAGAAATTCTGTATTGGAATGAGACGAAGTCAAGTGCCAATACAGAACATTGAGACAGAATTTATCCTGTATTGCACTTCAAATCATTTAATAATGTTTTTATCGTGTGATCTTAGGCCAATACATTACTTGGCAAATAATCCCTAAGAATTATTCTGTATTGCTTCTGAGATTGTCCTCGCCTCTGTATCAATATTTTCTGTATTGTTATGGAGATGATCAATTGGGACAATCTCAGTAGCAATACAGCTTGGTACAGCATTAGAACTGACCAATCAGAGGGCTTCATTTTACAGATTATACGATAAGTGTATTTATGGTATGATTCTTTCTTTGTCAAATATTATTTATAGAGTAGTAGTATAGATAGTCTTAATGTAATGGTGCATTGCAATGGAAGGTTTTCATTATTAAGTTTTCGTACCTTCTTTAGCTGGCTCACTGTCAGATTTAAAAACGGCCAATATGTGATGTTGTGAATTGAAAAATGCTACCAGTTGAATTCTATAACCTTTAATAGAATTGTTTAAAATGACTTAATTCCATAACAGATATCATGTATCATGTATCATGTATCATGTATTTTAATATAGGATTCAACATTTTGCAAAGGCACAACTTTTAAATTACATATATGAAGAACTTTGGAGTTTACACTTGAATTATATTGCTTTGATAATTGATACTTTTTTCCACATGTGTAAATTATTTAAGCATATCAAGCCATTATTGAAAGTGACAAGACAAGCACCACATACATTGTCTCGTGTAACGTGGGTTAACATGCATTTACATGCCTCAGTCACATGTGTTAGGAAGAACGTACGCTCTAATACTGTATGGCCAATAACAATCCTACGGCCACCATAGAATTTCTATAGTCACATACTTAAACAGTCAAATTTCCTACGACCGCCACACAGCATATTTTGAAATGATGATATAGGGTGGCCTTTGGGCATCCCTACTTTGACTGCATGTTTTTGACAAATGCCAGGGCAGTCTCAAGGCAGCTGTAGGGGGGCCCTCCAAAAACTGTATGTCCATTTTACAGCAAGTCTGGTGCTAATGCATGGATATTGCTTGTACCATTTCAAGTTTCAAGTTGATGATTATTTGAAATGTTGCTTGGTCTGATGATGATTGGGGGCTAATTACTACTAATTACCTGACAACTGGTACAGAAACTTGGCAACAATGTTTACTTTGTATGTTGTTATGTGTCCCCAAATACTTAGTAAGATATGAGAATACATGTACATGTATGTACTTCATTTTGGCGAAGTCTTTAATTGTACTTGCATGTTGTTTCAATATTTCTGTATCACATTATGTACAGTTTCGTGGAAATGCATCATTTCATAGTCATTCAATTGAACAGATTGAAATGTGTTATGTTTGCTTGATCTATATTGTAACTACAGCAAGTGCAGTTGTCATTCTGTATTCTCTCTAATGAGAACACAGTGCCAATGACAACACATGCGGCATTTATGTTAAAGTTTAATGCACTAGTTTTGATTATTTACACAAGATACTTTTTGTTTGTGCGCTTATTCGAATCTCTCAATATCATCCTTTTAAATTTAATTTAGAAATCCCACCGTGCGCTCATTAGAGAGATTATGCTACATGTTTTTATTGTGCTGCTGTATTGTATTGTCCTCATATTGTGATGATGTGTGTGTCTCTAGATCTGTAATAGATGCTGTTGTACAAGAAGATTTGTCTTTGATGTTACATCTATCATTAACTTGTCTCTTTATGCAACATGCTTAAGCTTATCATGGGCTTAGTTGAAAGCCCATGAGCTTATACATGTACTTGTATATCTGGGAAGGATTTGAAATTCAGTAAAATATTGAAGAACCTGAATGAAATCTCTCTAATTTTAAAAATATATGTTTGCTAGTCTTAAAAAGTGATTTTTTCCATTTTTAAAATGTACAATGTATATTCCATTACTTGGCTGAACTAACTGCATATTGTTATACAGAAGTTATATTTTCAAATCAATAAAAAAAAAGTTTCCCAAATGTTTTTATAAGATATAATACTTGAAAAGAATGATGTTAGATACACAATTACAATTTATATATGTTTATACATATTTTATCATACCCAAAAAGGTACTACAAGTATATTTAGTACAAATTGAATATTGTTATTATCTTGGTGGATGGAAGTGGTGTAATGCTTTCCTTGTCTTTGCATATCCAGACAGTCTGCTTGATGGGTTAAAATTTTCAGTAATATTTCTTGTTATGAAAATATAAAACCCTTAGCTTTTGGCAATGCTTGGTGAATTTTAGGGAGGCATTTTTGATTTGTTCTCGCTGGAGCAAAAGATAACTCAACAGTATAACACAACATTCACTAGAAATTTGAAAAAACTGCAATTATACTGCATTCATCATTAATTTGGCCCTACTCGATATGACTTTTGCACATTGGGAACATTGATGGTTCATGGTAAAGTGTCATATGGCAATATCGTTTTGAATTTGCATGGCTGAAATTTATCCTATTCATGGTACCCCCGGCATTTTACAAGAAGCATCGACTTCTGATTAACACAATCAAAATGACTAGAAAACTACACTCACCAAATTCACCACAAATGCAATATGTGCTCCTACATGTTCTTGCAGGCTCAGCTAGTGAAGAAGGGAGGTATAATGGCCTCAGTGTACAGCTCACATCAGAGTGATGGCCATCTGAACCTAGAACTTTCATTAGAGATCAACAAGAAACTACAAGCAGTTCTTGAGGATACTTTATTAAAGAATATTACACTTAAGGTAGGTTTCTAACTAGTCTTACATCAAACCCTTGTACCATCCCCCCCTCCTCTAGTGACTCAAGATAAAAATAGATTCTACCCAAAATATTTTTAATTCCTGAAAGTACAGTGTATGTAACTTTTTGTACATACTAATTTTGTAAAATTTGTACATACCTTTTCACTCTCAAAAAGTAAGTTGAAATTATACAAGATATCAAGGTTAAGAAATAACGATATAATTTTTTATTTTCAGAATAACTTGGAAACATTGGGAGAAGAAATAGCTAGACTCTCACAGGAAAATCGACAGATGCAATTAAACAATAAATAATGACATTATGCCAAATATTATAGATAGTACCATATAGTCATTATCAACAAACAATGTTATTTATTGATGTTAAATGTACATGTGCTTGATAATGATCATTTGTTGAATGAAATACATGTTGATTATATAAATTATAACAATTTTGTTATGTGCTTATTACATTGATATACATATTATGTGCAATAGGAGACTTGCTAAAGTTCCTATTTTCAAAATGGCCGCCTTCTACCAAAAGTGTCATTAGACAGTGTGCCATGCTTAAAGTATTAACATACCAAATATGAACAAAATAGCTCCACTACTTTTCGAGTTATAGTAAAATACGGACAGATGTTTTTTAAACATCAAAGTCAACAGAGATAACAAATGGGAAAAGAGACTGTTCACACATTGAGAAATGTTCAGAATTCAGATGTACAGGTTTCACTGTAGATGGAAAAAATTATGTTCATAAGGGTCCATTTGTATGGAGAAGTTGTCATGGATGACTGTTGTAGCTTGGTGCTACACAACAACACAAGAGTCTTGCTGAAACCGTTATTCCAATGGTATTGGTAACCATGGATGGGATATTTGGGTTCATATGCCCAAAATCAGTTTTGTGTGAATACTAGATCCCCAACATAATTAGACTTTGATACAGGCCTAGTATATGGCGTTGATTGTACTGCCGAACTTTAGAGAAGGGTCACAACCCTATACCTATGCTGTCATTATCACATGCTTTTGTTTATACTCAAGAAAATTGGCACCAAAACACTTAAAGCTTCCGTAAAAGAACAATCTTGGTTGACGTGTAACGATTATGTTTATCTAGCATCGCTAAACTAAGAACGTGTCGCTGTTAAAGCAAACCTGTTCTAGCGAAGCGATTGATGCGTTTTTGCTGTAAAACTTCATGTTTGTATGTATGTTTATTTTACATTTAATAAAAGTATATTATATGAAACCCCTCCGAAAAAACAAACAGAAACAATACATTCAAGTCACCCCACACTGGCGGATCCAGGGAGGGGGGGGCATGCCCCCCCCCCCTTTCGTGGGCCCAGAATTGTTTAGGGCCATGTAGAATCACTGATTGTTTTTATCTTTTTATCATTTATCATTATTTAACATTTGTTTTATACTAAAGTTAAAGAATTTACCATAGGCTCGATCCTCTCACTTTTGAGTATTTTTCTCTGGTTTTATTTCTGGGATTGGCAAGTATGATTTTGTTAATGGTAAATGCTAACTCTTCCCCATATCACATAGTCACGAATAACCAAACCATCGTACAAAGCGTAAATATAGAAACAGAGGAGAGGATTTTGAAGTATGATTTTATTTTTCCATATTAAGTAATTGATACGTCATTTAGAAAGAAAAGAAGTACAGTGTGTTCACATCCTAGATGTTTGTGGCCACTGTATTGACAGCAATCTCTGCAATATGTGCAGCTTCCAGGTCGTCCATGCTCCTCTTTACACTATTTTCTGTCGCCGTACCTGAAAAAATTTAAATATCCAAACATCATTTTGTCGTGATATAATTCTACATAGGTTCGTTCTGAGGTATTCATTTTTATTACATATGACCTAAAATCAACATCAGACATGATACTTTTGACACTCTGTACAATCCTGGGTTACAATACAATCCCAAAGAAATGGACGCCATACAATGACACAGTGACACGGGGGTAAAGCAGACCCGATGATGCAATGAGCTTGCTCGGCGGTATCATGACTGTGTAACGGGTCTTAATGTATAAGTGTGCTCGGCGGTAGGTTCAAACAACGCGGATCCTCAAAGTATGTGCTCATGGTATATTCGTGTTTTAACACCCGTGCAGTGACATCGGGACTAATGCCATTACTCCGGGAAGACCTCCTCTTCGTTTTTAGTGTCACGTTCTAGGTCTTCATTTCTCATCTTGATCATGTGGCCTCTAAGATGTGAAAATAGCGCTAACCCAAATTTTCAAAAGGCCTTAGTTCAGCTTCAATGTCCTGTTTGGGCTAAATAACACACCCTTGCTGAAATCCTCATTTTCCCAGAAGAACTCAAGTTGATCGAGTCTTAACAAGTAGATCCATGTGTGATAGTGTTCACTCCATTTTCATAAGTATTAAACCCTACTTGAGTAGCAACACAATAGAATGAATGAATGAATTTTATTTTAAAGAATATACAGTTGTAACAAATAAGATTGCATTCCTTTTCTTAAAGAACTGACAAATGGCAAGCTATCCAAAATCAGTATTGCACAAAAGACGATTGACTGTCACATTAGGAGTACTAAAGATAGATAAACCATTCGTTCTGGGCCTTGGGAGATCTAATAGCCTCAGGTCAAGGCCTTCGACTAGTATTCCTCCTAAAACCCAGGACTAGTACTTTATCCATAACAGAATAAGGTTTCTGAAACAGGGCTTGCTTTTTAGAACTTTTTGTCGACTCTAAAAAGTACATACCAGCGCAATAGATGGATTTGATCATATCCATGGCGATGACCCTTCCCTCTTTCAGTACTGGATCGATAGCCGGGTCGTTACACTTGGGTTTAGACTTGATTTGGGCAGAAATACAATTGTAGGACATATCTGTTGCTTCAATCATGCTGATAATAAAATAAAATTATATCATAAAAATTAATAGTAGTATGCATCCTTGATTTCAAGGATGCATATGAATTATACATTATAGCTGATCTTATTTCAATATTTTTGCATGATTCATAACGTCCAATTTATGTTTGATAAAATTGTTATTTCCTTTACGGAAACGCTGACCAATTATTATTAACTTGAGCTCCTGTTGCAATCAGTCATGTCATTGGACATTTCACTCACACTTCGCACGTGGGTTTTCCAGATTGCAAAAGCTGTAGGAATACTGGGTTGGACGTCAGCTCTTGTTGGCAATGCTGTTGCACTTTTGGTGCCATAGCAGTCATAGCACATTCTAAAATAACAAATTCAGATGCTAAACCAGGTAGTACTGAAACTTTGAAACTTCAGGATATGATTAAACAGATAATAATTCAATTGCAATATACACAAAAATTGAATTGAATAATTATTGAAGAAAGGTAGAGCAAAAAGTTCAGGACTTCAATAAAAATACATGGAATGGGGAAGCGTTAATGCTCAAAACCTAGGTCTTTCACAATTTAATATTTAGTTTATACATTTATTTATCATTCATTTACTATTTTCGTGACTTTAAAAGTTATTTTAGAGATTTTTGAGAAAAATATGTCAGCTTTTTATTTTTCAAATGTTCATATTTCCCGCCATTTTTCAAATAAAAGTAGAAGTTTTTAACCATCAAATATTCTACTATCCAGTGCAAAACACAATTATCTTTTTAACACCATTGCGACTGAGATTGAACAAAGGACATACTATTTCAATGATAAAATGTCATATTGAATATGCCACTTATATGTTGCACCCTAAGTGACACCATGTCATTAAGGGTGAGTGGTGTCATTTAGGGTACGGACATTCTTTTGAAAAAAATTAAAAACTATTTTTCTTTGTCAGTTTTTACTAAATATGTTGATTGTTGAACTAGGTCATGAGGTTGAAAAGAAGAATATATCAGGTTTTAAATATCAAAAATGCTTTTTCTCTGAACCACTTTCATGCATGGATTAGTTCATTTCTTACTTATTTATTAACCAATTTTATTATTTTTTCCTCAAAAGTTACGTGAGGAGGACTGGTAGATACGTGTGAGCTTTAAAATTTAGTTTTAGATAAATTCACAATTTTTCGAACAAAAAGTCCTTCAAAAACCACCGTTTTTGAAAATTGAAATAAAGTTAAACATATCACATTTTGATAACATTGGGTAAGACTACAATATAAGCCAAGGTGGTTTAAACCTTATATGGGGCCTTTAACACTAAATGCAAAACATAAACTATATTGAGGACATATAAGAAATGTATATTACTCATAACATAACTATGACATAAAATTGATCATTTAAAGATATATTCATTTAAAATGATATTCTTTAGTGATAAATAATTGTCATTTTGCCCCATGGCTTTTCAAATTATAATCGCCTGTGGACCATGACTTCTTTCACGTCACGGAGGGGGTACTGGTTGTATCACTTACGCATAATCTGGCGTTGTGACATGCCATCAGATCCCCTCACAGCAACCAACAACACACTGTAATAAACACGAAAACTACACTCCACTCCAAAAATTTGGAAACACCAACTCCCCATTAGATATGTATTAAATCCTGTTAACGTCGGGGATAGACTTTTCAAGCCAATATGACGAAAAATTAGTAAAATGAAAATGAGCTTATCATTGAATACTTTGAGCGTCCAAAACCACGCCCGGTGATCGTGAAAATGGGACGGAGGGGGAGCAGGCAATTTCCGCTAGAAAATTCAACAAATCTGGTAAAATTATTTTTTCAAGACAGAGTTTACGATTGAATAGCAAATTGAATAAGCGCACGGTATGATAAAATATGTTAGGTATTCTAGGATTATTTTTCAATCGATACTCTTTTTAAGATATAAGATCTATTAAAAAAGGCGCAACGCAACCAACGTGCAAAAGTCAAAGTTTTTGCTATAAATCAAGCAACAATGGACTACACGACCTGTAATAAATACTTGTAAGTGATGTTATCATAACTAAATTAATGTCATTGCTTAATTTATAAAATAAGTTTCCATACATAAAATAAAAAATAATCGAAAATAATTAAAATGGGACGGAGGGGGGGGGGGGGGGAGGGGACGGAGGGGGGGAGTAATAATTCTATAAAGTGAAACAACTTCACACGAATTCTTGTATTTGAAAAATGAACTCATTAACTTAATAAGAAACTGGATGATATACCCCTGGAGACTGAAAAATGGGGACATTTGGAATAAAAGGACTTAAAGTCGCGAAACATCTCTAATCATGTCTTATATACATATTGCTCCCCCCCCTCCGTCCCCTCCCCCCCCCCTCCGTCCCAAATTCATTATTTTCGATTATTTTTTATTTCACATATGGAAGCTTATTTTATAAATTCAGCAATGACATTAATTTAGTTATGATAACATCACTTACAAGTATTTATTACAGGTCGTCCAGACCATTGTTGCTTGATTTATAGCAAAAACGTTGATTTGTGCCTGTTGATGGCCTTGCGCCTTTTTTAATAGATCTCATACCTTAGATGCGTATCGTTTCAGAAAAAATCCCAGAAAACCTAACATATTCTACCATACCGTGCGCCTATCCATTAAGCAATTCAATAGTAAACTTAGTCTTGAAAAAATAAATCTTCCAGATTTGTTGAATTTCCTAGCAGAAATTACCTGCTCCCCCCTCCGTCCCATATTCACGATCACCGGGCGTGAAAACGCATACCTTCTGTATGCGCACTATTTAAGAACTGAAGAAGCACAATCAATCTGTTGAGAAGCACATTTCTGGAAATTCTTGAAACTCTAATGGAACATTTTTGAGTGCATGTTTATGTTTAAATGTTATATTTTCATTATAATTTACTTACCTGCAAGCTATGATGAAACGCATGGTGATGTCCTCTATCAAGCCTAACAAGCAAGTAACAGTTAAGTTGATCACTTATAAATAATGTAGAAATAGCACATTTCCAGCTTTTATTTGGAATATAATTAATCTTTAATAAACAGGCAGCTGACAGGTTCAATTTGTATATATTTATCTCATAATTGAAAGCAAAATATACGGAAATCGAGTGTCAAATGATATTTATTTGAATTATCTACGATTTGTTTTTTGACAGTTCAGACCAAAGTCGAAATCCATACTAGTATTATAAAGTATCTTTGGTCTCAGGAAAGTATGGAATGATATGACCCAAAAAGTTTCTAAAATTGTACCAATTTTTCGTTAAGCTTGCTCACAAGCTTGGGCTGACAAGCATAAGCTCTGATTCTCTCTTTAAAATAATATGCTTTCAAATAAGGGTTATGCACTGGGAGGTTTTGGACATGGAGTTTATCATCCAGAAGGAGATATATAAGGATTATTGGGAGGCCGTTTTGGATACAGGGATTATCCCAAGGGAAATATGTGTATCTCCCGAGGGACCGAGGGAGATACACATATGTCTCGCGGTAGAACCCTGTATCCAAAACCGACCGTACATAACATATGTATTTCATACCTACTGAGGTTCTAGGTACATCATACCTTATAAAGTTCCAAAATTCCAAAACATACTTAAAGGGGCAACAAGGACTGTAGAGAGAAAATTCGAATTTTTTTATTTTTTCTGAGCTATCAGGTCAATATTTGGCTTGACATCTTCTTTGACATACCTATTTTCTTAAAATGTATGGATAAACTATCAATTTCAGCATTAAGAAGTGTAAATTCAGTTCAAAGCTCCTATAAAGGGAGTCCCACTTATATATTTTTAAGATTCACCACGTTTCAAGAGGGATATCAGCTGAAATGATGTTCATCCAGGGGGTTTCTTTGGAGATAATAAAAATATATGTTAGTCTTGATGAAATATCAAAACTTAAATATTTATTTTATTTATTTATTTATTATTTAGACGTACACTTTTAAATCAGTGGCACACTAAAAATATTTAGGTGCGTCTACAGTCAAAATACATACATGATCATTAAAATATCTAAAATCGTTCTTATAAGTCAGGTTTAAAAATCTTTGTTAAAAACTGTTTTACCAGTCCATCTACAATATAAAATTGATCGTGCCCCCATTGACTGAGAACATCATCACCTAACATAAAATAGAGTTTATTTTCTGACATTGCACTAATTGTTGCACCTTTAAGGTACGCGTTTTCTTGGTCTTATGTTTGAGATTTTCCAAAAATTTGAAAAAAGAAATTTAAAAAAAGGAGGAGGGAAATTAGCGCAGATTTTGGACAGTCAAATGTTTGATTTTGGCCATTTTCTAGGGATTTAAACAAGTGCATAATGTTACGCCAATGCAATACCTCCAGGAAAATCACAGACCCGGGAGTCTATAGAAACTTTGACCTATCTACACTTCGTTTAGAGTAGTCACGTGACTCTAAAGCATGGCCGAAAATTTGTAGACGATTTTCAATATTTTGTTCACAAGAAAGAAAACCATTTAAACGGTATGTATGATAAATATTTTACTCGTTCCGTTTCTACAATTCACGTTTGTATATCTCTTTCTTTGACACGGATTCATTTGAATCTAAATATTGGCTGAGTGCTCGAAAATGTAAAAAAAACTTCTTTCGCCAAGTTTCGGGAATTCCAGGATTTTGAGCCCACTCGGATTCTACCAAATCAGATCTCAGTGTACGTCTATAGCATTCACCAAGGAAAGGTTGCATAGTATTGAGGTCAATATAGAAAGTCTCGCTAAAAGTACTTATCTTTTGGCCGATGTTCTATATCGTGAAGGTTTCACTTTCTTTTTGCTTTGCAATGCAAGACTCTTATAACTTTATTATAAGATCAAATGCACGAGTCGCGTCTGGTCGACCGTGACAATGTTAACGACTTCTGATTGGGTCTGCATACACAACTGTGCCACATAGATAATGATTTATACAGTGGGGGACTAGTATGTATCCAACAGACTGACTAGAAGTCAGTCTGTTATGATAGATCTATACTAAGAAATTCTCCATCTAAAATGTCACTCGACTTTTTTGTGATTATAAGTCAAAGAAAGCATTCTTGAGTTTCAAATTGACTTCTGTGGTAACTTGAAACCATCTTCTAATTTATTCCACTTACCTTTTATTGTTTCTCCAAATATATTCTTTGAAAATCGGATTTTAAGGGTGTTAATCAGGGTAATTCTTAGTCCAACAACATTAGACCTAGCCTGGGCCTCGTTTCTTATCTGACATGTCTTATGGCCCCGGCTAGGTCTAACTTCCATGATGATTTTGTCCTTGATGCGATCATTTAATCGTTCAGCAGGTTTCGACATGCGGAACTAATTAAACCGTAATAAGATGGTATCGTTACAGAAATAATGTGATCAACGCATGCATACATACCTTATGAATAAATACAAATCATCACATACCCCCCTGTAACCTCATCGATGTATAATTATGAAAATGTTGGGAGAAGGCTTTTTCTTAGTTTAGAAAACTCTGTTCTGGTTCCAGTAACATCGAAATGTCAAATCCTTTCAGGAATAAACCGCCGTTAGCAACACTGAACGAAACAAGTTCATAAAACGAAACGAACCCCGGTTATCCTATATATAAGTACAAAATATTGTCATACTGTAGGAGGCTTGCGATAAACATTGAAGTTATTAAAATGTAACAATTGTTACAAAGCATGTATGCTGAGTAAAATACATGATCCCAGTTATAAACAATTGAGTGTATTCCTAGGTACGTTTTGCAAGCAGAAAACCATAAACAATTACCATAATTTAATATTTAGGCACAATTATTCAACACAATCACAATCTAGCACAATCAATGACATCTATATTTCTTTGAGCTGAAATTACCAGTAATCAAATGCATCAATAATGTTGCGAGTATTGCTTTTTAAAGTTTTTATAAATAACAATAGAGTAAACTTGGGTGAATACACGCGCTGTTTGAATAAAGCAAAGATTCGTGTCATACTGGATGGTTATGGTATGAGGTTCCATATCCATCCGCCAAAAGGTATGACCCCTATATAGTCCATTTAAAAACCTGTGGTATCGTTCTAAATAACGCCATAGTTGGCTTCTAGGGTACCTAGTATGCCACTATTTGGTATCAAAATAAAGAGGAGGAGTTCAACTTTCATTTGAATTACGAAAATAGCGATGTAGGTCAAAATAGTTCCGAACGTGAGCATGTTTACTACGCGTTTGCACGTCATATCAGAATTGAGGAAGTGGTAGCAAACGCGAGTTACAATAAACGGACGCTGATATCTCAAAAAGTAACCTGACTCCCTATAGTTCGATGTAGGTCAATCGAACCCCTATATGAACAGGTACATTTTGATATATAACACTATGGGGGGTAAGCGTTTCATAGTTGGTCACGAACGCCATATGTGCAAAGTATTGTTATGAATTTTCGAATTTGGTGTTGGATTACGGTACTCATACCTTAAAATAAATATCAATATTGAAGAACAATTTCGTTTCGCTGACCAAGTTTACTTTGGCGACGCACAGACAGACATTGCCGGTTGAAATATTCGTCTCATAAATTGGTAAGAATAAGACTCATTTTACGATTAAAAATGAACATTTAACACAATAATATTATGTGAAATCGCCTGATGAAAGGTGGTTTTATATTATTGTTAAGTATCAGTGTCATATTAGCGAGGAAAAGTGGTTTCGATAGATCCACAACTTGCATCAAAGGAAAGAATAGCATGGAGGTTAAACTCAATAATGGCCCCAAGAAAAAATTCCTAATAGTAAAGAACGCCGTTATTGAGTTTAACGACGTTGAACTAGGTAATTCTGTGCCATTTTATCAAAAATCTTGTTGCTATCTAGAAACGAGCAATTGTGATCTTGTTGTTACCTAGGAACCAGCAACTGTGATGTCACGTCACACTCATGTTAATTCTGGAATCACATGGCAGCCATTTTGGAAATTTCAAAAAAGTTCCCAATTAAAAAGGCTTTAATGCTGTTTACAAATTGGAAACTATGGCAGAATCAACAAAGGGTTTGTGAAATAATTAGGATATGGTTTCAAAATTATGCACATGACAATATATGACTACTAAATGCAGGCAGGGACTTTTAATTGCCAAAAAGTCGAGTGACATTTTAGATGGAGAAATTTTTACTTTCCTGTGGAAATTGCAGCGAAATTTTTTGCACAAAATTATCAATTGCAGGAACCACTTCTTCAATAAAATAAACATTACAAAATTTCAATTAAATAGTGAGGTACAATTAAATACAATAAAAAGTAACACAGCATATTGTCAAGTGGAAATAAAGCTAGTTGAAGAAACAACTTTGCACATTAATTTTACCCAATCAGCCATTTTGAATAGCACTTCCTATGTAAACAAATACTTAGAATTACCAAACTTTAACATAGGTGCCTTATAGTCTGAATATAATTCAGACTCTAAATAGGATATAGTCTAAGTGGGGGACATAAGGAATTGCTATAGCTCAGTGCATGAAATAAGGATTTTTTTAACCTAGACATTTTGGCAGGCCTGCCAGATTTTAACAAGCCATATCATTTTTTCTCAGGCCAATTTTTGGCAGGCTGTTTCTTCCTTCTCTGGCCAAAAATTTCACTTACCATATTTCTCCACAACCACTCTAAATTGAGATTTAGTTTAGTACAATATTAACAAAGATAAAACTAATTGCATATTGCATGTCATGTATCATTCAATATACTGTACTTGATGACTTAACCAACAGCCTGAGTGTGTTGATTCCCCCCTAGATTCACCTTGCAAAAACATGAGGAACATGTACATATTGATCAAACTAAATTTTACTGATTTTGGTCGGTTTAGAATTGCTCAGAACTCAGAAGCTTCAAGGTATTCAAAAACACATATTATGTACACAGACTCCACTAAAATTCAAGGTATATATTATTGGTGTCACGGTCAAAAAAATTCGGTACGGTTTGGATCGGTACAAATGGTCTCGGGATACGGTACTTTCGGGACGGGACGGGACAGACAGAACACTAAAAATGATACAATCGTCTGATGATGACAGTTTCACTTTCACTTTCAGTGTCACTTTTCAAAATCACATTCAGAAATACGTCAATTAAATCAAATATAAAGCATCTGCCGCGAATGTGATCAGCATTTCACATAGTCTGCATGGTGTACTATCACCAATTCGTTTACCTTGTGATATCGGAGTCCAAAAATACTTCCAAACTGCCGACTTTTTCGACTTAGATGCCGGCTCGATTTTTCAATTTCTTTCCTACATCCGGCATACTGATAATGCACTCGATTTGCTAACGACAATTAAGAAATGAGTCATTCATAGCCAATCAAAATCACCGTAATTTCAACAAACAACAACAGCCAATCGAAAGTCACGTTATATCTTGTGCTTCGGTACCAAACAAAAATATTTTGAAATGTTTTTCAATCTTCAACAAAAGTCATGAAATAAGCCGAAAACGCAGGGAATTCGGAGGATTTCCGGACTGATATGTAAGTTCTATTCATGGGCAATCTAACGAATGCCACAAATGTCTAGCAGGCCAAAATGTCTGGGTGTTTTTATCAAAACAAGCCATCTATAATTTTGTCAGGCCAATGGCCGATGTCGGACGTCTATTTCGCGCACTGTAGCTATGAAAATTACATGCTGTCGCACATGTAATAAATTCTTACCTCAGTGTATTCAGTGCTCTATTTTCTCTGTCTTAGTAAGTCAAAATATAGTGGAATTTGTGTCTATAATGACAAATAAGAACTTAAAAAGTTGAAGTGGATATTCACATGTTAATGCCGCCTCTTCAAATGTTGAGGTGATTTTGGAGCCCGATTACGCTGCAAGGGAGGATAGGCTCCCAGAATGCAACATGACACGTGCCAGCTTTCAAAATTCCGCTCCGCCATTTTGAAACCTGTCACGAGTAAATAAGGTTAACTGATGTTGCATTGTGGGAGTCAATCCTCCTTGGATCACAAACATGCCGATTCATAAAAACATTCGTTCGATTTGGTAGGGATTTATCCATCATTTGCAGGTATGAAGCTTTGGATTCATTTATTATGCTACTTAAAGTGAACGAGAATTATTTTTCTACCACTTGGGAGAGTTTGAGACACGAAACTTAGAATTTAGCTCATTGTGACAACTTTTGATGGTTGAGATTTAGTTTTGTCCCCCACTTTAGTGTTTCGTTTAGTGCTACTTTTTGGCAAACCTTAGGTATTTCGTTGTAATTAGTTCCAGTTTTTCACACTGTGACCATACCCTTATTTGTAATTTTCATTGAATTGTATGATTTACCTTCTCCAAAAGTTTCACCATAGATTTCCTCCATAACCAATGCCAACCGAGCTGCCACCTTCAGACATTTTTCGCTATAGCGACAACAATAGATGTTTCTAAAAATGACAAAACTGTGGATTTTAAATTTAGATGAAATCAAGCAATATTGAAGGACAGGGTTTGTTTCAATTTAAATTAACGGAATATTCTACCAACAATTTTTTAGATAGGATTTAAAATGATTCTATAAAAGTAAAATTTTCCTAAGTACACAGCGTTCCACATGCCATAATGTCTAGTCAAGTAAATGGCAAGAGACTGGAGTAATACGAGATGAAGGGCACTCTGCTGTATGCTTGGTTGATAAGATTGGTATTTTCATTCTGTTCAGTTTTTTGTTTAGATTTAAAATAAAGGTGCCACTTGTGTTTATTTCAGCCTATCATGGATAAGTGGGATCCACGTGAAGAGGATTTCAGTGATCCAAAATTCAACTCTTACGACACTGGACTTGTTGGAGAAATGTTTTCACAGGAACATGTAAATCCAGCTTTTACAAGGTATGCGTGATATGTTTGCTTGTTTGTTATTATTAGTTTTTTTGGATTTGATATAGCTTTCCAGAGTAATTTTCATTATTGGCAAAAAAATTCAATCACAACTGATAATCAGACTATATGCATCAACATGGTGTCAATACATGTTATTGTTTGTGTACTTTATACAAATATTATAATTCTCCATGTAGAAGATGACAATACAGATCTCATTAAAAGCACATTAACCTCATGCATTATTCAGAATATATTATAACAGAATGATGCATATTTTGAGATAGTCTTGCATTAATGCCTCTGATTTGAGGATGTAGTTTGGTGCTCCACCTGATGTTGTTTCACTTGAAGAGTGGTGAGGTGTATCTGACCAATCACTTGATTTCTCTAAATAAAAGCAATGGAGGCTCATTGTATTCAAAAGTTCAGTTGGCAGAAATATGTCGGCTATTTATGTCAGTTTGGCCAACCTGATTGTATTTTTGTTTATTTTACTCATCACACTAGAAAAGTGGTATTGTTGTTTTGAACTGATTAGATTTACAATTGGCCATGCTGGCAGCACATCAAAACTTGTCATTAAGATGGCAAGAATAACTGTTAATCAGTGTAACTAGAATATTTACGAATGCAAAAGTAAACTAGTGTCAAGGACTGTTTAGGTTTCTAGTATGTTGGCTCATTACATGACAACCATTATACTTTTCAAGTGTGATATTTATCACCATGTGTATGGTGTTTCCATGGTGATCTCTTGCTCCTCCTAATGACAATGAATAACAGCATCTTTATGAAATTAAATAAACGTTTTGTGAGCACTGCAAACTTGCCTGATTTTACTGGTTTAGGGGAGACATCAAAAGTTCGATGTCGGATAGAAAACTAAATAAATCTAGTTAGGGGGGGAGGGGGTAAAAAGCCATTTCAGTTTGCTATCCGACAAATTTCAACATTTCAACTTTGACTCGGAATACCTTGGAATGGTTCAAAAATGAAAATTTTACCTGATGATTTCTTCTTCAAGATCATTCTAATGGATTCTGTTCTATCAATAGTTGTTTAAAAGCAGCGAATTACGCTAAGAAATAACAAAAACTAGACCGTTTTTAAAATAACTTTTCAAATTCTCAAACCGGAAGTAAAGTGTTCTCATTTTGTCTTACCCGGGAATTGGTTTTTTAATTGTATCGATCGTATTGATCCAACATGAACCTAATATACCGATAAAAGTTTATGATAATTATTCACATATAAAATAATATCGGGTAAAAACTGATAGTCTATGTGTAAAAAAAATATTTAAGGCACAAGTCTATTACGTTTTCGTTCTGTGCATAATAGCGTAATCAGGTAGACTCACGTTTGTACGAAAAAATAAAATTTCAAAAGTTTGTCATATTTGTGGAATATACAGTCCAAATTTAGTTATTGTCTGTGGAACAACATGCCCCCGATCGTCTGCATATCATTTTTTAGTGTTTTAATGATTTGAGTAGAACGGTTCCCAAATATATGTGCGCGAATGGGGGTATGTTGTTCCAGGAAAAATATTTTCAGGTCAGAGTCGTGTCAGAGACTAAAGATCGTATGATGGATAAATTATACGCAAATCCCAGAAATGATTATGAACGGTTTTCGAACAAAGTACTTGAAGCTGAGTTCAATATGCCTAAAAGTAAACAACAGGTACAAGAAAAAGTCAATAGAATGTGGCCGACTTATAAAAGGGATCAAGAAAAACTCAATTCTTACATGAATAAGACCACCTCGGCAGATACATGTAAATCAAAAATTACCAATTATTTTTCACCTACACCCAAGCCAAAACCCGATAATTCTTGTGGTATCCAAAGTGAATGTAACAATTATGATGTCAACAATAACAATAACCACTTTGCAGACCCCATGAAATGCACAGCTGGGGTTCGACAAATGAGACATGAGGCATTTGAGACTGTCACCTGTACTGAAAATCAATTAACCATTCTGAAAAGTTTCTTGAGAGTTTTACAACCTGAAAGTGAACTTAAAGTTTTAGAGCATCCTGATCTTATCAGTGCACCAGCATTTATAAAACCATTAGTTACAGTAGCAACTTCATATCTTGTGTTCATGAACACCAGAGATAATTATGATCAGTTGTATGTGAAGCAAAAGAAGGGAACCATTGTAAATACTGAGATGGCACAACTATCTAAGATGATGGACATTTTCAAGCAAAAATTGATTGATATAGATGCTATAAAACTGGACTTGTCTAAAATGTTATTCCAAACAGCTCAGAGAAAGGCGAACCATATATCTGAACTAATGGCACAAATAGGGAGTATTGACACTAAAATAAATGATGTATTGAAGCGTCTACGATCCCTTATATCTATAAAATCCAGACAGGCAGACCCCCACCCCAACAAGACACCATACTTTGTCCAGTGCTCAAACAATAAAAGTCTGACATGGGATGATGCCATGGTCAATTTGATTGAATCAAATGTCCAATTACCAGGCCCCCTTGATTCAAGTGATATTTTAAAATGTGCATCCAATTTACGTGAGACAACAATTATGAAGCTGAATGATCTAGTCGAAGGACCTCTGAAGCAGAAATACCCAGACTCCAAGAAAATGACATATGGTTTGAACTTAAGCATTTGCAAGAATCTTCAAGAACATCTACCTGTCATGATTGTCAGACAAGCTTTCTCATTTGTATTGGTGAACATACATGAATTATACTACAATGCCACATTGTTTGAGGACCTAGTTAACATAGACATAGCAGATGAGCAAGCCAAAGATACGCAGAATAAGATACAAAGAGAGAGAACAAGACCTGGACCAAAACCTGGACATGGGGGGCGACAGCCGCTTCATAAGAAATACCCAAACATAGTTGATGGAGCAGTCAACTATATGATGCTACATGGATTTGCTGCTCAGCAACGTAGACGTACTGATGTGGCTACATCTGTTGGTGTAACAACCAAAGACTTGAGAAAGCATCTTATCGAAACCATTCCAGATCTGACGACTATATCAACCAGTACTGTCTCTCGTCTCATGATGCCTACTAACCTCAATTTTAAGAGTGCTAAGTACTACAAAGGTGTAATCAGAGCAAAGGTCCCTGCCAAGAATAATAGCCTCAAAAAGGATCATCCTGATCTTCAGTTCATTAGATCACAAATAGCAACAGCAAATGAAATAGCAACACAATATCAACACAATGTACATTTGTTCAGTTGTGATGACAAAAACAAAGTGGCAGTTGGCACTTTAGCAGTATCGCGATACCATCAAATAAAAAAATTCTTCTTAGAGGGTGATGAACCAAATTACCAGGATCATGACTTCCCATTTCCGAATGCGAAAATTATTCCGAGTGGATATTTGCTTCTAGATAATAGTAAAAACTGCAAACAAAGATCGAGAAGTTGTGAACGTGTAAACATGAAGAACAGACAAGTGCGTAGTCAATCTTGCCCAGCAGGCAACCATTTTTCTGGTGATCTGGCAAATGTAAACTTAAAATTGGATAAACTTGGCAGATTGAGGTTGCCATATACCAGGACAGGAACCCTCCATGTTTTCCAAAGGGCAAGTATGTTTAAATCATCTACTGCTCAAAGCCACGCCAATGATCTTTACAAATTGCTAAAAAATGAACTGGATGAGAAACCTGTGTGTATCAATTTATCGGATGGAGGACCTGATTGGTCAACAAAATCACAGCTCAGCTTATTCTACCATGGCAGATTGTGGAGGGATCTGAACTTTGACTATTATGCTCTGCTGAACCACTGTCCTAACAATTCAGCGGAAAATCCAGTGGAACATTTCTGGTCTCCCCTCTCAAAAAACTTGGCAAGTGTCACCTTGCCAATTACTTTGCCAGGAGAAAATGAACCCCCCATGACTCAGACCAACCTTGATGAAGAAACCAAAAAGGCAAAATGTGGTCAAGTATTTGACAATGCTATATGTCAGCTGTGCCAATACTGGCATATAGACATCGATGGTTACCCAGTGAAGTGTTTCCCAAAACCATGTCTAAGTCCCGAATCTCCATTTGATGATCACAGTGCAGTGGACAGTATATTCAAAAAGGGAATCCGAGAAGTTCGTGCAAGTGATGAACTTGAGCCCCTACGAGCTGAATATGAATTCTTCATCAATCACTGCACACGTAGAACATATGTACTCGAATTTTCTAAGTGCACTGCCAATGATTGTCATCACTGTTCATCACATCCTGTAAGGGCAGTTGAATTTATGAAGTACATGAAAGGCTTAGGTGGAAGGTTACCAACTCCAACTAAAAGTTCAGTTCATGATGGTCACTACTTAACAAAGCTAGAGTTGGACCACCACTTGATTATCGAGGGGAAAGCACCAATAGGTAATTAAAAATATGGTTTTTATCTTATTTTTTAAATTAGTAGTAGCAGCCAAAAGTTGTATTTTTTGTAGAAATTTCAATGAATATGACAAAATCACTTAGAAACTTTTCACTAAGAAATCATATTTGGGAAAATCGAACAATATATAAACAGACAGACCAAATTAAATCTACCCCAATAATTTTAAAATCACGAAAATAGCAACTTTTTGATTAACTGAAAAGTAATTATTTCTGTGTTAACTGATTCAAGGTTTAGATGAGGGCCTTCCTTCAAAATCAGATCCAATTAGCTATTGCCCCAGGGGATGTTCATATGTCATACAATCCAAAGCAGATGGAAACAAGCATGACCTGCTTTGTCACTACACGCAGAGGACCAGTGAGCAAAGAGTGAAACAAAGAGAGAGGAAACTCCAGGAAAGGGTAAATATGGCTAAACTATTGCAAACTAATGCTGGTACATTAATAATCTCAGATGTAATTAACTTTAAGACATATAAAAAGGAAAGATCAATAAACATTAATCTAATAGTTGAATACAAATTATATATTAGATTAATTGCACATTTCTTTACACATTACAAGATGCATATCAAATACCTTTATCTGCCTTTATACATGTACATCTGTACATTATCATTTTAAATTTTTGAAATACTAGTTAAAATGAAGCATGTAAAATTTATTTTTCAGAATGATGGTACCACTGACAACGTAGAACTAGGAAATCCAGCCCACACATTTGTTTGCCACCATCACTGTCCTGACACTGGTATGGACTGCTCAATGAGGTATGTTTCCCTTTACCTGTGTGATTGGTGTATTACAATATACATGTTTTCTCAGTCCCACATGCTGACATGTGTAGCATTCTGATACTCATCACATTTTTCCGTCTTCTACTAGAAATATGATTCTAGTGTGAAGCTAAATAGAAGGCCATGATTTCATATGATGCATGTGTTTTTGTAGTGGTTTTATTCTATACTGGGCTGAGAAAAGTAAGTGGCAAATGGAGGAGTCATATACAACAAACTGTATATAAAATTGTTATAAATTCTATTTTTATTGTTTATTTTACATATATTCATTTTTTAAAGTTTACATTTTGTACTACATGCAAAAATAAATACAGTACAACAATTTATAAACTTTTTTTGTTTTCAGTTTTCCAACAAGTTACATGCTCAGAAAGCACAAACTGGAGTCTGGGCATTTAAAGCCACGGAAGAGGCAAAGGGTGAATTGAACATGATGAATATACAGTGCATGGAATAACAGTACATAATCAATACATGAAATATATATACAGTGCATGAAATATACAGTTTAAATACTATGTACATGGAATACTACTACAATAATTTGAATCTACGATTTTGGATAATAATACAAATGAATTAAAATAATGGAATTACTTGAATATACCTACAGTGCAGCATGTGCATGGAACTTGGAATATTATGCCTACTGTTGTTTTCACAAAGAATTCTACATAAGTTATGGTACAAGTTTACGAAAAGATGCGGAAAGTCCGAGATCAACTTTCATGGTATTTAGTTTTGGGGGGGAGGGGGGGGGTCTAACCCAAAACTAGATTTATTTAGTTTTCTATCAGACATTGAACTTTTGATGCCTCCCCTTACATGCAACATTGTTATAATCTCATTATTGAAGATGCTGGATCATGTTGATAAAATTATCTTTACTTCAATTAGAATCTTTAAAACAGTAACTGTGAAAACTTCTGATATTTTAACCGAGTTGTGTATTGCTTTGCCAGAACAGGTTCAATAAGAATTTGCAACAAGTAGAAAACAAATCCTTAAGGAGATTGGTAAATGCATGTACTGGATATTTTTTCTTATTTATTCTAGACCAGACCAAAAGAAAGAAATCAAGTTATATGTACGGGGAATACCAAACAATCTCACCCAAGAAGCTTTGAAGAATGTATTCTCAGCTGCTGGAGATGTACTGGAAGTTAAGAAGTGTGAGTCAAAGAAGTTGGATAGAAATGATACATTTGGGTATGTATTATATAAACTGTCTCAAAATTATTTATGTAAGAAAGGATGAGTCTGGGAATGAGTCTGGGTATCGACTTAGAAAATATTGAAAATTGTAATGTCTGAAAAACCAACTCAATCACACATATTATTAAACTTCAATATCTTATCCTTCTTCTGAGATTACAAAAATACCAATTTGTATCACAATTGATGAAGAATATTGGCATCAAAGACAGTGCATATCACTTTGTCAGAATTGAAAGAAAATCAATGGCAAATATTAAATCAATTATTTATACAAAAAGTTTGAAATATATCCTCCAAAACATTGCTTACTTTCTTTGTATAGACATTGAATGGTATTTCTGCATAAGTGAATTGGTGTTTATCTGGGTAATCAAGGGATTATAGTCACTCAAAGTTACTGAGCATCCAGTTTTGAGACTTCAATTGTGTTGGTGAAGTTACACATATTTCAGTCAAATTCATGCTGAGCACAACATTTTGGTTTCAATTTTATAATCTCTATACATGACCCTGGTGATGAAGAGTCAGAATCAGTCAAAAAACCTAAACCGGAAAACTGTGCTCATTGTGAAAACTAAAAGTGAAACAACTTTTTTTCTGATATTTCTTACATCAAATGGCAGCCATCTTGTTTTTCCCCCTTGAAATTAAACTGGCGGGAAATTCAAAAGTTTGAAAAAAATTGTAATCCTTAAATATATTTCAAAAATATGATTTTCTTTTTAATTCTTCAATGGGTCTTAAGTTATTTCTTCTTTGTATGTCATACATGTTGCCATTGGTGTTTTTTTCTATGATGATGACTATTTTGTTTTTGTTAAGATACTTATTCTGACTCTCAGCAGGGGGTTAATTATGCATCAAATCTTGTGAAAAAGTAAGTATACTTATCAAATATAACTAGGACAGTAATAAAAACCATATTTCACATACATTTGACTGAGGGACCAAAAGGGCATATACCCGGACACATCCTTTCCATAAGTTTGACATTTCACCGTTGGGTATTGCAATTTAACAGTTGGGTTTTTCAATTTACCATGTATTCAGATAATATTTTCTTTTACAGGACATTTCTTTTCTAAAATTATCATATGCATATGGGTTATACAGAAATCAATCAACTTAAACTGATAAATATTCAAGTTAAATGGAACTTTCTACTTTATCTGCCATGTTATCTGACCCAAATTAGCCATCTGGTGGCGAAACTGGTAACTACCTACTGGCATATGTATTATTATATATTTCAGGTTTGTTACATTTGGGCGTGTGAAAGATGCGGAGGCTGCCATATCTCAGCTTGATGGCTACAAGATTGGACAGTTTACTCTCAGAGTTTCTGTGGCACAATCTCCTGAAGAAAAGAAAAGACGGGAACAAAAGAAATTGGTAATAATCCATTTTTTCGGATACATAACTGATGATTTCAGCTTAATGTAGTCACAGAATGAATGCAGTCTTGAAATTGAATAATTGAAACAACGAGGGCTTTACCAGCCATTGTTGGCTCCAATCTCAGTACTTGAAACTTCACATAAGATACTATAGTATCTGGTCAGATAGAGATGGAGGGGTACCATATTATCTTGTTAAATATTACATAAATATCCCAAAAATGGTAATGCTACAGTTATGATTGAAATGACCAGTGATTGAATATTTTATAAATGCCACCTGATCGACTTGTATTGTTTTGAATTAGCATGGTGATAAAGTGAATGGTATGGTAGTGATACATAAAAATGGGTTGTGGTACCTGCACTCAATACCATCTAATGGAGACCACAAGTTACAACAATAGATTTAGGAATTAAGTACATTTCGAGGAATAGATTTCATAATAGTAAATTTTACATGCGTTGTCCATTTATACAGACGGATTATGCAATGTTTTTATTTCAGGAAGAGCAACAATTTTTAGACTCACTAAATGCTTCAGGGAAACTTCAGAATACTGAGGATGAGTTTGGGAATATAGAACCACCCCCAGATGGTAAACATATAACAGCTAGTGGACGGAGTGGGTTGAAGGTATCTGTGAGAAGTGACACTATAGCTGATGTAGACCCTCAGCTACCCAGCCCAGGTCTAAAAGGAGACAGGTTCGTGGAAACTATATTTCCTGATACAAAGCATTGACTACCAAGCATTAGAGCAACAATTGGCTTTGGAAAGCACCACCAATAATTTACATTTCATTATTGATTTTGTTCTGTCAGAATTTACTTTTGCATCTGGAAAATGTGAAATGTAACACCACATCATTAATCCAAGATTGCAATTCTTCACATCTAAGTCATAAATCATTCCAGGTAAAAAGTCGCAAGGCCAACCTCCTCGAGCTATTCTCATTACTATTGGTTACATTAACCAAGTATCTCGAACCACCATCAGCTCTTGTCTTCAGTTATCTTGCCATGTTGATTTTAGAAATGTTGTTAAAATGCTAATATATCACCATGTTTATTGCCAAGATGTTGATTGCAATACAACTGATATCATAATAAACCAAATGGTACTAGAATCAACAGCAATAAATCAAAACAATCCTATGATAATGTAACCTTATTTTCTAAGTTGAACACAAATAGAAATCATCATTTACTCTCTAGTAGTAATTACCGATAATTGAATGAGGCCAGTTACAACTTTGTCAAACAACTTAACACAATGTCAATTGCGAAAGTCTAGTTAAGGGTTTAGGAAGAGCTTTATATATTTGTCTGTTTCTTTGAAGGTGCCACTTAAGGGTTTAGGAAGAGCTTTCTGTTTCTTTCAGGGGGCCAGTTAAGGGTTTAGGAAGAGCTTTATATGTTTGTCTGTTTCTTTCAGGGGGCCAGTTAAGGGTTTAGGAAGAGCTTTATATATTTGTCTGTTTCTTTCAGGGGGCCAGTTAAGGGTTTAGGAAGAGCTTTATATATTTGTCTGTTTCTTTCAGGGGGCCAGTTAAGGGTTTAGGAAGAGCCAAGATGATGCAGCTTGCAGCAGCAGGGACAAAAAATAGCCCAGAAAATGTGCCTAAACGTAAGAATATTTCTGTTTACTATGGTTTTTATGTCATCACCAAAAAGTGGTGACATATTGTTATGGTCTCGATTTTTGTGACGGCGGTTGGTGATCATCGGATGGAGGTTGGTGGTTGGCGGTTGCTGATCGGCGTCTGTAACAAATTCTTACAACTTCCAATTATTTAACAAATACTGTTTTAACTGACATCAGTTTTTTTCAAAATCATCGACAAGTTTTCTGAAGTTCAAATCTGACTTAAGATTTAAGATTTGCCCTTCAATGACCTTCTCAAGATCAAAAATAGGTTAAAAAGGCCCCTTTTCAACTTGTTTCAAATTGGCCGAATTTTTTTTCAAAATCATCTACAAGTTCTCAAAGGTTCAAATCTGATTATAGATTTGACCTTTAATGACCTTCTCAAGTTAAAAAAAGATTCATAATATTGTGAGCAACTAGATGGTGACATTTTGTCATGTTAATGCCTTTTTTTTAAGAGATCTTTTTTCAACTTGCTTCAAATTGACCAATTTTTTTTTTAATCATCTACAAGTTCTCAGAAGTTCAAATCTGACTTTAGATTTGAGATTTCACCTCCAATGACCTTCTTAAGGTCAGAAAAGGCTAAAAAGGCCCCTTTTCAACTTGTTTCAAATTGGCCAAATTTTTTTTCAAAATCATCTACAAGTTCTCAAAGGTTCAAATCTGATTATAGATTTGACCTTAAATGACCTTCTCAAGTTAAAAAAAGATTCATAATATTGTGAGCAACTAGATGGTTACATTTTGTCATGTTAATGCCTTTTTTTTATTTTTATTTAAATTTCTGTGCTACTTTTTACTATAGTTGCTTTAGTGAATTGATTGCTGTGCTTGCCTGCTTGTTTGATGCTGTATGATTATACGTATGCATGTATATTATATATAAAGTTAAGTACATGAAGGTCATAATATCAATACTTTTCTTCATAAACACTAAACAAAAGAAAACAAAGATTTGGTTTATTGGAGAGGGGAATAACCTACCTGACTTGACTTTTATCATTCATGTGTTTTAATTCAGCATACAACTTCTTCTGCGATATCTTACACTGCTACGTAAAATGCTTGTTATAAGAATATAGGAACCTTATTGTTGGGTTGAGTATCAGTGAACCATAGATGACAAAGGTGGTTTGTGGTTCCAGCTGCAGTTCCAAAGATACGCACCATGTCACAACGTTACGGCGCAGCCAGCCCTCCAAGACCCTCCAAGAGTGACTCCTCTGAGCAGAACTCTCCACAGAGACCCAATCCTTCACCCTCAGGACCCACCAAACCTTCACCCCAGCCTGTTGTTACGCCATCACCCACAGGAGTTCTCAAACAGACACCCACACAGCACCCCAGTCCAGGGTCAGTCAATCCTACACAGCCATCCCCCAAACAATCATCCCCCCATGTAACTAGTCCCAACCCTAGTCTTCATACACCTAGTCCCCAAGCTCTATTAGAGTCTGGTCCACCCACATTGTCAGATCACCCAGATGCCCCTCCAGAGTTGAAGTCAGGCTATGATTCAGATACCTCAAACCAGAGTTCTGCTAGTAAATCTTATGGTCGAGGTGGTAGGGGTCGAGGAAGGAGGGGGAACAATTACAATGTGAGGGGTGGTACACCCAGATTCAATGTACCTTATTCTCACCAGCAGTATGCCTACCCACCAGCTCCTCTTCATGCTTTATGCCAATGTGCAGATTGTGTACAACCTCACATGCAGCAGCAGTACTACCCCCCAGTCCAGGGTTATATGCCCCAGAGTGGATACCAGCCCCAGGGTGGTTACTACCCTCATGGTGGCTACAACTACCAACATAACTTCCAGTATAATCCAAGAGGTGGGCGAAGGGGAGGGCCACGCTACCAGGGGCCTCAACGGGGAGGTCACATACAGCAGTCAGAAAACCCCATGGGATCCTCACATACACCTGGGACTGAGGGTAAGTTCTGCTCATGGAAATAACAAATTTGATTTACACTTATGTAAGTGTGTAAGCATTACATTTTCATTGACTCTCAACTGGAAAAACGTAATAATTCAAACCATATTCTTAAAGCAACTCTCTTAGACTTTAGAGGGTGAAATTAGAGATTTTAAACTAAGTGTCTCAAGAAAATAGTCCCACCTTTCTATAAGATTTGGTGCTAAAAATAGCTGATCCATGGATATATATCATTTTGAAAATTAGAATAGAGAAAGACATTTTTGAGATCCTTCAACTCACCATGACAAGGAATAGATTCTCTAAATGAAAGTTGAAATAAAACATCTTAAATTCTTATTGTAACTTGCAATACTTTGTCTGGCATGTATTACCATTAAATAGCCATTAAATAATGGCCATTGGGGTAAGGTCAAAGAAACTTAGTAGAATGAAAGAACTTTGAACAAGGTTGTATAAAATAACACTTTTTACAGATGCTTTTAATTAACATTTGTTTGGGTTACAATTCTGGCTCACTCACTAGTAGACTGCACTTTGTTTCAATTGAATTGCTCTACTCCAAAAATTCCTGTGCTTCCATATATAGCCTAATTATAAAGTATAGAAGAATTGGTAGTTTTTTTATGCCTTGTCTGATCCTTGCTTTGCTAGTGATTCAAACCCTTAATGCTGTTCTATTTAACATTGTAGCTAAACCATTACATAACAATGGCTTCTTCTTAATAGCATATTTAGTTTTGTAAATTGTCAATGATTAAGAATTTTTATTACACTTTGGCTGATAAAACTGCTAGTAGAATTCCAAAGTTTTCTCAAATTCAGAATACTTCTGAATCCACCCTCCCTCATATTCTCATATATATCTTTCACTAGGTCCTGGAATGAAGAAGACTCCCAAACCAGTACGACCTCCTAGGCCATGTAATGTCTGCAAATCAATGACATCCAAGTATTGCACATCTTGCCAGTATATACACTACTGCTCCAGGGAATGTCAGACAAAAGATTGGGCCGACCATAAAGTAAAATGTTCCCATTTCAAGTAAGTAATTTACATAATTTGTAATCAAGTTTATTTATCAATCCTGAAAGCACTAAAAAAGTAATAATAATATTAGAACTATGTGTATTTAAAGTGGTACTGTCTGTAATTATCCCAACGAACGAAGTTCGGTAGGGATATAGTGAAGCCCTCCGTCCGTCCATCTGTCCGTCCGTCCGTCAGTCAGTCAGTCCGTCCATCTGTCCGGAAGATAACTCAAATACTAGTAGATGGATTTTCTTCATATTTAGTGGAAAGATGTATATTGGTGAATAGTTTTACGCAAGATGGCCGCCGCTTTAAAAATGACGGGACTTTTTCGCAAAAATCATAAATTTTTCATTCTAAACCAAAGTAATTAATATTATTGTTTGAAATTTTGGTAGTATATTCACAACATTTATCTATTTTACATATATTCCGTGTTTTTCATCCTGACCCCCAGGGGCCGTGTATGGGGGGACAGGAAAACAGAAATTTTCTAGATCTTTCTGAAGTATAGCTTTATTATACTCAAATGAAAGGCAATTAAGAGTAGATTGCAAATATTGTATCTTTTTCTGATTCGAGCCTTGTAAATTTCAAAATGGCCGTCTAATGTACGATTTCGCAATAATTTTTCGATCCCTTCAAAGTATGGCTATATTATACTCAAATTGAAGGAATTTTGGAGTAGATCACAATTATGGTATTATTTTTCAGATTTGTATCTCTGAAAATTCAAAATGGCTGCTTTGCAGTAATTCGCAATTCTAAAATCTAATTTTTTCAATTTTAACCAAAGTAATGAGTATAATTGATTGGAATTGGGTAATTGATATTTTGTTCGTTGGGATTTGCTACTCCGTGGAGTTGCCGTTATCTAGTATTAGCATTTTTATTATCCCAGTGTTATGTCTTCTCATTAAGCCTGGATTAAATGTCAATTGGGAGAGGGCAGAGCCCATAAAACACGAGGAAAAACATTGTAGTAAGGGTCCAGAGTGTTTAATCCATCTTTGTATTTACATAAATATACGTACAAGAAATAATGAAACAAAAATTGACAAAAAATGTTTTGTTTTTAGAGGGTTAGGTGACTTGGAGAGTAAGTTTGATATTAGTATAGGAGAAAATCTCATCAACCCCCCTGCAGGTGCTGTCAATCACAATGCAGGTGCTGCCAATCCCCCTGCAACTGCTGCCAATCCCCCTACAGGTGCTGCCAATCCTACAGCTACTGCCAATCCCCATACAGGTGCTCCCAATCCTCCTGTAGATGCTGTCAACAAATCTCAGACAGGTATAGTTATGTCGTCAACACAAGTGGTGAAATATTGTAATAGTCTACAACATTTTTGTTGATATGGTGTATGGTGGTTGGTGGGTGGTGTTTGACATTTGGTGTTTGGCATCATTAAAAATGGTGACAATGTGCTCTTCACTACACTTCTTTCTATAATTGTAAGAGTATTAATGAATGTTTTATACCATTCATTATTCATCAGATAAGATTTTATGTTTTTCTTCAAATATTAACTGTTTCAAAACAATAGTCAGTGTTTGATATTATTTTTGCAGTTGAAGCCAGTCATGACAAGGAAGAGAAAGCCAAGTCTCCATCTCCCGTTGGTGATGCTCCTGCACGGTCAGTTAGTCCTGGGGCCCCAAGAGTCAAGTCATTCAGGATCCAACATGAGAAAATTCCAGAAACCAGTAAAGTATGCAAACACAACTCATGGTGTAAATGTTATGGAGCTCTCTATATTAAAGCCATCGGCCTCCATAGATTGTTCAAACTAATGACTAAATAAAGGAAAAATGGAGGGAGTAGACCATTTCGCTAGGACCAAAATAATATTACTCCTATATCAATTCAGCTAGTTCTAAAATAATATCAATTCAGACTTGTGCTTAGACATGCTTATTACTATCAGCATATTTAGGTCATTTATCAGCATATTTAGGTCATGTGCATCAATCAATCATTCATTATCATTCTAGGTTGTAATCCAGGAATTCTACTCACCAAAGAATATTTGGGTCAACATTGCCACCAAACAAATAGAGAACAGTCTCAATGAACTCGGAGCCAGTATGCAAAAGGTGAGAATGGAAAATTGAGCCAGGCCACAGGAAAAGGGGTCTTATCACAGATTTTTTCAATATTCTGATTTTTTGTTTATCTTAAAAAGCACAAAGAAACCTTTCAAATGAGCCATGGCTTATGTCCTAACAATTTTTCCTTGCATATATAGACCAAAAAGTCGGATCTGAATTTAGCACATTTTCCTCTTAAATCGTGGGCTCATTTTTGGCTCTGTAGCACAATATTAATTTATATTTATTTGAGTTGTGTGCGGTTTGGAGTCGCTTGATCACTATTTTAACCCAATATGTTATATCAATTATTGGGTTTACATGATTTCAACATAATTCTTACAGAAACATTAGTTGATCTATCTCAATTTAATACTATATTCTTATACCGAAGGGGTCCCTATCGCTCAGAAATATATTACAATACACGATATATTTGATATATGTTTTTACTTACTTTAGTTGCAGTACATTAACCTGTTCCTTACATGCACTTTGGTTGGTGCTGGGGAGGCTGGTGGGCTTTCCAGGTTGTGAGTTCGCAAACTGATTCCCGCCAATTGTAGTCATGTGACATTTCCTCCTTATCACATGATCTTTGTAAATTAACATTAACTCACCTATGCAGTTGTGCCATCTATACATCACTTACGAGATAGGTACAACTGTATGAATATCTAGTGATCTAAGCCAACTCCAAAACACATAAATATTTATATTTCATATAAGTCATTTTTGTGATAAGACTGGTTTTCCTATGGCCAGGCTCAATTATCAAAGAATAAGAACTATAATTCATTATGGGCCCCGTGTTAAGTTTGAAAATATAGTGGGTAAAACTTGATATGGGGCCTTTAAACATTTATATCATTGGTAAAAGTGGCATTTACACACCTGACAATCTGTTGCCTCTCTCCTGAAGAAAATATGGAGAATTTAATGGTAAATCCGAAAACAAAAATGAAAATCAGGAGACTGATAAATTGCCTGGGAGGCCTCTTAAAAAGGTTCAGCTTTGTAGATATCTCCTAAAATTGAGAAAATCCAAATGAGAACACTGTGTTACAAAATGCAAATGAATTATTGTATTTATTTATGCTTAAAAAAGCATGAGATGAATTAAGGATTTAAGCCCTGGACTCAGTGCATTTTGGACCGAGTATCATTCCTCCAAGGTGTTGTTTGAAACTTTGCATGAGATTTGCAGAATCAAGTGCTAAGTTTAGGAAACAGCGGCCGATTGGAAAAAATCAGCCACAATGCATTGAGTCTTGGGCTTAAATTCTTTTCACACATAATAACATTGCAAAATATTTTATACAATATCACTGAAATGATACAAAAGGATCTTTTAAAGAATATATTTACAAGGAAACTTTTTGCAAGGGTCAAGTTGTCACCTTGACAACTATTCAACACCATTTTACCTGTATAAGCACTAGCCTTGTTATTCCCTATTATTCTATTTTAAGATTTTTACTCAAATATGAAATTGATCATCTAATAGGTTCCATTAGTTTAACTAGAATAAAAAAATCACCTTGGTTGCATTAGAGAAGAATATTACAATGCAGTTTTATGAAATAGCGTGTTCTGATTGGCTGGAATTGGACACCCTTGCCTAGCCAGTTATATGTAAATAATATAAAAGGAATCTGAATGGTTCATGATCTTTCATGAAACAGGCATACCAGAGTTCAGAGAACAAGGCACCTAACAGCTATACACCTGAAAAGGGGGAGTTGATAGCGGCCAAGTTTAAAGATGGTGCTTGGTATCGTGCCCAGGTAGAGTGTATCAACCAGAACATGACATTAACTGTACTGTTTGTGGACTACGGAAACAAAGATGATGTACACATCAAAGACACCCGAAAAATCAATGAGGGATTTATCAATTTGAAAAAACAGGTACATGTATGTTTCATTATTTCTGTGCTTTGAGAAATTACACTAAAAACATGTAGTAATGGTTTCACATATGTGGATATGTTACTGGGTGAGAAATTTCTAGGGTGTCCCATGTACACTGGGACTACCAAATTAAGCGTAAAGTTGAACTCGTGGGGTAAGGTACTACACAAGGGTCATGAAATTTAGCAAACTGATGTTTTCATTGCTTTTATGTAAATGTCTATAGCAACATCCTAGACAGTGAACTTGCCAGTGAATTTCATAGTTAAACTATTACACAAATCCATAATGCAGTATACAGTATAATGCGCGGTAATGATATGATACAACAAGGGAATTTGAATTTGCATTATACCATATCTCAGGTTTGCTAAATTTCATCACCCTCGTGTTGTACCATACCCCGCGTTTTCAACTGTCACGCTTAATTTGGTACAGTCCCTGTGATGTAATATAACAATACATAGTAGTGATAATGATTGGCTGTTTTATTTAGATATTTGTGTAGAGCATTAAATGGCTTCAGGGATTTGAGTGTGCAGTTTGTGAGTTATTGCACTGAATTGACTATAGATCTTCCTCTGGATATGGTGACCTTAGTGAAGAATTCTGCTTTTGTTTAGCTACAATTGAGACTAAAATGTGCAATAAACTTTAGCTTGTTTTCTCCATGTTTTTCAATAGGGAATCCAGTGTGCATTGTATGGTGTTGAAAGTGAAACTTCATGGCCAAGCAATCTTGCAGGTGTAGTCAAGACTTTCTTGGGGACAAATAGCCAGCTAGTGTGCAAATACAGGGGTCAGAGAAACAGTGAGCGGCAGGTAGACCTCATGCATCCACAGAGTAAGTAGTTCACTGCTGTATGTGGACTAAAAACTAGGCTAGGCTAATTGAAATTTCTGCATTGTTTTTATAAGAAATAAATACTGAAAGTGTGAAATAACATCCCATTTACAATTTTGTTTACATGTTCTACTCATATTCACGTTGCTACAATGCTTTGAAGCTGCAATATAAATATTTCTAATGCTGTTGTTTTCTTTGCCTATTTTAGCTGGTAAATCTCTGGCTGAACACCTTGCAGAGAAGGGTTTGTGTAGGCTTCAAGGGGTCTCCAACAGAAATCGTTCTCAGTCAGGGGGGTCCACTGGGTCTGACAATTCTCCAAGGGAACCAAGTCCCAAAGATAACAAATCTTCATTCCACCCAACTGAAACTCGTCAAGCTCCCCAAGAGGCCAATCAAGCTGCCCAAGGGGCAAGTAAATCTCCCCAAGGGGCTCGTCCTAAAGAAAGTCAGTCCCAACAGGATACTCATCAAAAGGAGCGACAAGTGGCCCAAGGTGCTAGACCAAAATCTCCAAGGTAATTATTGTTGTTGACAGAACTGTAGAGTTGATATGGTTAGGCCCTTTGTTCATTATTTCTTGGAAATGTGGAAAATGCCTGTTTGTGCTCATAACATATGCTTTGCCCAAAAAGAATTAATGCGGAAATTCTAATATTTAAAAAAGAAAGACAAATAACTTTTTCTCAAAAATATTTTTTTCTTGAAAAAATAAGTTGTTCCAAAAGTAACAACTGTTTGATAAATCAAAAACAGACTTTCAAACTTCACAGAGGTAGTGTCACTCTCAAGGTCTTACATGTTAAGATGTTATTTCAGGTACAAAAGCAAGACGAAGGAGTTACAGTTAAACAAGCAATTAATGGCTGTAGTGACAGAGTTAGTGTCACTCTCAAGGTCTTACATGTTAAGATGTTATTTCAGGTACAAAAGCAAGACGAAGGAGTTACAGTTAAACAAGCAATTAATGGCTGTAGTGACAGAGTTAGTGTCACCCTCAGAGTTCTTACATGTTAAGATGTTATTTCAGGTACAAAAGCAAGATGAAGGAGTTACAATTAAACAAGCAATTAATGGCTGTAGTGACAGAGTTAGTGTCACCCTCAGAGTTCTTACATGTTAAGATGTTATTTCAGGTACAAAAGTAAGATGAAGGAGTTACAATTAAACAAGCAATTAATGGCTGTAGTGACAGAGGTAGTGTCACTCTCAGAGTTCTTACATGTTAAGATGTTATTTCAGGTACAAAAGCAAGATGAAGGAGTTACAGTTGAACAAGCAATTAATGGCTGTAGTGACAGAGGTAGTGTCACCCTCAGAGTTCTTACATGTTAAGATGTTATTTCAGGTACAAAAGCAAGATGAAGGAGTTACAATTAAACAAGCAATTAATGGCTGTAGTGACAGAGGTAGTGTCAACCTCAGAGTTCTTACATGTTAAGATGTTATTTCAGGTACAAAAGCAAGATGAAAGAGTTACAATTAAACAAGCAATTAATGGCTGTAGTGACAGAGGTAGTGTCACCCTCAGAGTTCTTACATGTTAAGATGTTATTTCAGGTACAAAAGCAAGATGAAGGAGTTACAGTTGAACAAGCAATTAATGGCTGTAGTGACAGAGGTAGTGTCACCCTCAGAGTTCTTACATGTTAAGATGTTATTTCAGGTACAAAAGCAAGATGAAGGAGTTACAGTTAAACAAGCAATTAATGGCTGTGGTGACAGAGGTAGTGTCACCCTCAGAGTTCTTACATGTTAAGATGTTATTTCAGGTACAAAAGCAAGATGAAAGAGTTACAATTAAACAAGCAATTAATGGCTGTAGTGACAGAGGTAGTGTCACCCTCAGAGTTCTTACATGTTAAGATGTTATTTCAGGTACAAAAGCAAGATGAAGGAGTTACAGTTAAACAAGCAATTAATGGCTGTAGTGACAGAGGTAGTGTCACCCTCAGAGTTCTTACATGTTAAGATGTTATTTCAGGTACAAAAGCAAGATGAAGGAGTTACAGTTAAACAAGCAATTAATGGCTGTAGTGACAGAGGTAGTGTCACCCTCAGAGTTCTTACATGTTAAGATGTTATTTCAGGTACAAAAGCAAGATGAAGGAGTTACAGTTAAACAAGCAATTAATGGCTGTAGTGACAGAGGTAGTGTCACCCTCAGAGTTCTTACATGTTAAGATGTTATTTCAGGTACAAAAGCAAGATGAAGGAGTTACAGTTAAACAAGCAATTAATAGCTGTAGTGACAGAGGTAGTGTCACCCTCAGAGTTCTTACATGTTAAGATGTTATTTCAGATACAAAAGCAAGATGAAGGAGTTACAATTAAACAAGCAATTAATGGCTGTAGTGACAGAGGTAGTATCACCCTCAGAGTTCTTACATGTTAAGATGTTATTTCAGGTACAAAAGCAAGATGAAGGAGTTACAGTTAAACAAGCAATTAATGGCTGTGGTGACAGAGGTAGTGTCACCCTCAGAGTTCTTACATGTTAAGATGTTATTTCAGGTACAAAAGCAAGATGAAAGAGTTACAATTAAACAAGCAATTAATGGCTGTAGTGACAGAGGTAGTGTCACCCTCAGAGTTCTTACATGTTAAGATGTTATTTCAGGTACAAAAGCAAGATGAAGGAGTTACAGTTAAACAAGCAATTAATGGCTGTAGTGACAGAGGTAGTGTCACCCTCAGAGTTCTTACATGTTAAGATGTTATTTCAGGTACAAAAGCAAGATGAAGGAGTTACAGTTAAACAAGCAATTAATGGCTGTAGTGACAGAGGTAGTGTCACCCTCAGAGTTCTTACATGTTAAGATGTTATTTCAGGTACAAAAGCAAGATGAAGGAGTTACAGTTAAACAAGCAATTAATGGCTGTAGTGACAGAGGTAGTGTCACCCTCAGAGTTCTTACATGTTAAGATGTTATTTCAGGTACAAAAGCAAGATGAAGGAGTTACAGTTAAACAAGCAATTAATAGCTGTAGTGACAGAGGTAGTGTCACCCTCAGAGTTCTTACATGTTAAGATGTTATTTCAGGTACAAAAGCAAGATGAAGGAGTTACAATTAAACAAGCAATTAATGGCTGTAGTGACAGAGGTAGTATCACCCTCAGAGTTCTTACATGTTAAGATGTTATTTCAGGTACAAAAGCAAGATGAAAGAGTTACAATTAAACAAGCAATTAATGGCTGTAGTGACAGAGGTAGTATCACCCTCAGAGTTCTTACATGTTAAGATGTTATTTCAGGTACAAAAGCAAGATGAAGGAGTTACAATTAAACAAGCAATTAATGGCTGTAGTGACAGAGGTAGTATCACCCTCAGAGTTCTTACATGTTAAGATGTTATTTCAGGTACAAAAGCAAGATGAAAGAGTTACAATTAAACAAGCAATTAATGGCTGTAGTGACAGAGGTAGTGTTACCCTCAGAGTTCTTACATGTTAAGATGTTATTTCAGGTACAAAAGCAAGATGAAGGAGTTACAGTTGAACAAGCAATTAATGGCTGTAGTGACAGAGGTAGTGTCACCCTCAGAGTTCTTACATGTTAAGATGTTATTTCAGGTACAAAAGCAAGATGAAGGAGTTACAGTTAAACAAGCAATTAATGGCTGTAGTGACAGAGGTAGTGTCACCCTCAGAGTTCTTACATGTTAAGATGTTATTTCAGGTACAAAAGCAAGATGAAGGAGTTACAGTTGAACAAGCAATTAATGGCTGTGGTGACAGAGGTAGTGTCACCCTCAGAGTTCTTACATGTTAAGATGTTATTTCAGGTACAAAAGCAAGATGAAGGAGTTACAGTTAAACAAGCAATTAATGGCTGTAGTGACAGAGGTAGTGTCACCCTCAGAGTTCTTACATGTTAAGATGTTATTTCAGGTACAAAAGCAAGATGAAAGAGTTACAATTAAACAAGCAATTAATGGCTGTAGTGACAGAGGTAGTGTCACCCTCAGAGTTCTTACATGTTAAGATGTTATTTCAGGTACAAAAGCAAGATGAAGGAGTTACAGTTAAACAAGCAATTAATGGCTGTAGTGACAGAGGTAGTGTCACCCTCAGAGTTCTTACATGTTAAGTTGTTATTTCAGGTACAAAAGCAAGATGAAGGAGTTACAGTTAAACAAGCAATTAATGGCTGTAGTGACAGAGGTAGTGTCACCCTCAGAGTTCTTACATGTTAAGATGTTATTTCAGGTACAAAAGCAAGATGAAGGAGTTACAGTTAAACAAGCAATTAATGGCTGTGGTGACAGAGGTAGTGTCACCCTCAGAGTTCTTACATGTTAAGATGTTATTTCAGGTACAAAAGCAAGATGAAACAGTTACAATTAAACAAGCAATTAATGGCTGTAGTGACAGAGGTAGTGTCACCCTCAGAGTTCTTACATGTTAAGATGTTATTTCAGGTACAAAAGCAAGATGAAACAGTTACAATTAAACAAGCAATTAATGGCTGTAGTGACAGAGGTAGTGTCACCCTCAGAGTTCTTACATGTTAAGATGTTATTTCAGGTACAAAAGCAAGATGAAAGAGTTACAATTAAACAAGCAATTAATGGCTGTAGTGACAGAGGTAGTGTCACCCTCAGAGTTCTACATTCAACTTGCTGATGATGGCAATGAGATAGCTGAGCTGGCAGGTCTACTGGAAACATTACATGCTTCATGTGAAAGTGAGAAACTCAACCCAGATTTCAGGTAAGCATATATTTAAATTCATTTAAATCTCTTTGATTATAAAATAAAAGGGCTGAGACCTTTAATTCGTATCCGAAGTGTCAATCAAAACAAAAGATTTGAGCATAAACAAACTTTTCTGTAATTATAAACTGTTCTTGTAGTGAATAAAAAATTACCTTTTAAAATTGAAAGGTGCAAGAATGTTTTTCAATTTTGGAACTTGTACTTCTGACTTGCTGACTTGCCGTTTGGACATGGTCAATTCTTTGATCTGCAGTATGTTGTCTCAAGCCTGGTCTAGTTCGTATCTATGATTATATGCATAATGTAATAAAGGTGTACATTACTGCATTAAAGGAAGATACAAGTATCAGTAGGTTAGACATTCATACTTCCAGACTGTCAAGCTCAGATGAAATGTTAAGTACATTCAGATTGAAGTTGACTGAATTGGTCAATACTGTTACAGGGTTACTGTTGGTGATGAGGTTGCTGTGAAGTATTCGCAAGATGGACGATGGAACAGAGGCCTTGTTGTGGCCATACGTGACAAAGAAGCAAAGGTGAAGTTTGTGGATTATGGAAACAAGGAGAAACTACTGATGGCTGACCTGTTACCCCTAAAGGATGAGTTTACTCTGGTGCCAACCATGGCTATATGCTGTAGTCTAGTGGATATCAAACCTGCGGCAGGTATGTCAAAATATGGTACCAGGTTTGTGAAAGAAAATCTACAGTTTTAGTAGTGTAGTGTCAGGGGTTTCACTAGAATTTCAACAGGCTAAATAAATGAAAACAATAGGCAAAATTAATGGAAATCATAAATTTAACATGGAAAGTTGATAAGTCCCTAAAAACAACAGGCAATATTGTGAAAACAACTGGTGAAAATCTGTTGCCTGCTGCTAAAGAAACCTCTGAGTGTTGTTGTTATTATCCAAAATATGATATTAGGTTTTATGGAAGTCTTCACATTTTAAGCAATATTGCTATATCACTCTTTAATGTATGTTACCAGTCTTCAGGTGTTAGAATACATAGTTTCTAGTCTTAAGGTTCCAGAATATATATGTTACTGGTCGTCAGGTTTTAGAATACATATGTTACCAACTGACCATTCTTAAAGTTTAGAATATATACAAGTATTTACCAGTCTCCGGGTTTGAGAATATATTAAATGTTACAAGTCTTCAGGTGTGATACCATATTTCAGATTCTAGGATATAGTGAGCGTGAGCACTTCATATTTTATCTACTCTATCAATCTTTCATATATGTTATCCGTCTAGTTTTTTATGTTTCATACTTTGAAACTTAGTAGACACCATATGAACTTAAAATGTAACATTTCTCTCTAGATTTTATTGATGCAACAATTAGAAATTTGTACATTTTAAACCGGAAACTCAAACTAAAACTTGAACCTCACACAGTGATAGGAAGTTAGTGCCCTGTAGCTGGACTCTGACATAACGGCACTAAGGAGATGCCTGGCAATGGAAAAGTTCCCAGACATCATTAAGCCCTCCACTTTGATAGTAACAATGGCTCCAGCTAAACAAGTTACTGCTAACCTCAATTCTGAAGTTGCTCAAGCGTTCTATAAAGAAAACCAATTTTTTTTTTTTTTAAGTATTCATTTATCAAATTTCTGTTTCATATATATATATATATATTGACCAATCAAAGAGTACATGTATTTAGACTATGCTCGCATTGGCTGGTATCAACTGCACAAGACAAAATCGTATGGAATAACTTGCGATAAGATAGTTATTAAGCTTGTTATTATGGTCTTACTAGTGGTTATTATTGAGTAATGGTACAGGTATTCGATATGGTATTGCAGCTTACACTTAAGTAATGGTACACGTATCCTTGGATTTTAGGCCCGAATACCGAGGTTTATTTTTCTAATTATCGTGTATTATTATTTTGTGTTAATATTAGTTAACCATCTAACTATTGGCATGATATGATAACCTTGTTATATTAATATAGCGCATAGGCGTAGCCAGGGGGATGTGATGTGTGCGATCGCACCCCCCCCTCCATAACCAATGAAAATAGAACCATTAGATAGAAGAAAAAAGTCTTAAAATGCTTTTTATTTGAAGCTTCTAGCTCGATTTTGAACAAGGTTGCACCAATTTTTGTAAAATTCAAAACAAATCTTCAAAAACATTTTTTATGCCACGATCGCACCCCTCCCCTCCCTCCCTACGCTACATTTTGTATGTTCAATTTGTATACTAAAAACTGTTATTAATCCACAAATTTAGATGAAGACAAGATAAAAATTCGAATCAAGAATGAAAAGGTGTCTAAGTATATAAATCTTAAGGGTAATGCATATTTGAATTAAACAGAGGCGGGTTAATTTATATTGTGCTATGAATTACGCTATTATTCAAAATTGCAGCTAAGATGCCTGTTTTATGATACCCTGCGTGCAGAGTCTAGTTAAACTACACCAAGACGAAGCTCTCTTTTAAGAAGTGAAGTCAAACGAATGCAAAGGGTAGTTTTATGAAAAATATCACGGAAGATGTATTCTAGATATCAGTAGTATTCTCAGAAATTTATTATCCGAAACGGATAACATCTGGCCACTCAGACAAACAATCGCAGACATAGGCTAAGCTTGTTTATTTAACAGTTAGATTTGTTGACTTACCGATCCGTATTTCAATCTCCGGGAAGACGTTCTTTTCACTTTGTATTTGCGTGCAGTGTAATTTAAGTTGATACTTTTGTTCAAAAATGTACTTTTAATGGCCATTTTATGCCTTTTATTTTCAAATTATGTTTTGTTTTGATGTCAATGTGAAAAGTCAAGAAACGTCAACCCCGACTTTTAATCAAAAAATGTTGGTTAATCACTTATGGCAAATCACAAGGTTGATGATGTCAACGGACCATGATCGTGGAAGGCTATCAATATCAGGTGTATATCGCATAGAAAATAAATATAGCTAATTTTTCGCACTGATGTGATGATGACTATTCTGGCGAATCGGGTAGATATTTCTCAGTTTTATTCCGATAATAAAACTATTCATTTCTATCAATTTTACAAACGGGGTCCTTTGAATGCACATTAAAACTATAAAAGTATTTATTGGGCGTACATACTCGTTCTGTCATGTTACTTACATTTCATTTGCAAGTTGTCCACATATTAATCCGGCGTTTTGTTTAATCAAATTTCCCGCCCCTTGAGGTTTCCGACTGTAAAACTTAATATTTAATACTAACCAATGCATCAGTTAATATTTTCAGAATACAAATTTTCCATTTTTATTTCTCTGATAGATAAAGTCTCCTTTTGAATCTGTTCGTGTATTAAAGAGTATGCTTTTATAATGCCGTGGTCAAATTTGCTCAGATTTTCAGCACCGGCGCCCGGCCGATGAGTATTTTGTTCAAAATTGTATTCAATTCTAAACAAAATACTCAATCGGCCGGGCGCCGTAATGAAAATCGGAGCAAATGTTACCAAGTCATAACTGATGAAAAATCGAATGAGAACATGAACATGGATAATAGGGGCACTATTACGCTGCGTGCAGAGTCTAATTATAAACTACGAGAAGACGAAACTCTCATTTAAGAAGTGAAGTCGAACAAATGCAAAGGGTAGGGTACTATAGAAGGGGATCATATAAAAGCACGATCTATTTCACAACGCCTTTAACTTTTGTTCTTCAACTGTTGCCCTTTGTGCATTTCAAAAATAAAATATCTTGATCTGATTTGTTCCACCTTTCTTATCGCTCAGTTCTGCAATATTATGTCCATATGTTGTTTAGGATTATGTCATTTGCGAAATAGCTGTAAGACATTATGAGAATGAATATGGGAGTTTCCACGATAATGTTGTTCACATGATTTTATACACCCTGCATAACAATCGGAGACAGAAGTCTTAATATTGTCCAATAAAAAAATAAGAATCTAACATTTAATGATAACAAAAGGATTAATTACTTAGTTCTCTTTGTTTTAGTCTTTGTTTTCTTAAATGCGGAAGTGTACCAACATCACCTAGATTACATAAGAGATCATCTAACAGTCTAAAATTGCTTTTAATTGCAAGTTAATGCATTCCGACCAAAATTTGTATACCTGTAATTTGGGGGGGGGGCGATGTTACATCACATAACCACAACGTTCATATAGAAATATACAATAAGCATGTCCGTATAAAAGCTAAAATTATAAAAACTCATTTCAAAGTCATTCTGTTCATGGAAGTGTCAAGTTATGAAAAACAATGCTAAACACTCAAACAAATCGACTTGATTACCTTTGAAAACTTCTTGAGAGGAAATGGACAAATGTATTTTTCTAACTCATTAGAACGTCTGTCTGATTGAAATATACTATTTTTTAAATACAAACATAAATGATTTAATCTTGGTCAGAAGTCTGAACATTGTCCAACAAAATAATAAGAATCAAACATTTAATGATTACAAAAGGATTAATTGCTGTATAGTCTTTGTCTTAGTCTTTGTTTTTCTAACGGCGGAAGTGTACCAACATCACCTTGATTACAGAAGAGATCATCTAACTGTCTAAAATTGCTTTTAATTCCCGGGTTTTAATTACATTTTATGTATAGACTTTTTTGCCTCTATTCTCATTTTAAACCTGTTTCTGTTTGCTTAATTAACAATTGTGATAAATTATTCAGTTAGTGTCGAAATCAAAACAATTTTCTACATTATAGTCCCCTCCTCTTGCACTGACTAAATATTAAAATAAGCCAGTCTGATTGCGAATTTACAAATCCTGTAAAAGTAGCTCCAAACCGCCTTTTAATCAGAAAAAACAATAAGTTAATTCATCTGATTGCGAAAATACGAATCAACCTGATTATCTGATCTCCATGCTATTTGATTCGTGCATTATCTACAAGTCAGTCGGGCAAGGGTGAAATTATTTCATTTGAAAACAGAAATAAATATCAGAACCCATCTAGCATAATTATTCGGAAGAGATTCATACAAAAAATAAGGTACACAACTGATGAAGGGTCGCACACAATGCACGCACCCCTCTCCTCCTCCTCCGTGTTTGCCCACACACGACCATATTTGACAATTTTTCTAAAAGCGTTTTTCCCGGGAATATAGGTGTAGCGGTTGCCAGAAGTCGCACAGCTTGGGAGTCAGGGTATCCTGATCCATGCCTCAACGCCTGACGGGTCTGATATTTAGAGGGGGTGTAAGAATTATTAGGGGGCGGGGTAAACGTGAAAGTTGCCAAAATATCCATAGGCGTAGCCAGGAGGGGGGGGGGGGCGCGAAGGGTGCGATAACAATAGGCTTTATATATGCTTTAATGTTTTATTTATCATGATGCTTTTATGTAGGCTATTAATTACAGTTCTTTTTGCAATATAAAACTGGTATGTTTATGCAAATTCCGATTGGACTAATATAAAGGGATATTGTTTCATTATGTGGACTTGAGAAAGTCCGACATACTCATTGCTTTCAACCCAAAACTTAAAATAGGAAGTTATCAAGATCCAAAGAACACGATCGCTACTTAAACAATACGTTTGTAAAATCCCGGCGATCGAAATGCAATCAAACTTTCGCAATCAGGTGCCTAATTAGTCTACTGATCTCTAAAGTTTTACGATTGAACGTTTCAATGAACTCGTGAGAAGCAAACGCAATCATCATATAAACATTTTTCTAGTAAATCTAAAATAGAGTAAAACCCAGGGAAAAAGATCGCGTGTTCATAGGAATTAGGCATATTTCAATTTTGAAATAACAAAAGTCAGTCTCGGAAGAATTTTCCAAGCATTCCCTGCTTCGATGCGTTTTTATTGCAAGGGCCGTTTAGCGCCGATATGAATTCATTATGGGCATTAGGGTTGTGCTTTATTTGTTTTATTTATATAAATGTTAAAAAATGTGTACGACACTTTAATGAATTATTTTTAGGGTTACAATGCATATTTGACTTTTCCCTCTAAACGTTTAAAATTCATCTTTATACTTTTCTTAGTTTGCTTCAATAAAATTAACATTGGATCCCAGACAGTTATCAAATTCTCAGACATTTGATTAATATAGATATTTGTACTTCCTTTGACCAGTGGTGCTGGTGTGACTGAGATTCGAATCTAATCTGTTTCATTTTTATGTAAATTGAGAGGAATAAAGTTTTATTTTAAGCGTTTTAACAATCTTAACGTTTGGCGTGCAGCTCAACTTAATACACAATCAAAGGTCAAATACGGAAATAAGAACATGCCTTTTATTTGTTATTCAAGCTCGAGCAATATCCCCGTTATAAAACCAAAATAACTGCGGCTAGGTACCATATCTTGATTACAGTAAAGACAGGCCATCTCATTCTGGTATGCCAGAGCCACTCTTATCTGCCGATTGTGGAAGGATAAAGACAAAGGGGTCGCGGCTATCGCGATGAGGCCATCTTATTTCTAGGAATTATTTCTGCCTCTCATTCCTTAAACCGGCTTCGTTAAACAGTGCCAAAATATATAAGTCGGAGCCAAAAACAAACTATTTTTATATTTAAATCCCCTCACCTTGTCAATGTCTATGCCTGCCTGGAAGGGAGCCAATATACACATAGATTACTTACTGGCCATGGACAGGGGGGGGACAGAAACGAACATTCTGGGGTCATAAGGGATACTTGGGGAAGGGGGAGGGGTGGTGGTGAATATTGAAGTCCGGGAGTGAAGTTAAGGGGTACTGAAATCTTTCTTTTGATATTTCGTGCTTGAATGGAGACTTGTTTCCACTCCCCGCATTCTAGTAGAATTTAAATATTTGATCCAAAGGAGTTATTTTAAATCAAACTTGCATTCCGATTAATTAACACTCCAATGATTGTAACGCTTCACTATTGTCTAAGATAATTATAATGAATTCAGGGGACACTATAGTCTTCCTTTTAAACTTTAGTGGTTGGATGGAGACTTGTTTCCCCACCCCGTACACTAGTAAATTTGTAAATTTTAAATATTTGATTTAGGGAGGTATTTGCAATCCAACTCTGATGATGCAAGACTAGTCAGCCAAGACTAAATTATAAAACTTATTATCATTTAGACTATTGAGTTCATTAAATTATAATTCCATAGATGTCATATTTAATCCTGTCAACACAATAACAGGGCCGTCAGATGGGGGGGTGCGATGGGTGCGACCGCACCCCCCTTTGTAACCCCCCAAAATAAATTTGAAATTTTTAAAAAAAAATTTTGAAAAATATTTTTTTGTAATTTTTTTTCATTGACTCATACACTTTGAAAGTACCCAGAAAGCACCAAATAGCATCTTAAAATTGTAAAATTTTCTAGGGGTATTGGCCACCCCTCACACCCCCACAAAACAATGGAAAAGTTCTAAATTTATTTTAGTGTTTTGTCTCAGACACTTTTAAAGTGCCCAGACATCATCAAATAGCTCCTTGATATAGTTAGTGTTTCTGGGGGACTTGCTCCCCCTCTTGCATCTTGCACTTGCATAACCCCCCCCCCCCTGGCGCCCCCCCCCTTGACCTCCCCCCTCTGGCGCCCCCCCCTCTTGACCCCCCCAAAAAAAAATTGTGATTTTCTCAAATTCTTTAGTTGACTCATACAATTTGAAAATGCCCAGAAAGCACAAAATAGCGTCGTAAAATTGTAAAATTTTCTAGGGGGAGTGGGCCACCCCTCACACCCCAAACAAAACAATGGAAAAGTTCTGAATTTGTTTTATGTATTGTCTCAGACACTTTTAAATTGCCCAGACATCATCAAATAGCTCCTTGATAAAGTTAATGATTCTGGAAGACTAACACTTACTCGCCCTCTGGCATCCCCACTCCACCTCCCCCCTTAACACCCCCCCCCCCAAAAAAAAAAAATTGAGATTTTTCATATTTTTTTATTGACTCATACATTTTGAAAGTGCCCAGAAAGCACCAAATAGCATCTTAAAATTGTAAAATTTTCTTGGGAAATATGCGCTTTTAGGCACAGACACTTTTAAGTGTCCAAACTTCTAATGGAATAGCACCTTGATATTGTAAGTTTTGATATGGGGGACAAACACTTGCTCCCCCTCTGGCACCCCAGCCCAAACCTCTCCCTCTGGCACCCCTCTCCCCCCCCCCTCTTTGACATCCCCAAAATTTGAAAAAAATCACCCTCTCATCCTCTTTGACACCCCCAAAAGAATTTGAAAAAAATCACATTTTTCTTATTAACTCATAACGCACAGGCATACCAGATGGTTCCAAATTCGCTCCAAATACAAGCAAATTTCAAAATTTTCCTGGGGGAGAACCCCCAGACCCCCCTGAATGCTCGGTTTTTTATTCACTCAACTCTTATTCTTGTGTTGATGGCGTACTACTAACTTAGAAACTAACACTTTGAAAGTGCCCAGAAAGCACCAAATAGCATCTCAAAACTGTAAAATTTTCTAGGGGGAGTGGACCACTCCTCACACCCCCCACAAAACAATTGGAAAGTTTGGAAGTTGCATTTGTTAATTCCAAACCAATATAGGGAGTAACTGACCCCCCCCCCTCCCCCCTCTGTCTTACGTGATTTGATTTACGCGGCAAAAAAATTGACAATTTTATGTTCTCTTTAGTAAGCTAAAAACCGCACCCCCCTTGGAGAAAAGTGTCTTACGGGCCTGAATAATGGTATTAATTGGCATGATATGTAGTCAGAGACGGTTTAAAAAGTTGTTTAGATTAATGATAGTATTAGGAAAAATCCTAACTCAAAGTTTTTGTTCTCTCGCAATCCAGAGCAAACCACTCACCGGGCAAGCATTCTTTAAAAACGTGAAGTTTTCACCATGTTGAGCAGTTTTGAAAATTGTCCAATTTGAACCATCGCCTTGTATATTTCTGTAACTGCCCCCCCCCCCTTGACACTCGATTGTAAGAATCCTTTCCAAACTGTCAATGGTTTTACAAAATAGTTCATGTCAGGAAGGGGGAGGGGTGAGTGTGGAGAACAATCACTGACTGCGATTTGTATGATTGAACATTATACACTTATAAATTCGTAAAGAATAGTTTTAAAATAAACAGCTTGTTTTATGTTATGATTGGAGTGATGTATGCATAGAAGAATGACACTGGTTTTGAAATATCTTAATTATCCCATTGAATGAAGCCATCCGTCCCTCTGTCCATTCTTAACTCATACTAGTGGACTGATTTGATTTAAAGGAGAAGTCTCGGTGTAGAACGTGTATACACTAATGGGAACGAATTTTACTCATTTCTATTTAGGATTCGTTCATATACTAGTGGGGCTTTAGAGCATTTACAAACGCACGAATTGTATTGTTTTAAGGCAACTTTTATGACATATAATCATTATATTTAAAGCTGATTAATTTTAGATTATATTCGGTTCAATTTTACAAATAATGAATAGTATTACAGTATATCGAAAAATGTACAATGATTTACATTAAATTGCCCAGACTGCAAACAATGTACATGGTTGGCGAATTTGCATGCGCGTTCTTGATAATAAGAATTAAAGGTTGAACTTAAAAATCAAACATTTTCTTTTTTAAACATAATAAATCTTTAAATCAAGAAAATAAAAATAAGATTGATGATTGAACTTTTCATAGTCAACTGCGACTGTGTCGACGCATGATTATTTATTTAGCTAATTAGATATGTAAAATTGTTAATGGCCGCAACGGATAATACGTACATGTAAGCTGTTCGGATAAGACATTTCTATATGATTAATAACAAATCCCGGGCAGAATGTTATTCAACAGTAACTGATCTTACTAGTTATTATTCAATTTGGATAATAAATCTATTATCTCGTCGTATTGATGTTTATTATATAGTGTTTCTCGTTGTGCTGCTGGCTGTCGGCTGATGATTTGATTGCTATGTCATGGTTAGCTCATGCTACTATTTATATTCATATTTGAATGAGATGCCCATAAAATAGCAATCAAATCATCAGCCTGCAGTTGAATTCATGAATACTAGCTAAGGTATAACAATTTAAACAAACTTACCAGGTACGTCTTTACGGTTGAACAGTTTAACTGCATATATGTTGTATGAGCTTTTTAGGTCAACCATCCACCAGGCTTTGAACTCATTTTTTGTATGTGTACATGAGCCATGATAAAAGTTACTGTCTGTATTGCCATCCACTGCCAATTCGGAATATCCTTTATTATAACCATATAAATTGGAGGATTGCTTAGTCGGCTTGCGATATGCTACATTGTCTAAAATTTAAATAAACAATCTAATTTTTCAAAACCCAACTGTAAATAGAGCTACTCAGAATAAATATTGAATATAGTTTTCAAATCAAATCAACTCACATCCTTTGGCAGGCACAGACCAACGGCCAGCCACTGGACCACAAACATTGCTGATAATGAGCAGGGCTAAAATCAACTGTTTCATCTTCACCGTAAATCGTATTCAATCTGGCTGCTACTGAAGTCTGCAAATGTTGATGTTTCTGCTTCAAATGAATGTCGGATATGAATCAGTCCTTCACATTAAACTATGTATTTAACTTTTGAAAATAGTATATGTTAGGGATGGTGTCCAAATATCTACAGTTGAAGCTAATCCCAACAAACAAGTTCAGATATATTATCCCATATGGTTCATGGGGGATAAAGCGAAGCTTTCTATTTGTCCATCATGAATGTGACCATTGATAACTAAAATTCAAGTTGACCAATAGGCTTTTAGTTCAAATTTTAAATGCTGATATCTTAGAAACAGAGGGGCTCTGCTTAAGAGGAAATTTTAAAGATGGCCCCATAATTCAAAATGGCCACAAAAGGGTTTTAAAAATTCAATTTTCCATAACTTGAATACCATTTAAAGGATTTGGAACTGTCTAGATTTGGACACTATCCCTCATACTATAGGAAATATGTATGATAAACAACATGAGAGAGGATGATTGGATTAATTTATTTGGAGGCCCTATTGCATCGGCATCCTCCTATTAATTCTGTTCAGTATTCTCCACACTTTTCTTCTACTTCCAACAATGATTCCAATATCTACTATATTCTCATACTAGGCTTAAATTGTCTGAGTGATCAGACTATATTTCAAGGTCATTGTCGAAGTTCCTCACATTAGTGTCACTTACGAAAAATTGACTGTAACATTCTCAAATGCCGTGGTCACATTTGCTCCGATTTTTAGCACCGACGGCCTGCTTATGAGTATTTTGTAACAAAGTACTCAATCGGCCGGGAGCCGTAGTAAAAATCAACAATTGGCCTGTTTTAAAACCTCAGTCAATAGGATTCCCGTTTAAAGTGATTTCTGTTCAACATCAATATTCAACCCCCTATGACTCCTGGTTCAAAACCTCGCCTATTTTGAAAATGGCCACCATTTTTGTCTCACGAAATTCACTTTTGGACCATTTGCTTTAAAACCTGTGTCGATAGGATTCACGTTTTAAATTATTTCACTTTTGGCCCATTTCTTAGCTGTACAAATAATTTGAAGTGTTCCGCATTGTAAAAAGCCATGCCACTGTAAAGAGGAGTTATATGAAATAATTTTGTTACAAAAAATCGGCAAAAAATTATATCTGTTTTTTTATTTTCAGCCATTTTAGTATTAACATGGATTTGTCCATCTGTTTCGCGAAATCCACTTTTGGACCATTTGCCTTAAAACCTCTGTCGATAGGATACCCATTTTAAGTTATTCTTGTCTAACATCAATATAAAAAACACCCCTATGACTACTGATTCAAAAGGTCACCTATTTTCAAAATGGTCACCATTTTTGTCTCGCGAAATTCACTTTTGGCCCATTTCCAAGCTTTACAAATAATTTCAGGTGTCCTGCATTGTAAAATGCCATGTCACTGTAAAAAGAAACCCAGTACCCACGGTACTATTTATTTTTCAACTTGTTCCAAATTCACTCAACCCAGAGGTTCATATGTGAGCTTGGATCAGAGATGACTTTCCTGCGATTTTATAAATTATTTACTTGACATCAAATTGGGCCAGAAATAATCTTTAATTTTGAGACTCGTTAGTCAAGGTCAGCTAACTTATATTTCTTGTTCTCAAAGTTCTGGACTGCATTGTTTATTATTTTCCATAGCCTTGCAATTTTAAGATATTTAAGTTTGAAAATTGATTAAAAATCAGTTTTTGGAACTTGTAGAGGTTCATAACTTCATATTATCTGACCTATGACATTCAAAAGGTCAGAGAATTAGGTTTTACCAATCATCATTCATTATGGATTGATTTTAAACACTAAAATAAACAGATGACCTGGCACCTTCAAAGATTAAAATTCAAAAGATATTTGGGTGGATTGTTGAATTCCGCCATCTCAAGAGCCTCCGTAAGATGAAGTGCAATCTTTATTATCCAGTATTTTATATTCTATATTTTATAATGAAACGGCAAGTTATGTTCCTTTTCATGTTCACAGGTTTTAGTACAGGAAACTTGATATTTTTATAAAGCATTCAAAATTATTGCTCGAACATTTATGTTATTTTTAGTATTTTAATACAAAACCATGTACCATTTGAAATTATTGCTATCTCTATCTCTAGCTATTGTGTATTTTATATTACCTACCTTTAATGTTCTCATATTGTGTGGGATATTGAATTGAAACTTTCGCAATATTTTTCAGGTATAATGTTTTCCAATACAGTACATGTTTCAATGTTTCATACAACAATCTCATTCTATGGCTTCAAATACATGTATCTACTTTTCTGTGTGTTACAGGTAAATGGCCATCAAATGCAGTGTCCTGGTTTAAGTCTCAGGTGATGGGTGCAGATGCCTCTAAACTCCTCATTGCTACTGTGTGCAAGGTTGATGAGAAGTTTGCACACATTACACTCAATAAAGATGGCACTGACATCAACGCTGCCCTGATTGCTGGAGGATACGACAAAATTAATGACACAAGTGGTAAACCAGTGGCTCCCCCTAGTGTTAGTGATAAACAAGTCGAATCTACCACTAGCTCCTCTAAACAACCCCAGCCTGGCAGTATGCATTCATTCCCACGTGACCCCTTGCCCAAGGAAGGTACCCCTGCTTTGATAACAGACATCACAAACCCTAGTGACTTTCATGTGGCCTTCATAGAGACTGATCATAAGAATTACAATGCAGAATGTGCAGCAGGTTGTACAAGTCCCCTCATGCAGCCAAAAGTCGGAGCCCTTATGGCATATCTACATGCTGATTTTGGAGAGTGGTACAGGGCTGAAATTAAGGAAATACAGGGAGATATCTTACAAGTGTATAGTTACGATTGGGGATTTATGGACAATGTTAAGGCCAGTGATGCTAAGATGATGCCTGATGCTTTGAGTGCTAAGCCTGCTGTTGCCACCAATTGTGCCCTTGTTGGGGTCATAGGGTCGGGACCTCAGGGTTCTTGGCCCCCTGAGGCCAATGCCCTAATAGAGGGTAAGACTGCCACTGTGTCTGTAATACAAGCCAATCCTGGTGGAAAGGTGCTAGTTGATCTCATTATAGATGGAAAGAGCGTGGTAGATCAGTTAATTGAAACTGGTATGGCAGTAAAGGGCAACATCCAGCCTGTTCAAGTCACCGCAAGTGCTCCAATTGCACCACCTAGTCCAAAGGCTGTAGAACCAGCCACTGTGCAATCCCCTACCTCTGCTGAAGTGCAACAACCCACTGTGCCAAAAGCGAGTCAACAGCCACAGGCTACACCTAGTGTCACTCACAAGCCTAGCTTTAAACCTGCTCAAGTTCCTTCTGAACCCAACACTGTAGGGATGTTATTATCTGCAAACAGCCCCCATGACCTACACATCCTCTCTAACTCACTTCTGGACTTTGTATCAGGCCTTAATGAACAAATCCAAGCAGCCAAACCTTCACTGTGTACACCCAAACCTGGTCAGCTTGTTGCATATTACTCTGATGGCTTTAAGGAATTCTATAGGGCTGAAGTGACAGCTATAACTGGTGATGTCATTCATGTGTTCGCAATTGATTGGGGATTCGATGATCAGACAAGTGCCAAGTTTATTTATGAGCTACCTGCTGACTTGAAGGTTCATCCTGCATCAGCTTTACACTGTAAACTGGCAAATATTGCAAGGACAGATCCAAAAGGTTGGAATGATGAATCAATGCGAATCCTCAATGGACTTCTCAATACTCAGGTGACATTCTCAGTAATAGATGGTGCTACTGTTCCAGTCACAATCTCCATGACATCCATTGAAAATGGGAAAGATGTAGGTGAGCTTATAGTGCAAGCTGGGGGAGCAGTGATGTGTGTTGACCCAGGGGAGCTGCCTGAGGGTGACACTCTGGTAGACATAGGGGTCCTTATGAGGGAGGAGTTATATGTCAAGCCCCAGGCAGACACCCCTACAGCTGCTAGAATCTCTCAACAACTAGGTCAGTATTACCCCGGTGGCTCTCAACCAATAGGAAGTTCTGCAAAACCCGGTGAGATTGTTGCTGTAAAATGGGCTGAGGATGGTCAATGGTATCGTGGTGAAATCAGCGCAACTTCGCCACAGTCATCCACAGTGTACTTTATGGATTACGGCAACTGTGCCGAAGCTGTCAACAGTGACATCTATAAGCTAGATCTTCAGTTCTTCCAACCCAGGCAGCTGGCCATAAGGTATGGTAAAACTTTTTATCACACCATCAGTGGGATATAGAGACTGTAATTTGTATGATTGTTGTTATTTTATTTTTGAATATTCAACTGTAACTGTTTGCAAAACTGTAACTTGTCTTTGATATTTCGATTATGTTTATGTTCTTATGCACTCGTATTTATATTTTGAAAAATAATAGATGCGGTATAGCTGATCTGGACAACCCGACATCTCTACTAAGAGATTATGATAACAGTGTCCTCCTCAGGCAGCTTGAGGAGAATGCCAGTGTGGTAGGTGTACGTCTACTAGGATCAGGACCTGGGGGCATATCCATGGTAGAGCTCCTTAACCCAACTAATGGACAGTCTATAACTCAAGCTGTCATGAAGAAAACTGTAAGTACATTTATACAACTTGTGATCGAAGAAGACTGTTTGGTGTCAAAAAGTTTGTTAAGTCTGTGAGTTACAAATCCCTTGATTTTATCAACCACTTCAATAATTTCTTTGGAGGTCAAGATTCTAAAAGTTTGTCTTCAAAAACAGTTCCTCTTCCTTTCATGTTAAAAAATTTACATAATTGTGTAAGCCCTTTTCATTTTTCAGTTGCAAAATTTTGAGGTATATCCTGGATTACCAAAAATTAACAAGAGATTTTATATGAAGAACATTCATTGTACGATAGATCAAATATATGTTACAGACTGCTGCATCTGGTGTATCTGCTAGACCTGAGACAACAGCCCCACCTGCCCCTGTCCCCCAGGCTTCCCCTGTCCCTGCACCCCAATCTTCTGTAGCCCCATCATCACACCCCCAGGCTACCACTTCATCCCAGTCCCAGGGGATCTTTGAAGAGGCTATGAAGAAAGATCATCTGGTAGATAACTGCAGTGTGGTTGTGTCGCACGTCAATAGGGACAACTTCTATTGCCAGGTGTTCTCAGGGGAGGAGAGTAAGTACACACATATCATTTGTATGAAGTAAAAAAATATGCCTAAACATAGTTACAGTTGAATCTTTATCATTTTCACTTAACACTCCTGTATCATGTTTTAGTCCTTTGTTCAGTTGTGTCAGGGATTTTTATTACTTATTTTATATCTCATATTTAGCATGTTTATCTAATCCTCCTGGATATATATTTTTCTCACGTAAGAAGGTTTGCCATAAATTACTCTTACACATACATGTTTATATAGAGGTTATGTAATGGGAGGTTATTGATACAGGGTATATCTGAGGGAAATACAATATATCTACCCGAGGGACCGAGGGTTGATATCTTGAATTTACCAAGCGATATACCCTGTATCAAAAATTGAGCATTTAATAACTGATTTATCCTATGCTCAGAAATTATGAGAATTAAATATGCATCGAATGTTAGGGAACCCTAATGTCGTAATTCAAATGATAAATACAGACTCTTTGAGACACCACATAGCCCTGACTTATAAACAGTGTTTGTGTTATAGGTGTGGCAAAGATGAATGTTCTAGAACAGCTACTAGGCAGACTCTATGAGACAGCACATAGCCCTGACTTATAAACAGTGTTTGTGTTTTAGGTGTGGCAAAGATGAATGTTCTAGAACAGCTACTAGGCAGACTCTATGAGACAGCACATAGCCCTGACTTATAAACAGTGTTTGTGTTTTAGGTGTGGCAAAGATGAATGTTCTAGAACAGCTACTAGGCAGACTGTATGAGACAGCACATAGCCCTGACTTATAAACAGTGTTTGTGTTATAGGTGTGGCAAAGATGAATGTTCTAGAACAGCTACTAGGCAGACTCTATGAGACAGCACATAGCCCTGACTTATAAACAGTGTTTGTGTTATAGGTGTGGCAAAGATGAATGTTCTAGAACAGCTACTAGGCAGACTGTATGAGACAGCACATAGCCCTGACTTATAAACAGTGTTTGTGTTATAGGTGTGGCAAAGATGAATGTTCTAGAACAGCTACTAGGCAGACTCTATGAGACAGCACATAGCCCTGACTTATAAACAGTGTTTGTGTTATAGGTGTGGCAAAGATGAATGTTCTAGAACAGCTACTAGGCAGACTCTATGAGACAGCACATAGCCCTGACTTATAAACAGTGTTTGTGTTATAGGTTTGGCAAAGATGAATGTTCTAGAACAGCTACTAGGCAGACTCTATGAGACAGCACATAGCCCCGACTTGTAAATAATGTGTTTGTGTTTTAGGTTTGGCAAAGATGAATGTTCTAGAACAGCTACTAGGCAGACTCTATGAGACAGCACATAGCCCTGACTTGTAAATAATGTGTTTGTGTTTTAGGTTTGGCAAAGATGAATGTTCTAGAACAGCTACTAGGCAGACTCTATGAGACAGCACATAGCCCTGACTTGTAAATAATGTGTTTGTGTTTTAGGTTTGGCAAAGATGAATGTTCTAGAACAGCTACTAGGCAGACTCTATGAGACAGCACATAGCCCCGACTTGTAAATAATGTGTTTGTGTTTTAGGTTTGGCAATGATGAATGTTCTAGAACAGCTACTAGGCAGACTCTATGAGACAGCACATAGCCCTGACTTGTAAATAATGTGTTTGTGTTTTAGGTTTGGCAAAGATGAATGTTCTAGAACAGCTACTAGGCAGACTCTATGAGACAGCACATAGCCCCGACTTGTAAATAATGTGTTTGTGTTTTAGGTTTGGCAAAGATGAATGTTCTAGAACAGCTACTAGGCAGACTCTATGAGACAGCACATAGCCCCGACTTGTAAATAATGTGTTTGTGTTTTAGGTTTGGCAAAGATGAATGTTCTAGAACAGCTACTAGGCAGACTCTACGAGACACCACATAGCCCCGACTTGTAAATAATGTGTTTGTGTTTTAGGTTTGGCAAAGATGAATGTTCTAGAACAGCTACTAGGCAGACTCTACGAGACACCACACAGCCCTGACTTCATGCCTGCTATTGGAGATATGTGTGCTGCTAAGTTAGTAGATGGTAAGTCTACTCATAAGTTCACCTGAATTTATTATGTCACCACCACATATTGTTATTGTCTCTTTTTTGTGGACAGTGTTCAGCTAACCGTGTTTGGCCTTCAGCATTGTAACAAATGGCAGGTGGTGACATTTTGCATGTTAATGCCTTGTAACTGTCTATTTAAAGAAAAAGTTCCTCTACTTTCCAAGAATTTAAATGGCTGTGGTAATTTGTTTTTTAGGGTATTTTATTTGTATCAAGTAACAGAAATATTACATCTCATCAATATTCATCCAAGCAAATCAAGTTAAACTGGGAAATAGAGAAGCAACCCATCAACCCATTTGAAATTAGTAAAAAAAATTAATCAATTATTGGTGTAATTTAATCATCTTTTACATGTTTGCCATACAGTATAACCTAATTCTAATCCAAACGCCTCTGGGACTCTGCAAAAGTGTTCATATTAGCAGGTGTTCCCATTTCAAGGTTTCATAATAATGTGAGTCAATGGGAGAACAAAGATGAGACTGAGAAAAAGTGTTCACATTGAAAAGTGTTCAAAATAGAGAGGTACTCGGTTATTCAGGTTTAACTGTAGCTACATAATAAAAGATAATTAAATTTCATGAATTCTAATTCTCAGTATATTTAAGAACCTGCCCCAGTAGAATGTAATTCTATTTCCAGATCTGCCAAGTAGAGCAGTTGTATGTAAACATGTGAGTGCAATGGAACTAGAGGTGCATGACCTAGACTATGGTACAGAGGCGAAGGTATCCATTGAAGATATACGCCCCTTCACTCCATCTCTGGCCCAGTTAAGCCTAATGGCAATCCATTGCAAGCTCGATCTACCAGGTAAAGTATGACTTTTAAATATTTTTGGTCACATGGATCAACTTATGACTTGAATATCCTCTGGTAAACTTGGATGTCCTTCCATTTGCAAATATTTTGTTCTTTATGTCCCAACCAAATTCTTGAAACCATACACTTTGTCATGTCAATGCCTTGTTTTTGTGAACAATTTTCATCAAAGGATTCCAACTGAAATGTGATAATTTAATGTGAAGGTGGGATTTTAGCATTTGCTAATGGATATCCATGGTGTTGTACTTTAAGTTTTACCCATTGATTGCAGGCCTGTATATAGCTAGGGGCTACTGGGTCACACGCCCCTATCCTCCCCAGGACAAAAAAAAACTTCATCATTTTGAGCACATTTCAAGTGAATGGGATCAAAAAACTTAACCCCCCCCTTGGTAGAAACTGGCTAAGGGCCTGATTGGGTGGTGTTGTAATAATGAATAGAGAATGATAAGAAATAGCATTCATGTCTCATAATCTGAATAAAGTAAAGTGAATCTAACAAAGATGTTCTCTGTTCCAGATGGGTTTGACTACACTGCTGCCAATGCTACAATGATCTCATTGCTGCCTGTTCTTGGGGAACAGTTCACTGTTAAAATACTCAACACTCGGGGGACCTGTCATATTGTTGACCTGATCGATTCTTCTGGAGTCTCGCTTTCTAGGGAACTGTCCAATAAATTTCCAGTCAGAGGTATGTCAGTATGTGCATGTTGTGTAGAATATACCATATTTTGTTATTATTAGTTTATTAATCACATCTCTGTCTTGCAATTGCAAGGTGCTCTGATGTAGTGGCCTGAATTACTAATCAAGAAAACTTGATTCATTTTCCACAATGACTAGAAAATAGATGAATGAAATTATGCTATTTAAAGTTATTTGATTAATTTGTTCATGTTTGTTGAAATCCCATATTTGTAACTTTGTCTACAATTGCTTCATTTCTGAACTGCAACTGTCTGATTGCAGTGGCTCAACCTGCAGCTCCAGTGGCTCAACCCGCAGCTCCAGTGGCTGTTGAAGAAGACCAGGGTGCTCTCATAGCAAGACTCATGAGGGAGCTAGAGGAGGAGAAAGAACGTAGAAGATTGGCTGAGCAACAACTCCAAGGGAAGTGACAATGACATGTTAACTGTGTGACATCACAATCAAGTTACATTAAATGTGCAAGACTACTCAAGCAACATGATATATGCAACTAGTAGATCAACATCCTGCTAACAAGATGAGCATTATGTAATAACAGGCAGTTTTAGTGAGATATATCTCACAAGGATCTCAAAAGGATAAAACATTTAAGAAAGAGGCAAAATGGACAAGATTTGCCAAAATCGTCAGAGTTTCATTTTTCAACAACTGAGGTGGAAGTTATTATTGAAATTATGATCTTCTGTGAACATTTTGTCTGTATCATCTCTTGCAATGACCTATCGGAACTATGATTGTTGTTCCTTTGCAATACTGTGACAACCTTCAGTTCACTCTGCCAGACTTGATACTGGAGGCCATTGATGGATACTTGATGGATATACAGATCTAGCTTATAGTGGACCATATATATATTCTTGGAGGTCATAAGACCATAGATCTTGAGATAATGTCCCAAGCAAACAGTGGCAATGATATGGTATGTTAAAGCCATGGCTTGAAAGAGAGACACCATATAAACTAAAAAATAAACTAGATCATGAGAACTAGTCACAATGTATATATGTTAAGACTTCAGCATATGTTAGACCTCAGCATATGTAAGACTTCAGCATATGTTAGACTTCAGCATATGGTAGACTTCAGCATATGTTAGACTTCAGCATATGGTAGACTTCAGCATATGTTAGACTTCAGCATATGTTAGACTTCAGCATATGGTAGACTTCAGCATATGGTAGACTTCAGCATATGTTAGACTTCAGTGTAATAAGTTAGACTTCTTTAAGTAAGTTCAGATTTTTGTATATTTGCTTCAGACTTTTGTATATATACCTAAATAAGGAAACTGGCAGTTGTGTTAGTGCTAAGAAGTTTGCAGTAATTGGTGCTAATTACTTGTCTAGACAATGTCATATAGATATATATTACAAGTTTTTTAAATCCGATTAATATTTTGTATTAATTTGTACTTTTCTGTTCATTATACTTTTAAGATATTTTTCAAATTTTTTGCACTCTTCCCCACATGAAATGTATCAATTGAACAATAGGCATGAAATAGTAAAGGCATGCTTTAGATCTTAATGAATTTAGTTATATTAAGATTTTTGATTCTGTTTACAGGTGTACAATTTATATCAACATAAGAGTGCTTTGAATGTTCTAGGAATGTTGTCATTATTTTCATTGTTTCATTTAAATTTGTGTCATTTGTTGTTAAGAATTGTTGATTTGAGAAACATTTAAACCCACATAAAGGTGCTTTATAATGTTCAAATTATCAACTAAATTCGCTTCTTATGCTCAGTGGATTTTTGGAAGTTTTTTTGTGAATTTACATGTAGCTCTTCTTCACTCCTCTGGAAGACTCGGACAAAGTTTGATTTGTCTCAGATATGCAGAATCTTGGAGTTTTGATGAATTTTCTGAAACCATGATTAGCAATCAGCCTTACCTTGTAGTTTTATGATTTTAGGTATATTTTTGATAGGCAAACACCCCAAAAATCATTGTATGTAATAATACATTACTTCTATGATGGATTGAATAACTTTCAAAATAATTAATTTGTTAATTATCTCTTTTTCCTCTAAAACTACAGAGATATCCAACAGAATTTATGGGGAATTGACCTTTCCTCATCATCAAATTCATCATTTCAACTTCTAGAATGAGAGAAGAGTGATGCACATGTGATCTAAAGAGGATAAGAGTTTGGTGCACAGAATGTCATTGTATGAGATTCCATTTGTCAAATAGTGGATTAACTCGTATGGAATCAAGTTGTTTATACATATATGTACCAACAGAGTTGGAATTTATGTTATGGTTTGATTTTCAAGAAAAATAAAACAGGAAATGCCTGGTATTTTAGTTTACATATTGTATCATGAAAAACATTTTTCCTTAATACATTTTGATGCACTCTGTGCTGTTCAGGAATCAGGATGTGTCGTAAGGATTTTGTAGTTTCATATTTTGCTGTACATGCGGATAACATAATTATCCCACCGAACGAAGTTCGAGGGGGATATAGAAAAGCCGTCTGTCCATCCGTGTGTCCGAGCAATAACTCAAATACTGGTTGACGGATTTCATTCAAATTTTATAGGCTTATGCCTTATGGGTGTAGGACCTCTGCTCAAGAAGGAATTTTCGCCTTGCTCAAGAAGATATTTTCAATAAGGCCGCCATATTTCAAAATGGTGGCCATTTTTTGTAAAAAAACATTATTTTTGATAACTCAAATACCATTGAATGGATTTGGTTCAAATTTTACATGCTGATGCTTAGGGACATAGGAGCTCTGCTCAAGAGTGGATTTTCAAGATGGCAGCTAAATTTCATAATGGCTGCCATTTTTCATAAAAGAACGTAACCTTTGATAACTCAAATACCAGTTGACGGATTTGGTTCAAATTCTATATGCTGATGTCTAGAGATAAAGAAGTTCTGCTCAAGAAGACATTTTCAAGATGGCCAGTGAATTTCAACATGACCCCCATTTTTCGTAAAAAAACATAATCATTGATAACTCAAATACCAGTGGATGGATTTGGTTCCAATTTTATATGCTGATGTTTAGGGAAAAGGAGATCTGCTTCAGAAGAAATTTCAAAGGTGTCAGCTGAATTTAAAAATGGCTGCCATTTTTCATAAAAAAAGGTAATCTTTGATAACTCAAATGCCATTGGATGGATTTACTGCAAATTTTATATACTGATGCCTAGAGATAAAGGAGCTCTGCTTGAGAAGAAATTTTCAAGGTGGCTGCTATTTATCGAAATCTCCGCCATTTTTCATTAATCATGTAATCCTTGATAACTCAAGTACCAGTTAACGGATTTTGATTAAATTGTAAATTCTGATGCCTTGGGACATAGGAGCTCTGCTAAAGAAGAAATCTAAAGATGACAGCTGAGTTTCAAAATGGCAACCATGTTTCATAAAAACATAATCTTTGATAATTCAAATACCAGTGGATGGATTTGGCTCAAATTTTGTGGCCGCTATTTATCAAAACATGTTTGTTTGGTGGGATTTGCTACTCCGTGGAGTTGCTGTTTTTCTAGTTTATCCCTGAATTGGCTCCAGGCATCAGTGCAGGTTAAGTGTAGATTTCAGACAATTCTCCAGGCTGGATTTGGTTTTCATTAGTATCAACAATAATAGACATTTTGTTCAATAGCAACCAATGCCATCTATTATTAAGCATGTGAACCATAAGCATCATTTCCAGCTTACTGTAGTAACAATAAGTAAAATATTACAAATTAAATCATGACACTACATCACTGGAGGTTTCTTGTACATGATTGCTATATGTGTCAGAAATGTACATACAGTAGAGGTTTCACGGATACACCATTTTGTTCGGATCTGCGGAATTCGGCTCTCATGTCGGAACAAAAACTCAAAATTTTGGTTTGGCTCTGGAGCAAGAAAGTTTTGTCCTTTCACAGCTTTCCGGTCCTCAAATCACAACAAAACAGCATTTTTCTTTCAATTTATGGCACTGAAAGAAGTTCATTTTTTCACTCTTAAGAATTTTGAAGAGCTTTCCACTATCAGAACTGATAGACCTAGTCAATCTAACTTATTTTAATCTAATACATGAAGTCACTCTGATCCCAACCATTCCGATTTTTTGTTCGGTGAAACCTCTCCTGTACAGTTCAGTCTGAAGACACACTGTCATTCAACCTTTTAGATGAAATCAACTAATAACTCATTGCTGACCAAGCCCGAGATATTTCGTCTATGACGTCATAATTGTATCTGACCAACCCCGAAATATCTCTGGGTGCTGTCCAATAATTGTCACATAATCTATACCAATTATCTTACCAAATATTGTAGGGGTTACTAGGGGAACATAGTTGGGTGCAATTGAAGTATATTGTCATTGGCTTTACAAATGACATAAAACGTACAATAGCTCATAGGGTGTTGATAGTCCATTTTATGCTAATGTGAAAATGTGCAATTTTTCCCAATTTTCCGTCAAAATTGCCAGTCATCAGCAGAAAAACTACAAAAATAGCTTTGGCCAGCAATAAGATAAGGTTTGAGATTTTGATCATGTTTATACAAAGATGCATCGACTTGTTATTTTTATAAAACTTGTGTAAAGAGATATAAGTAGAGATATTTGATGCCATATTGTTACTATGGAAACTAATAAAACACTTAGCATTAATGAAAATTGCTTTTGTTGAAATAGTGGTTCTTAGATTTCCTCCACTGAGCTCAATATTGAAGCCTAATATTGTATCCATAAACTCTGTCAACTTCTGTAATGGTCAATACCATATACTGGATAATCAAGTGAGTAACCAACGAAATCAAGTCATGGAGGATCACGTCTGACGAGTCTTGTCAGGAAAAAGGTTGACTTGCATTGCCCAAGATAGTGAAACGTTAACCTTGATTAGTTTACACTGTTACACTCTAATAAAACAAACTAGAGAACTGTCATTAATTTATTTTTCAATAAATACCTTTATTCTGATTTGTACATATCTCTTGTATAAATACATAACCCTTTTATCTTTTAACAGTTTATTACTTGATAACATCAAGCTGTGAGTGCAAATTGGAATGAGTTCTCGTATAAATTATTCTAAGTCGACTTTTTGGAAAAAAATTTGGAAACAAGTCTCATAAATACAATAATTACAAAAATATTACATGCATAAAAGCAGCACTGCATTTCTAGAAACTCCTGAATTCTATCAAAGGTTTTAAAGCAATGTTAAGTCTTCAGAAATAAACACCTTGTGAATAAACTACAAGAAGAGATAAACTACAGCAAGAAAGGGAAACTACAACAAAAAAGAAAACTACAAAAAGAAAAGATTAATGATGGAAAGGAGAGTGAAAAACCCAGAATCAAAGAACAAGACATATTAATCGTTCTTGCTGATAAATCCAGGCACGCTTAGCACCAGTTATTTTCCGTTGTACTAAAATTCACCACCGCCACCTTGAATGTGTTTGTGATGTATTTGGTGTTCACCTACACTCAACATATTTTTATATTGGTACATACAATCTGTATTTATACATACAATGAATACTGCAGTATACATACAATCTGTAGTGTACCTATAATAAGTACTACTATAGCAGTAACATACAATCTTTAATATAACATAGCTTAGTGAAGTTTACAATCTGTAGTTTAAATACAATATGTGCTATTGTGTTACAGTGTTCAACGCCAATAAAACACAAACCCTGCAGTCGACTTCAATTTTTAATTCATATTTCTAGAACAATGATTTTAAAAATAATTGTACATTTATACTAACTAAACAAAAATGTAACTTGTGATTTATTTTGTTCAGAGTATATATACAAAATATTAAGTGCAGATCTATTTCCTACATATATTGCGTACAATTCTTACCCATTCTTTGTCTCTAATACCACTAATAACTAAAAGCATCTTTCTAATATCACTATTGTAGTATAATTAAGTAAAGGAACTCCCAGAAATATGCAAGCAGCACAAAAGTAAGCTACTGTCACGGATACATGTCAATTGCCAATGCTGTTGTCATAAATTCATGCCAATGTCAGAAATACATTGCACCATTGATGTCGACATGTCAACTTTAAGTACCATTGTTGATGCTGAAGCATTTAGGGAGTTGAACTGTTATTTCTTAAGGACCTATACTTCTAGGTGTTCTTTAAATAAAAATACTAAATAAATATATTAATTTATATTGCATCAAATATATAGATATGACAAGCAGCAAATAAAATAGGTATACAGCATTTTCTCAAGCTGTATTTATTATAAAACAATAAGGTCTTAGGGTTTGGAACTCATATTATCCTGTATATTGCCTGTTCATCAATTCTAATCATATGGAATGTCTAACAGTAAAATAATAAAACAAATATTTCATTCATAATGTCCATATGTACCTTTTGCAAACCATCCATTTTCCATCGGTGGAACTACACAGGCAAGAAATAAGGTAATGTCCTTATTATGATATTATGAATAATTTGAGACATAGTCCTGTATTCAGATACATTCAAATGTTTATAGAAATATATAATTTTATATAATATTGGTGTAAAGCTGAAGTCATGCCTAAGACACTAGCTCATCCTTTCCTTATTTATAAAATGTGCAACATAATGAATCTATGTTAGACTTAAGAGACACATTACAGGAATGTACGTTTGAGCTCAATTGGAACTCCCAACAATAACTAGTAATATAAACTGTTTTATTTTATGCTTCTTGGTCAGTTTTTGAATATTCAAATCACATAAATAGACATATACGACAATAATATGCATTATGCAATATCTAATTCTAATAAATTACATACATAAAAAGAAAATTAAGTATGATGGGTGGCAAGATATTTTAGTATATGTACTAGTAGGCTTTGTTTAAAAAAAATAATTGAATAGACTACAATTCATGTAGGGACACTAGCAAGAGGGGGGGGGGGTATTTGTACAGTAAGTATAATATTCAAAACAGAACATGCTTTTCATAATAATGCAACAGCATTCATAGTCATTGGTTCGTTATATCTACAGGCTGTGTATAAACCCTGTGTCATAAAAATAGTAATGTTTTGTGTCAGTGTTGATAAATTGCTAAGTTTAACCCCTCAGTACATCAGTGCACATAAATTCACTGTAAAACATCCCTGTACACATTTCCTATTAATAAATGTGAATATGTTTTAATTACATTAAGCACCGACATTCAAGGCACATGAATCATGGTAATAAGTAAAATATTTTTAATTCGTTACATTTCAGCGTGATAACTACATTTGTACTGAACTATTGTGAGTTGAGGTTTTGGTTGAACCTTTTCTGATGTGACAGCTTACAAGTGATACAACTTATAGTCTACATGTGTATTTTCAGTACCTACTGGGTTAATTCAGGGGCCCTTTAAATTCATTTCCAATATTGTTAAATTACCTTTTAAACGGCTTTCCAAGTATAACCTGTCCAGGGAACATAGATAAATGGTGGCATCTTGAAACATTTACAATAGCGCCACAAATGTAACCAAATAGTTACTTTCTCTTTTGAATACCTTTGATGCAACACTTTACACAACAAATCTATAATGAGGAATGTCTAGAGATCAACATTTACAACATAGAAGGAACTTTTGTATGACATTCAGTTTTATGTTCAATAATTAGCGTTTTGTTATTTTATTTGTGAAACATCTCCAATCTCTAGCCAGTTCATTTTTGAAATAAATACAATATGGAGTTGAATTTTCCTAGCCAGCATCATTTAATATACCTCCCAATATTTGGCGTCTCCTATTCTGTGTTTCCCCTCCCCCTACACTGCATCCCCATCCTAAATGACCCCCTAAATGACACTGCCCTCAAGTGAGTTTGCCAAGCTCAGCTTTCTTGAAGAGCTCAGTAGCAGTGAAGAGCATTGAGTCTATGATCCCAGCCACTGTGAATGTTCCTCCTACAATTGCACAGACCTGGAACACAGAGGATAAAAAGTGAAGAGTATATGTATACATACATTAATTACATGATTTATATTGTACATTATTGTACACAGTGTTCACCCGAGGATTGTAATCAAAATATTAATTGAAATATTCATTGTTTCTTATTTACTAGCTTACATTCAGTTTCATATCTAAAATATAAAATGAAATTCTTGGTAAGGTGATGGAGTTGGGAGTTCTTATTTCAAAAATCAAATATTTCACTGCAGTAGTGAACAGACAATAGATGACCATGCTATATAGATCTATAAATAGATGGCAGCTGCTACCCTGCACGCAGAGTCTAGTTAAACTACACTCTGCCTAGTAGAGACCATATTGCAGTTTAGTAGCCCCGCCTCCACGACGGGTACCGGTGACAGTTTGGGTAATGAATCACTTCTGACCTCCGCGCTGACCTTTCTTCCATCAATCATCGAGCTTGAAGAAACATACGCAAAATGCGTGCTAATTAAATATGCGCATGTCATTGGTCAATTCCGGACTCAACGATGACGTCAGAAGGAATGACCATATATAGAACGTCGGTCAAATTTGGCCGACGAACACTGATTGGCGCGGTGAGTTCACAGGTTTATTTTAGTTTGAAAGAGTGAAGACGAAGCTCTCTTTTAAGAAGTGAAGTCAAACGAATGCAAAGGGTAGGCAGCTGCGGTTTTGGTCACTAGAACTAATGTTCTTGATTTATCAAGTATTTTCAATTGGATTCATAGCAACTGAGACTTCAAAAGATTCAAAAGCTCTGTAGAAAAGCCTCCATTTCTCTATTTGGCCTAAGGGGTTGCTTTAATGAAGTATTCTTAGATTGTGACAAGTGTTTACTTTACTCATGTAACACAGTGTAAACATAGTCAGAAAAATTTCCCCAACTGTCAAAAAACATTAACCAATTATTTGATGTGATTAGAGAAATGTTCTTTTTAATTGGAGGTATTAATTCATCAATGATTTTGATTGTATCAACAAACAAGAATGTGAGAAGTCAATGCTCTCTTTTAATTTTGAACAATACTTGCACAAACAAATCTAGATGCAACCCAGGTGGTTCAATATTAATGACCATTGGATTGTTAATGTGAACAAACACTTAGCAAAGTGACATGTTCAAGGTTTCTAAACTTATAATCAATGCATAATACAAATTAATCAACTGACATGTTACAACAGGTGCATAACAAATAAAAAAAAAATTTTCCCAATGCATAATCAATACATACAGAAAATCAGATCATTTTGAGTGATGGCATTTTTATCGATGAGTTGATATCAAACATCAACATGAGTGAGTGAAGCGAATGAGTGTTCATATTTTGATATCGACGAAGGAATAAAAATGATATCATGAGAAATGATCTGATATTGGGTTTCTCCCATGCTTATAATCAAAAATTCAAAAAGTCGAATTTGGTTTTCATAGGGATATGTGGCTGATAAACGATTTTCTCACAAATATCACACTGATTGGCATAATTTTAGAAATACCACTGGCTGTTATATTTCAGATAACACAATATTCATAGGATAAAAAAGTGTTATGTACACAACAAACAGCTGTATGATAATATTGATTTACTTAGTAATCCATAAGTGCGCCAAATAATCAACTCCATTACATGTATTGTTTGTTACAAAATCTAGATTGTTTGGTTGTCTTCAAGTGGTAGTGATTTTGATAATGTATTCCATAACAGAGTACAATGAAAACAAATATCCAATAATAAAATGTCAAGTAAAAAACCTTGACAAGTGGAACATGTTAGAAGCCAATGAAGCATTGTAATATAAATCCTCAGTGGAACAGTTATTAGAGCATCAAAGGTTTCCACTTACAAAGGTTTAACTGTTCACTATAAAAGAAATATACGTAATAAAAAGGTAGACGGTCAATTGTTAGTACTAAGTTAATGACAATGTATTACATGTTTACCTTTGTTAAAAATGTATAAAATGGCGCTCTTTTCTCCTTATACTCTACTGTGATTGGTGTGATTTCATAGCGGAACCATATAGCAGGTGACGCTCCAGCTCTACCATACTGCATGTACGACTATAGCAAACCAACATAAACCATTAACAAATTTGGTACCAGGCCTAGCAGGGTTGGCCAGGAAACACGGAAGGTTAGTTTGGGATGAAGCTTTCCAAATAAAACAGGGATGAATAAATGTTGAGATATTTACACTTGCAGTACGATGATACAAGCCTTTTTATTTATTTTTTGCATTTAAAAAATCCTTCTTAGCAATCTACATTTAAAGTTGTCCTTACTTTTTATCAAGGAATTAAAGGCATAAGCTCATGTATACTACATATGGTAAATAGAACAACTTAATTCATGCTTGAGTAATTAAATTCTATGTTTAGCATTATTTGAGGATACGGCTCATTCTATAATCGGAGAGGTTTCACAAAACATTTCTAAAACATGTAACACATTCAAATATAATATGACTTTGTTATGATAAATGAATTAGTTTACTTTTTAACATAAATTGAGCTACTTCAATTGTGTTTTTTATTTAAAAGCATTGAAATATTCACATATGGCCGTTTATGATGCTTTTTGCATATATGAAACATACTGTGAAATGAAAAAAAATGTTTTTTTACCAACACCGAAACCTGTTTTTTACATTCATGATACACAAATCCTATTTATTATATGTATGGGGATATGCTAAACATTTTATCTATTTACTCTAGCATTGATAAAATAAATTGCTTCATATGCACTGGCCACTGGGTAGTGCAGGTCCTGTAAAAAATAAGCCCTGGGTCAAAGGCCCTGCAGAAAACATAAGCCCTTCTTGAGCAGTGGGTATCCTGTCTCATCTGGGTGATTACATTGACTTACTTTGGTTAGAAATGAGTAAACGGGTTCACGTTTCTCACGGTAATGTACAGTAATGGGAGAAATATCATATCTAAACCAAACTGCAGGAGGACGTTTGTTACCATGGGGACCAAATGGTGCATATGTCTGAAAGTCGCAAGTCATCAGTATGAAATACAACATTGAGGAAATACGAAATTGCAGGGCAAAGATGGGTAGTTTAAAACAAACGGGACATTGAACGGTCCTACTTCCGTCTGCCATTCTTAGGTGGTGTCCTGCAAACAATATCAATTAAACATGTAGTAAACATATATTCAAGGTCAAGACACTTAAACAGACATCAGGTATCAAACTTACAATATTTTCATATACTCAAAAACTGATTTTGAAAGACTCCAAAAGTCCTATATAGTTTGAGAATATTTAGCGATTCCTGTCACAGGAGCAATATTAAGTACATTATTATTCTTGTGGAAATGGAAATACAATTACAGGATAAATCAAATGTAAATTAAATTAATAAAGCTGAAGGTTATTGTTATAGCAGTCTCAGACAAAATTACAAAAATAAACATTTCAATTTACGTTACTTATCATCTTAAAGATTTTGAGTGAAACTTGAGACTCTACCATCGGAAAAATGATTTTATATTTAATTGAAATGATTTTATATTTAATCGATTGACAACTTTAACTTGATATTGATTTGCTTACCCTATATGCATAGGTGTATTGATACGGAAGCTGTGAATTGCCATCTATATCATCATACACTGTTGGAACTACTTTCATGAAATAGTCATGTGATGCCCCCTCTGGAAAATAATATTCATATATGTGAATGAATGTCAACTAGATAGAAAATGTAGTGTAGCCATTTTCCAAACATACTTTATGGGGATTTAACAGGCTAAAAAAGTATTGTTCTTTCAAAGGGTACTTCTTGTACTAAATATGGTCCGATTGAAAAACTACATCCAAAGCCAATGGGACATTACTTTGGAATTTAATTTTGACTATGGACCACACAATGCATTGCAGATCAATATTGTTTTGGGATGACGCTTCACAATGACATCATTATAATGAATCAAAGGGAAAAGTTAATGGACTTTTATGAATATATGTGTTCAATAAGTTGTTGGAGTAAGTTAAATCTAAAATGTTTTAGACTAACAAATATTGACATTGGTTGACTGTCAAAATTATACTCCATTACTTTAAATTTTGGTGTGTGGTCTCGGTTTACGGTTTCTGATATAATATTAACATCCAAGCTATAGAGAGGCCAATAATTGTAGAAAGTACATACTTTGAGCACTTGCAGTATCTCTATTTTTCAATGGATTGAAATTTCCCGGTAGTTTAGCATGAGACACATCATCCCCGAAGACCACCTCGTGGATATAGTGTGTCATATCTGCATCTACTGGCTGTTGATGGGACGCATGTGTTGATACGTGGAAGTTACCAGGTACCTGAAGAAGAAATGCATAGTACTACAACATTTTATTGTAATGCAATAATACATGTATATACCATAATATGTATTTATGAGCACTGATAAGGAAAAGTATACAATTTTATACTGACACTGCACAACACACTGCATTGTAATGTTTTGTATTCTATAACATTAGGGCTAGGCTCAAAAGCTTTTGAACCCCTCACTCCCTTCAGTCGTTCAGGGTACAGAAAACGTTTGTGCCTAGCCCTGTGGGGTGTATTCATTGACATAACACCTGCTCTTCAGTCTATATTTCTTAATTACATATATGGTATTTATTTGTACTGTAATTCAGCTGTATAAAACAGCATTTTCTGAAACCCCACATCTTGGATACAATAACTTTTTATTACTTATAAAGCCATCAAGATCTGGGAACTCATTCTTCAAAATAGTATGAACCACTCAGTCAAGAAGTTCAAGATTCTGCAAGCGCTCTAGCAATTCACAATGATACGAACAAAGATACGAATGTTATGAAGCAAAAAGTAAATCTCATTAATGTATCATTCATTTGTGTCATGTGGTGAGGTCAATATCGTGGACACATGAAGATTTTTGATCTCTCGTATTGTGGTAATCTTAAAAGAAACCAAGTTCTATACACAAACTTAAAACTAGCTATTCACTATAGCTATAAATTGCTAATATTACTGGTTGAACTTACTTGTTATTACTTAAATTTAAAAAAATCAAATCAAGTGATTTCATCTTCTATCAATACTACACTAACCTACCCCCATGCTGAAGCCCCTGTATTTCTTTAAAAGTGATACAGCTAACAATGTAGTTGCAAATGGAGGACGTTTGCTTATTTCCATATTTCTGAAGGTATACTTAATTTTACATGTATTCCAAGTCTTCTAGTGCACAATGTATAGATTCATCTAGCAGTTTACATTGTACATGTACTATTAACAGAAAAGCCCTAGAGACAAAGTTTAAGAATGCCTGCTCCATTTGCAACTGCACTGTAGCCTGTATCCCTTTTAAAGAAATACAGGGGCTACAGTATGGGGGAAGGGTAGTGTGAATACATGCCAATATTAAAATGTAAATATAAGATATTAATTACCCTGCTTATTTTAAAATGTGCTTCAAACATACATCCTTCATTCTCCCGTCCTAGTGGAGTTTTTTCTGTATTTTCTACAAACCCAACCTCATGTCTACCTAAGTCATCTTGTATATCTAGCCCCAGATCTGAAACAGTCAAAAACATCCACATTTGTGAGTTAGAGTATAATACTAATTGCCAGTATTCAAAATCCAATATTTTTTATTTTTCAGAGTAATATTAGCTCAACTTATTCATTGACTTGTTTTCAAATTTCTCAATTTTTCTTTCTCAACTCACCAGTTTAACATGTTTCCACTGAACAACATTGCTTACATACAGAATTTTGAGTTATTATATGAGACAGTGCCTAATTAGCACAAAAACAAGGTGGAGTGACTTTTTATCATCGGCACTTAGCATAGGATCTTCCTTTGTTAAAAATTAAATTTCCAGCATTTATTAAATCTAATATATTTTATTTTATAGAGCAATATTAGCTTAAGTTACTCATTGGCTTGTATTCACTTTATTTTTTCTCTTAGAACCAGTTTAAAACTTGTCCATTGCTTGCAAATACATTGCTTACATTCAGCAGAATTCTGATTTAATACATGAGACAGTGCCTAATTAGCATAAAAGCAACAGTGGAACACTCACATTGACATTGCATGTTTGGTAGACTGATTCTTATCCTCACTGGAATCCTTTCATCGTGACCTATTGGATTATTGACATACAACTCACTGACTCTGCAAAATATATGCAACACCTTTTTTTATTTCATATATGAAACATATTAGTAGTATACAAGGAAAGTCATTTTTTAACATAAATATTATGGAATATGGATTCTTCTGAATTTTAAAATTGATGTCACTAATGGATGGAACATGAATGATTCATAACGATATCTAAATCTAAATCTGATAATTCAAATAATTTTAATTTAAATAATTTAAAAATATTCCCTCTTTCAAAAAGCTTATGCAAATAAAATGATAATTTATATTGTTTTTTTTATAATTAATTCTAGCTTAAAGAAAGTACTTTCCCCCTCTCATTCAAATTTGATATAACCTTTTAGTAACTTACACTTCTGGGAGGATATAAGCCCTCAGCTCTGCAAGGAATAAATATGTGATGAAGAGTATACTGCTGACAGATATAAAGGCACCTGTAGATGTGGGCTGAGTCAGATCTTTTGGAATCTTCCGGTAAATATCAAACCTGAAAAATATATAAAAATGCATCAATGTTCTGAGTGATTGCATTCAAAATGGCAGCAAAGAATAGATATATGGTTATGCGTACGTATGGCAAGATTTTTCAAGGTTTTCTGTTTTGTTCCATGGAATTTGTGTTTCAATGTAACTTCCTCAAAAATGGCAGACCAAATGCAGAATTAACAGGTGAAATCACTTTGAGATTTCTGATAATTTTCTGCCTACAATAGCAAAAGTTTTGGTTTATTTGTGCATTCTGTCCTTGATGTAAGTGTCTCAGGGTAAACAGGCAAATCTATTTTGGAAGGAGCACTCTATTTAGCTTGAAAACCCGCCATTTATTTATTATGGCTAACACTGTAATGAAATGTTTATCCCATCATTCTGCGGTGCAGGACAGGTTGATTTTTCAAATCACCCCCAACATTTACTTGTGTATCGAAATATTGGGGGGGGGGGGGGTGATTTGAAAAATCAACCCCACATTTGTGGGTGTAATAGCACAGAGAACTATTTACATTCTTATATACACAAAAGAGGATAGGAACATATGTAAATAGTTCTATTTGCTATATAGACTATGTAGAGAAATAGAATTCAGTGAGAAAAAATGGAAAAAATGTTCAGAAAATAAAATAAATATGTTCCAAAGAAAGATATGATTTCTCAAAAATGAAGACGCATTCTTACTCTAGATTTCCCAAGTATTGTCCTATATATTGGTTGCTTACCTTCGAATGTCAAACTGCATGATTAATGGGTTATTTTGCCCTATAAAGTATGAAATGTTTAAATTATTTACAACTTCTGCACAAACCGGAAAATGGTTTCCGGAAGTGACCTGGCGAACGTGCGAAGATCTGATTGGTCCGCTTACTAAGATCATGTGACCTATATTAAACTTATTTTTAAAGCGGGAAATTCAAAAGTTTGCTGAAAGTTAATTTTGACGATAATCGTCATCATGACTTTAAATAATCTGGTATAAAGTGGAAAAACTATTATCATTACTTATTTGACAATGATGGCATTAATTAGGTATCTTGGTCAAATTACACAAGCTAGTAACAACATACATTGTGTCTGTGAAATATCCATATGTTGTTTTCTTATCTTGAAATACAATTTTACAGACGCACATAGAAACAATAAATAATGATAATTCGTGCAATGCTGTTAATGGATATTTTTGTATAAATTCATCACTTACATTGGTTTATTTTATTTTTATACACACTAAAATAATGTTTACGTTTTACATATTTTTTACTCTGTGCGCGTATGTGCTTGCAGGTCCGAGAGTACCAGTAAGTATACATTTATCTCTATGATTTAAATATTCCATATGGCGATATGAACATGCAAAATGAGACACAGAGCAGTTACTACCAATTGCATATTTCTGAATTTATCATTTCTGAAACAAAATATTAGATTATATTGACTATATTTGCAGGAATCTGAATGGACAGATCTCGACCGCTATGTATTCACAAATGATCCAGAATACAGTTATTTCAAACAAACTGAATACAGAACTGCAACTATTACTACACATATTATACGTATGACCTCACAGAGATGGATGACTGGTGAGTTGAATCATCTGCTTAGATTGTGTCGTGTTCATCATTTCATGAGTATATGCAAAACAAATGTCAGGGACCAGTTTATTGCTCCTTATGCTTATCCAACCAGGAAAAGAGAAATCATCCATTTTAATCACGGGCATTAAGGAGAATATAAAAAGTAAATCATCTATTCTTAACTTGGCTTCGGCATTATTTCTGTAAAACGAGAATAACGTATAGCATATAACAACACCTTTCCTGGTACCCAAGCCCGTCCTCATGTCATGTCCTTACTTCACTGTTAGCCAACTTTACATCAAGAATTCAGAGTAGCAAGATAGTGACTTTTAGTGAGACTAGCGTACTGTTGTAGATGAGATAATCAATTCCAGAAAGAACGTTGTAATGAAATCGATATGTTCCAGATACGTTCAGCAGTCAATCACTATGGTGGCATCACTTGGCCATTGTTATACCTGACCAGCTGAATTTCCCGGATGCAGCCATCTTGACAATTGAAATGGGAGATCAAACAGATGAGTATGGACATACATTGAAATATATTATACAAAGAAAAACACCATTTATTGGAATTGGTGGCGTAGTATGGCGATTTTTGGTTAAAGGCCCCATATAAAGTTTAAACCACTTTGGCTTATATTGTAGTCTTACCCAATGTTATCAAAGTGTGATATGTGAAACTTTTTTTTTAATTTCAAAAAGTGGTTTTTGAGAGACTTTTTGTTCCAAAATTTGTGAATTTATTTAAAACCAACTTTTAGAGGTCACTCATATCTTCTAATTAGCCACAATTCATACCAATGCATAGCATTCATCCTCCCATGTTTTTTGCCGAAAAAATTAAGAAAATCGGTTCATAAATAAGCGAGAAATGAACTTATCAGTGCATGAAAATGGTTCTGAGAAAAATGGATTTCAAAATTTTAGTTCTCATAGAAACCAATGGTACAATGATATCTAAAACATAATTCATTCTTCCTTTTAACCTGGTTAGACAATCAACATTGGTTTTTTATGAAAGTCTAGCATATTTAGAAAAGATTGACATCTAAAAAAAAATTTCAATTTTTTTCAAAAAGTTTTTGGTACCTTAGTGACATCACTAATGTTTCAAAATATTTTTGATATGCTAAAACATTGAAGTGGCCCATTAATTATGCCATTTTATTATTGAAATAGTGTGTCCTTTGTTCAGTCTTTGCATTGGTGTTAAAAAGATAATCTTTTTTGAAATGCATTAAGAAATATTTGATGATTAAGAAATTTCAACTTTTTTTGAAAAATGGCGGGAAATTTGAATATTTGAGAAATGAAATGCTCACAACTTTTTTTTCAAAAAAATTTTTTTGTTCAAAAATCTCTAAAATCACTTTTGAAGTCCTGACAAATAGTAAATGAATGATAAAAAAATATTTTCAAACTTTAGACGGGGACTTTAAGGTTCTAATCACTGCGTTTAGTTTTCCTTTGGGCCAAGTCCCATACTATTCTACTTGTCAGTGCATTCAGTTATATGACATCCTAACCCCATAGCGTTCATTTATTTCTTGATAAGGAGTAAAAGTTCTCATTACTTTATAACAATTATTTTGCTGTTTTAGTCTCCCCACTCCTGAGAACAACGACTTGCTGTTCTACAGTGGCGAGTACGCTGCTGCAGTAGGGGTTGTGGCAGTACTACTCCGTCAGAACCCCAATCAGCCAATCACATTCCCAGTAAGTTATTTCAGTCATTTGTCAAATGGACTGTTCAGCCCCAATGAAGTAATTCTGATTCTACATGGTCTTTAACAACTTCTCAATTATGAATAAAAGTATTGTAAGTTAGAGAAAGTATCAATTATAATTTAGGTTTGCTGTTTATACTAATTTAATTTACCCGGTATCGTCTGTATTTTTTCTACATAGAAATATTTTCAGAAAGTCCGAGATTCAGGCCCTTTGTAGACATATTTTCTTAATCGCCTATTTACATTTTTATGTCACCACCACAAATAGTGACATACTGTTATCACCACAAATGGTGACAAACTGTTATCACCAAAAATGGTGACATACTGTTATCTCCAACTTGTTTGGATGGTGTTTGGTGCCTGGCATTCTAGGGCAGCGTTTGGCGTGTGTAACAAATGGAAGGGAGTGACATTCTGTATTTTTTTCTTAATCGCCTACTAGTATTTACATTTTTATGCCACCACCACAAATAGTGACATACTGTTATCACCACAAATGGTGACAAACTGTTATCACCAAAAATGGTGACATACTGTTATCTCCAACTTGTTTGGATGGTGTTTGGCGTCTGGCATTCTAGGGCGGCGTTTGGCGTGTGTAACAAATGGTAGGTGGTGACATTTTGCGTATTAATGCGTTGTATACGTTTCTCGTGAATAATAATTTGTAATACTCCTACAAATATATCATTCTCACCAGAATCTTCTTTTTTATCGAAAGATGGATTGAAATGGAAAGGGCTTGGTTTACCATTATCGCTATAACATGTTCATATTTTCTACGAGTACTGTACATAATGTTACAACACATATCGTCTATGTAGGCTGATGACAGACAGCTCAGTAGGTTTGAAGATGAGATAATTGCATGGACGTGGAGAAAGTACATGCTAGATGGAGGGAGGAACGGCACGGCTAGGACTAGCAGCATTCTACAATTTCCAATGACAAAGGTACACTCGGGATCATTTCGTGTAACCATGGGAATATCAAGTAAACATTTACAAGTTAATATTATATGTTTCAAAGTTATCACCTTGTTTATATTGTATTGTTATGTTTGCCCTACAGGCGGCAAAGGCAGCACTGGATACTGTGCAAGATTTCTGTTATACGAATAATCAACTGAACATCACTAGGTTTATGGTCACAGGGGCGTCTAAGGTAAAGAATCAAAATAATAGATGATAAGGTTGAAATCAAAAAACGAGTATTAAACACTGTTAATTTTGTCCAATTCTATTCATGAGGAACTTTGTAACAAAATCAAGCTGATTGCGGATTGCTAACGTTTCTTATATTGTCTTCCAATTCCAGAGAGGATGGGCGACATATCTGATCGCAGCATTAGATGACAGAGTCGTTGCTATGGCACCACAAGTCTTCACTGTCCTCAACTTCAGAGCTGTAAGCTTACATGACTTTGAAAATTAATATTCGTTACCTTATCACGATCATAATTCTTATAATATTAATCGCAATGGCCAAACAAAGGTTTATTCAAAAATATCTTTGCATACAAGGAGGATTTTGATCACCCCTCGTACTGCAATCGCTAAAATCAACAACTGTTTAGAATATACTTATTTGCTGATTGTGTTCAATCCAAATCAATATAAAAAACATTTTCAATGCTTTAAAAACATTTGTTGACATTTTAGAATATCAAGCACCACTACAGATCGCTGGGTGGATACTCTTGGGCATTTGGGGATTACTGGAGAGAAAATCTCACCTCTGAAGTTGACTCGCCATTAACTGATGAAATCATGGCGCTCATTGATCCATATGGTAAAACCTTCGATTTGAAAAAAAACAAATCAATGCCATTTCCAATATTTCAATTTTGCTTGTCTAAACGAGAGCTTCATCTGCAGAATTAATAGGCTCTGAAACTTGTGGTATCAATATTCCTTCGAAATATGGACAGTTATACAACAGTCTGGACTATTATATAACGTATGGTTATTTTTAAATACCACAAATCCACCGAGAGGAGCGTACACCTTTCTGCCTTTACGTTTAGTTTTCGTGTAGATTAAGTTACATTTTTAATTGAAAAGGGTTTCACTCTACACTTCTCTCAATAAGTTGCCAACCGAAAGTTTTCATTCGATAACAAATCTTTATTTTCTTGATTTTTGTAGCGTATCGTTCCCGTTATAACGGAATGCCCAAGCTTATTATCAACGCTGCTGGGGACGAGTTCTTCCTCAATGATGACTCCCATTACTTTTGGAACGATCTTCCAGAACCAAAATACTACTGGTTGGTATTCCAAAATATTATTGGTCAGTATTAAAAATATTATTGGTCAGTATCGATCCAACGATTTGCCAATAGTCCAATATAAAATATTCCATTCATTGGGACCAACTAGTAAATTTTGACTTCTAGTTACCCAGAATTAATTACAAGTATTCTGAATTTTTGATCCTTATTGGAGTTATTTGAAAATGAAATACCGTAAACAAATGAAGATTGATTCGTAGTTTATACTCTGCGTTTCTTTACAGGATGATTGAAAATACCAACCACGCACTAATCGGTGCAATTGAAGAGGTCTATGAAAATCTACAAGCATTTTACAAGATCGTGTTGAATGTAAGGAATCATTTGGGTGTACTTTATATTAATTCAGTAAAATCTCATTTTCCGGAAAAAGGAAGGAACTTCTTCTGGAGCCATGTCCCAAACAATCATTTCTTATCAGTTTTATATTTTTATACGGAAACGAAAATTAAACTTTTTTATCGGACTCTATGGGTACAGTAAAGTGTATTAATTTTCCTTATTATTCCAGGGCTGGAACTTCCCAGAGTTCACATGGACAAGGGAAACGGTCAGTATCGATCATATTATACCGACTTGAAATGCAGAAAATGTTCAATGATTGCCCTTCGCACTCGTTTGCTATACTACTTAGCCAACTAAGCTCTGCAGTCAAGGTTTCCAATAACTCATTTTCTCAATGGGCCTAACTTTAAACCGATTTATCCTTGCATTTTGTCAATCTTTTGTTACCATGGAGAGATAATCTAGTGGTACTGTGTATGTTTTAGACAACTGACGGCGCAAGGATCACTGTGACAGCTAGATCGCTAACACCAACTCTGACGTCATGGGAGGCTGATACGTCTGATGACATTCGCCGTGACTTCCGACTTCTTAGGCTGCCTATCAATGGCGGAGACACTCCAGAAGCCAATGATGTGCTCTGGATCGAGGACGCTGGCAACGTGGACGATTTGGTAAAGTCCTCATTTTAAATTATTGCCATAGTATTAACCTTGTGTACCTCAGTTTACTGACCAAAGTCCCCTATAATTGGAATTTTACCATCTGAAAAAAGAATCATCTGAAAAAGCTAACCATCTGTGTCAAATATAAATAATATTAGAACTGTTGAACCTTTGAAACACAGAACCCCGCTATATCAACCCAACCCTCATAATGACTACCGAAGGCAAGAGCCTGACATAATACTTCTGACTTATATTGTACCTGGACTGATCGATTTAGCTTCACTCATAACCCCACAATTCCTTTATGTTCCCCAGGGAGGCGGTCGATGGAGTGCTGATGTTGACTACTCTGAACTGACTGGCAATCTCTGGAGGGCATTCTTCATTCAGGTAGCCTTAAAACTTACGTATCTAGCAATGCAATGCAGTCACTAGATCGCACCCCCTTGACTGAAAACAAAAAAAGCTTTGGTGATCGCGCCCCCACCCACTGACTCAAAGCTGGCTACGCCCCTGCTAGAAAAACGAAAATAACGTAAATAAGTATTTTTCATAAAGAGGTTTTGATTTCTCGATGAGCATTCGTCCACTCGGATGGCACGATTCAAAGGTTCCCTAGGACAATCTTCTTATTTTGACTTTTAATCGGCCATCATTTGACATTTTCAAGAAAAAGAAAACTGGTGGAAGTACTTGGCTTTACTTGTTTTCCCATTGATGTATTTACCAAAGTTGTTTCTTCTCTTCCAGGCGACATTCACAATAGATGATGGGGATGACCTAAGTCTAAGCACGGAATGCCATCATATACCTGACGTATTCCCCTTCCCTCCCTGTTCGGGTGCGCAGTGCTACGGAAAACTCGTCTAAAGAGCGAAATTTACCCATGTATCCAACATATTATCAAACAAACCAGACATTTTTTCCGAATTATGTTGATTTAAAATGGTACGTCGTCATGGGTTACACAGGGTCTACTCTCTCTCTCTGGACAAAACTAGATACTCTCACAATTTTTAGCTGAAGAGAGACTCTGATAAATCGGAATGGCAATATTATTTTTAGATAAAAAATCAAATCCGATGAGCTCTGCGTTCTGTCTATTGATTAGATACATACTTTGCGCTTATCTTCAATTCAGATTTACACGTTTGGGATGTTAAAATATCACACCTTTTAAGTAATTCGCTACTAAGACAAATACAGTTTCTATACTGAAGTGGAGAAATAATCGAAACCATACGCCAAATCTATACAATATTAGTTGTGCAACATGTATTTTATTTTATCTTCTACAAATACGTGTATCGAATTCGAAAAACAATTCTGTTTCCATTAAAACATCAATATTTCAAATGAACTCATCCACCTTCTCCAAAGAAGTAATAAAAATAGAGCAACTAATAAAAGTATGAATAAAGATGATATAATGTCTGAGTATTCTTAGTTGTGCAACATGTATTTTATTTTATCTTGTACAAATACGTTTATCGAATTCGAAAAACAACTCTGTTTCCATTAAAACATCAATATTTCAAATGAACTCATCCACCTTCTCCAAAGAAGTAATAAAAATAGAGCAACTAATAAAAGTATGAATAAAGATGATATAATGTCTGAGTATTCTTAGTTGTGCAACATGTATTTTATTTTATCTTGTACAAATACGTTTATCGAATTCGAAAAACAACTCTGTTTCCAGTTAAAACATCAATATTTCAAATGAACTCATCCACCATCTCTAAAGAAAGCCAGTAGAATCGAGTTCCAATGTGATTGTAATAAAAATAGAGCAACTAATAAAAGTATGAATAAAAATGATATAATGTCAATGTAAGCGGGCTTTCTGTGCTTTCTTCATCATGTTAGATTACTACCTGTAAGTCCTTTTCGAGTATTGTTTTGAAAACAGAAAGACGTGTTTTAATTTTGAAGAAATAACATTAAATCATTAATTATCTTTCAAATGAATTAGACCACGAGCCAAATCTAAATAGCAAAACCCAAAAAGATGCAAAAACCTAAACCCAAATGATATTGCCCTTATATGGTATGATATACAGGGTGACCAAAAATATATTACTCTCTGATATTCGAATAACCTTCTAAAATATGTTGGAATCTTTGTAAATTTTATTGTGTAGATACAATGTTCAATAGGGGAGTTGCTATAATATAGCTGAATAAAGCTGAATAAATAGATGCCAGCACCTGTTTTTATTTGTTTTGGTTGGGCAAGACAGCCATAGGCTTCAATGGTAAAAACTTGCAACAGTCACTTAATTTCAAAATTTAACAAAACACGTTGATTGTATGACCCTGTAAATGTACATAGTGTGATTAATCATGAAAATTTTGGTAGTTGAACGAATAAAACAAGGTTTTAAAGAATTTTAACATTGCATCAATGGAGATTTAGCTCACACTTTTTTTAGAAAAGTTGAAAATGTCATGGAAAGTGATAAAAATAACACAACTGTATAAATTAAAGTTATTATTGTAGAAAAAATTGTGATTTCTGTCTTCACTCCACTCCAAAAGTTTGGCAACCTTAGCTCCCTCACTGAACTACGTGTTAAAGCCTCTTTATGTTTGAATTTTTATTTACATAACCTGCGAGGAAAATACTTATAATATTGATGGAAATGTAACTTGGCTTAATTTCCAATGCCTCCAAATTTTCCCATTTTTTTCCTCAATTACAATAGGTCGAAAATATATATTATACGAGGGTTGATCATAAAGTTCTCATAATGTCTCTCTAATTTCTTTATTTTTCAATAATTTTCTATGAAATTTTCACAGAATGTGCAGCATGGAATGGTATATTAATCCAGCAAACAATATCTAGAGTGACACAACCATTAAATAAGAAATGGTTGCCATAGTAACTTGAAATCAAGGCACCCGGGGCAAATAAAAACAACTAGCTAGAATAGCCCCCATTAACCATGTTTAAATACATAATAAGTTGTCAAACAAGATATCAAACACATTGAATTGTCAAATAATATGAGCCCTTGACTGTTGTGAACTATTATAATGGTCATGTGAATTATGCGAGCGCATAATGGATGATTGTTATGCTTCATTAGAAGTGATTGTTAGACCCCATGACTGTTTTGTCAAATATCCTGAGGAAAATTGATTTTGCCCCTTTAGTTCATTTTTAACATGTACAAACCACACACAGGGTGTAATTTTGTTGAAACCTTAGCAATATATTTGTTTTAGATCATGTTTAGTCTGACCAAAGGATCTTACAAACTTAACATAACATTTTATCAGTATGAATTTTATTTTTCTGAAGATCTCTGCATCTATTGCATTCTCTTACTCAGTCATTTCTGATCATCAGCTTTGAGTGTCAGACTCTGGTATCACATCTAATGAAGCATGAAATCATCCCCTATGACATCACCTAATTTACACGATCGATTTATTTAATTGTTAAAGCACTTTACAACATATTCAAGTTTACATTTAATTTCCCGCTACTATGGCAACCGTTTCTTATTTAATATTTCTGTTAAACTAAATATTTTTTGCTGAATTAATAAGACATTCTATGCTGTACATTCTGTGAAAATTTCATTGGAATATATTGAAAAATAAAGAAATTAGAGAGATATTATGAGAACTTTATGATCAACCCTCGTATAATACAGTAATATATTTATTGATCACTCCATTTACAAAAAAATGAAGATTCCTTCATAATTGAGAAGGTAATCAAAACTAGAGGCTAACGTTTACTTGGTCACCTTGTACATGTAGTTTTGATGTTTGACTCACATTGTAAAACAGGTATACAATAGCAAAAAGATAACTCTGGTCTTCAATAACCATGCGGAGAAAGAAAATGAGAGTGGCAGCTTAGGTTAAAAATTATAGTCGTTTGGAATACAGCTACTTTTGAAACTCTGATAGTGTGAGAGGGGCTGGCTACATAACAAGGCGATGAAATCAAATCTGAATGTTGGTGTTTCCGCCGCCCTTATTCAAAGTCTGGAAACAAGACATACGTGGTTTAAATCATTTAGAACTCATTAAAGTCCCCGTATAAACTTTAAACCACTTTGGGTTATACTGTAGTCTTACCCAATGTTATCAAAGTGAGATATGTGAAACTTTTTTTTAATTTCAAAAAGTGGTTTTTGAAGGACTTTTTGTTCAAAAATTCATGAATTTATTTAAAACTAACTTTTAGAGGTCACACGTATCTTTTGATAAGCCACAATTCATACCAATGTATAGCATTCATCCTCGCATGTTTTTTTGCCGAAAAATTAAGGAAATTGGTTCATAAATAAGCGAGAAATGAACTCATCAGTGCACGAAAATGGTTCAGAGAAAAATGCATTTAAAATTTTAGTTCTCATAGAAACCCATGGAACAATAATATCTAAAACACATACATTCTTCCTTTTAACCTGGGAAGACAATCAACATTGGTTTATTATTGAAGTTTAGGATATTTAGAGAAGATTGGCATAGAAAAAAAAATTCAATTTTTTTCAAAAAGTTTTTGCCACCTGAGTGAGTCATAATGACATCACTAATGTTGCAAAAATTTTTTTGATATGCTAAAACATTGAAGTGGCCCATTAAATATGGCATTTTATTATTGAAATAGTGTGTCCTTTGTTCAATCTTTCCATTGGTGTTAAAAAGATAATATTTTTTGAAATGTATGAAGAAATATTTGACGATTAAAAATTGGCGGGAAATTTGAATATTTGAATATTCATAACTTTTTTTCCAACATTTCTTTTGTTTAAAAAATCTAAAAAATAACTTTTAAAGTCATGACAAATTGTAAATGAATGATAAAAAAATATTTTCAAACTTTACACGGGGACTTTAAGTCACAGGCTTTTAATCACATAATAATTGAGACTATTGGCAATTTTAGCCCACTCTGTATTGACAAAGAAAACAAACGCTTATTCGGTCCGTAGTCGATCCTGCTGACCTTGCAGTAGACAAATTCAGTAAAGCTGCGAACGTTCAACCATTTTGCAATTACAGAGCCATTAGACAAAATGCTGAGGAGACTGTGCTTCGTTGTTCTCTTCGTTGCCGTAATTGTGGTAAGTTGTAATTCCTTATTTACTGTTCAGTTTTGACATTATTTTCATCATGAAACACAATTAATCATATAGTTTACTATATTTATGGCGTTCATGTTCATGTATTTTAAATTATTGGTTTTTACGAGCAACATATTATAATTCCGATTGCCTCGTACGTTGGATGCCTTGATCACATTGATCTACCACAACCGTATAGCGGCCGTAGCTCCCGGGCCGTAGCTTCCCAAATTTGATAGAAATATGCAGCATAAAATGTAGGGATAAACAGTACGATATAGATTTTCTGTATCGATTTTGTGAACGCGTAGCCGCCGTACATCCGTCGTAGAGAAAATGTGACTGACGAGGCCGTTTTAGGTTTGATTATTAAAATACATGATTCCCTTCTCTCTCACACTCTGACAGTTTGTGTTTTTTTTTGTATTAACGTGCCAGTTAATCATAATCAAGAGAACCATTAACATGTAAATTAGTGTATTTTAATTCATGTATGCAGGCTGTATATGGAAGCGATGAAAGAAAGAAGCGATCCCCGCAGGGAGCGCCACCTCCACCCGACACTAAATCGTCGGGTGATGAGACATCGAGGAAAAAGCGATCCCCGCAAGTACCCCCGCCTCCGCCCCCACCCGACACTAAATCGCCGGGTGATGAGACTTCGAAGAAGAAACGATCCCCGCAAGTTCCTCCGCCTCCACCAGACACTAAATCGCCGGGTGATGAGACATCGAGGAAAAGGCGATCCCCGCAAGTACCTCCGCCTCCGCCCCCACCCGACACTAAATCGCCGGGTGATGAGACTTCGAGGAAGAAGCGATCTCCGCAAGTACCTCCGCCTCCGCCCCCACCCGACACTAAATCGCCGGATGATGAGACTTCGAGGAAGAAACGATCCCCGCAAGTACCTCCGCCTCCGCCTCCACCCGACACTAAATCGCCGGGTGATGAGACTTCGAGGAAGAAGCGATCTCCGCAAGCACCTCCGCCTCCGCCTCCACCCGACACTAAATTGCCGATTGGTGTCCAGACTTAGAAGATGAAGCGATCCCCGCCCCTCTTCCGGTTGACAACAATGAACCTGAGTTTACATAAAAGAGATCACCTTGGAAATGTGGATCCATAGCCAATATTAGAATCATGGACGACACAAACGTCAGCATTATATTATTATTATTATATGGTTGACAAACTCTCCGGCAATACTAGAAGTAAACTGTGAAGTAGAAATACAATCTAATAGTGATTAAATCCATAAACAAATGTGTATACACATTTATGTACATGTAAATGTATTGTGTTCTTTAACTGCTAAACGAAATAAATGATCCCAACTTGAAATGTGAAAAGATATTAGGAAAACTGTAAATACAGGGTGACACAAAAATGCCACCCACTTATTTTAAATTAATATAGGAATTTTATTAAAGATGATTTTTAAGTATACAGTAGATGAGTGTTTAATGGAAGAAAGATTGGTATGCTTGCATTGCATCAACAACTTTGAGATTTTGAGATAAAAACGTTTTCCATCCAAGTATGCAAGTGATTTTAGACGGTAATATCTTTCACTGTGAGTACTTTCTGACCATAAATACGGTGCTTTTTATTTAAACAATATATCTTTTCTTTCGAGTGAAGTCCCTATGCAAGTAAAATATCAATCCATCTCTCTGTATAATTATTTTCTAAAAAGAGGTTCTTGTTTTTCTTAATTTAAACATATCAAAAGTTTCTTCTACAATATGTTAACAATTCCTGAAAAGGGGATGGCGTTTGAAGTGCGCTTAGTTAAAAACCACATATCCCATGTTATTTTCCCAAATGGAAAACTCATGACTTCCAAACCATTTTGAAGACGTTTTAGACCCCTTGTTGAATAATCTTTTCATCAACTAAAAATCAGAAAAAGAAGTTCCTCGTTTGAGTAAATAGGTTCAACATTTTGGAAAATTGTTGACATGGGTCCCTTTTCATAAATTGTCGAATTGTTTGATTTATATTTTTATCATCATGGGGACTTCGCTTGAAAGAAAACATTGTTTTAGTAAAAACCATTATATTTATGCCAAGAAAATACTCGTGGTAAAAGCTATGACTGTCTAAAATCATTTGCAATACGTTACATGGTCCTTTGATGAACTGACTCGCGTTTTGGGTATATTTTAGAAAAGATAGATTTTCTCATTTACATTTTTAATGATTTTGTGTCAGAGCATGCCTCCGGGAAAAACGAGATACCTCTCAAGTTGTTTATGCTATTCAAGCATACCAATCTTTCTTCCATTGAACATATTCTATCTACTCATAAAAAACATGAAGATTCCTTAATTATTAAGAAAGTTATTCCAAAATAAGTTGGTGGGATTTTTTACCCTTAATGTATTTGTGGCCGTTTCGAAACACTAATAATAAACCTAGAAGTTTTTGCAACATTATTTTGAATGTTCTAGGCCTAGTATTTTTCTTGGAGACTACAACTTGGATGATGTTGAATTACGCGAACTCACGAGAACGGAGAAAGATTCATCGCAATTTCAGTTCAAGGATATCCCGCTTTGAAAGAGCTCTTACTTACCTGTTACTCACTTCGAGAGCCATGTTAGATTTTGAAACTTATGGCTCTCAAACGGGGAAGTGAACAGCATTAAAAAAATCTGAAGCCGGTCAAAACGAGTTCAAGAAAGGTATGTAAATCAGCAAAATCAAGGTGGTTTGAAAATGCCTTCAAATGTTTCAACTTTAAACTCACGACTCACGTCTAAAACGTATGTTGCATACAATCGAGGTGTTCACTGACAGATTTGGGAGGTGGGCAGCAGAACATTTTTTGCTCAAAAAATGTTCAGGCCTTCAAAATTAATTACGTTTTTCTGAAATGTCATGATTTTCAGCCCTCTCCAAACCTGTTTTTCAATGTTTGTTGCATCAATATGTTGCGTTTACATCTCTCAAAAAAGTACCCAAAAGTATGTAAAAATGTACTAATTAATATTCTTAGACATCTTTTGTATGGTTATGTAGCGAAAAAAGGTAAGTTTTTTCCAAAGTACACAGTTTTTAGTTCAGTCTTGCCTTTTGGATGCTTTAACCTTTTTTACACCACATCCAATGTATCACCCTTGTGTATCACGTTCGACGGGATGTGCATTGAATTTAGCACTTTCCTCCCTTTCGTGTCTAGTATCTAGTTCGTTTCACTACAGCTCCCCGGACCAGCGTGATCTCAGGTCGTTCCACATCTAGCACTATCCACAAATAAGTTAAATTCAGTGCCATTTACATAGTTGTCACCTTGCGTTCTTTTGACATTTCTGATTTTTAAATCCTGCCACATTTGTACCATACAATTATATTTTGGTTTTGTCTGACGAACAGTTCGCGCATGTGTCTTCCATTTTATTCTCCACCTTGACCGAGGTAATTTGATTTCAAATCAATATTTAAAAAACAAATGATATCCGTTTAAAATCAGCCTCTCATATTCTATTTCAGACATTGTATCGACTTTTAATTTTGATTTCATTGATGACGACATTAATTTAGTCAGATGGTTTATAACATGAGTTCTTTATAACCAGGCATTACAGCTTAGGTTTAACCACTCTGCAGTAAGGCCATTTTGACAGGATGTTGGTTAAAGGGCTGTTTGTCGTGGTTCTCCTCGTAGCAGTAGCTGTGGTAAGTAATACAAAATTTCATTAAATATAATTCATTGTAATTACATTTTGCAACAGAAGATCGTATCTTTTTACATTGATATCAGCGAAGTGAAATGCAAAAATGACAATTTCGAAAAATGAGCGAAAAATCCGTAGATATCGAATATACTTCATTTAGTTTTGTAACCTGAAATATTATTGCAATTATGTTTCCTTAATTTTCTCTTAATGTTTTTCCAATGTCACTGTGAATGTATTGTCTCCAAAAAGATCCCTAAAAATCAACGTGCAAAACTGTAAATTATATTATTACAAATGGATGTTAAATCTATGGCTAAAAAATATGCTGGAGTAAGTAATTTTTGGGATGAATAGACATCAAAAGAAATTGTATGAGGCCACAATATAATTAAAAAAACAATTGTAAATGTTGGTCTATAAATCTGCTTCTATACTTCTATAAATTCTTGTGTTATTTTACTTCTGTATAGATTGTACATGGAAGCGATGAGAGAAGGAGGCGTTCCCCACAATTTCCTGAAAATGACACGAAAGAAGGTGATTCGAGAAGGAGGCGTTCCCCACAATTTCCTGAAAATGACACGAAAGACGGTGATTCGAGAAGGAGGCGTTCCCCACAATATCCTGAAATAGACACGAAAGGCGCTGAAGGGAGAAGGAGGCGTTCCCCACAATATCCTGAAATAGACACGAAAGGCGCTGAAGGGAGAAGGAGGCGTTCCCCACAACCGTCAGATGCAGACACCGGTGAAGTGTCCGATACTGTTCAAGGAAGAAAGAAACGATCACCGCAGTGGAAAAAAGGACCTAAAACTAGAAGAACGGACGGAACAGACAGTGGATGATAATAGTTTAAGAGGCAAAGCGCCAATGACTTTTCTCGTGACAAGAGCAGAAATGTTTATGTTCGTTTGAAAAATAAAAGTCTCAATCTGTATAAAGTGTTTCTGTGTTTGTTTGAAGTAATCAAAAACGTATTTTAACGTTCTAGGGGGCCATTGTTAAGTCAGTTATTGTAAAATCAATTTATCCTTAAATCATTTGCTGAATCTAGACAGAGCATTTTCTCAACGCTAAACACCGAATGACTACAATAAAACTTTGAACAATTACTCAGATGCGAGTAGGTAGTTACCAGTTTCGCCACCAGGTGGCTGATTCGGGGGAAATAACATGGCAGGGTATTACAAAATTCCCTTAAACTTGAATATTTATCAGTTTTAGTGGTTCACTTTTCATATTACCCTTATGTATCTGATAGTTATACAAATTAAAATATGTCCAGTAAAAGAAAATATTATCTGCCCAACACAAGAAAAGATATTTCCCTTTTTGTAATTTTACAACATGGGGGCTATGGGGAATCTCCCCGACCTAGAAGTCACATTTTCAAAGAAAATTAAAGTTTCAAAGTTGATAAACTCTTTTCAAAACCATATTTCTAGATGTAATTTTACATGTACATTCCAAATATGACATCAATTTGACTGAATTTTGAATTTTTAATGACTTAAATCAAGATTATTTCTACTCGCATCTAGGATATTTAAAAGAATCTTGCTACCGGCCATGGATATGGTGGAGTTATAACAGGAAGAAAGCTATGGGCTTTGGGTTTTCGTTTAAAACAAAAATTTTGTTTATGACCCCAGTTGATTTTAATTAGAGGAAATGGGGAAAGGGGAGAGATAGTGATTTGACAATAATTTATTGCCATGATAGCCTATAAATCGTTTGAATAGTGTCATAAATGTGAAAATCCAACCGTCAGAGCGTTGTTGTGATTATCCAAGTGTTCAGGCTCTTGCCCGGATGATCCAAGTATCTCGGGTACATTTATTTTAACAGGTCCGAAAAGGAGGAGGGAAAGTATCGCAACAGATTTCGGACAGTCATATGTTTGATTTTGGCTATTTTCTGAGGATTTAAACAGATACATAATATGCATATGTTAGACCAATGCATTACCTCCAGGAATAGCACTCCTAGAGATGATAAAATAATTTCGACTTTGAGACAGGGAAGATGCAAACAACCACTTGTTTTTTTCTGAAATGTTTTCCTGATTTTCAACCCCTTCCACCCCTGATTTTCTAATTTTTCTTGCATCAATATGTTGTGTTTTGACACACAATTAATTCCTTAAAGGAATAAGTGATTCCCTTTAGATAAAGTGGAAAACAATATTTCCCATGTTATTTTCCCATAATCCATCACTCTTAAAAATGAATTACTTGAGTATTTCCCAAGTATTTCCCAAGTATAAAAATTACTTAAAGTTAAATACTTAGTTTTACTTCATTTTACTTAGATTTAACTTATATTGTCATTTTGAGTTTTTTAATTGCTTAATTATGTAAATGAGTATTACAATTACTACAGTAAGTATTTCAATTTCTCTCCTTGCATTAGTAAATTCACCATAAATGAATTACTTAAAAATTACTTAAAAATTATTCAGTAGTTCAAGATTATTTAAGTAATTTTTGACTTAAAATGAGTAGTACAATTTCTCAATATAAGGAAATCCAAGTAATAATTTTAAGAGTGATTGCTTTCAGCTAACCAACGAATTCGAAGGAATCACTTATTTTTTTAAAGGTGTTAACTGTGTGTCAAAACACATTTGCCCCAATGCAGTTTTTCACGAATTTGAGAGAAAGCTGTTTTTCGAAAACTACTTTCTGAATAGTTGTGCAAATTGTGGTAACATGATTATGATGAAAATCTACCAAGTAAATCATGATCAAGTCTACCTAACTGAACTTGAATTGAATTATTCAAATTAATCTGAATTGGAATTTGTTATATCTAGATATATGATGTGTGAAACCAAAATCAAGTTGATTGTTGATTAAAGCATTTTTGGCACTAAAAACCATTTTGAAAAAAAACAATTTATTATAAGATTTAAACCCCCTAGATCACCTTGACCTCAATTTGACCTTTGTTGACTTAGTTCTTTTGAAAATTAATTATACACTCAAAACATATGACAAAAAATGTCTCAATCTCGTATAGACATGCTTCCCCTACCCCTCATTTCATATATTTTAGAAGTATCAATACTTTGCTAATTATGGTATTTTACAATGAAGACAATTTCATGAAAATCCACAACTACTCCCACGCAAGTCAGCAAGACGGCCATTTGACATCCGACCAAGTTCCAACCAGTTTTTAATTAATTGGCTGTTTCCCCCTCTAAATTGGCAATCTAACGCATTGGCCACGATATTTTAGAAGAATAAATAATGAATTGGTAAACCAATGGTATCTAGAAATAATTCTGTATATAGTCTTATGGTGTCATATTGTTATATTCTCCAACTTTTTTTTAAGGACCTGTTTGGCGTTCCATGGATTGTGCCCTGTTTTTAGTTTCTCTGCTTCTTGGATTATGTGCTAACAAGAGAATATACATTTTTCCTGCCTCTTCAGCTCTTGAACGTGCGAATTTGATAAGACAATCAATATTTCATTTCATCTGTTGTAAAATATAGAACGGCTATACCCTGTTCTGATTGGTCAGAAAGTAACATGCGTGGAAATAAATTTACACAATGAACAATCACAAAGTACAATCACAAAAATCCTACAATGCGACAGCGTTTATTTTACCTATTGATTTTGTATCCTATTGTGTCTTTTCATAACACCTTCAACCAACAAATTCGATTAAATAATTAGATGATTTGAAACATTATCTGCCAAGACAAATACAGCCCCTCTTGAACCAAGGAAATTGTTGAAACCAAATACTTAATCCATGTTCATAACCATATAATTAATTATTACTTACCGCCGATTGCAAATATATTTTATATCTTTAATTTATTCACAGTGTGGTGTCCGCTCATCCGCTGATCATTATTTCAACATATTTGATTTCAAATCAACATCTCTGCCGAGGGCCTCTACACCCCCTGCAAAAGTTTGGCAACCACAGGTTCCCTTTTGGATCACGTGTTAAGGCCTGTTATGTTCGGTAATTTCAAAAGATGCATCATTCTGTCATAAATCTTTTCAGACATATTGCACTGTACAGAACATTTAAAGAGAGAACCAAATCTAGAACACAAGGTGATCAAAAATTGTTTCAATTTCAAAATAGTTTTGGTTCATATCATTCCTTGTCAGGTCTAAAAATCCCCAAAAATGTATATTTTATTCAAGGAAAACTTCAAATTTTTATGATGTAATTTTTAATGTAATTTTTCTGTTTTTTTATTGTTACCATTTTTTATTTGGGAGAATTTAAACATTTTTTCCTCATTTTCGCAGTTTAAATCCTTAATAACTTCATCAATTTACAACATATCGCGGATCTTTTGGGAGATATTGTATTTGAGATCAAAAATATAATAGATTGGTCAATTGTACACGTCGCTTCTAATTTTGCTACCCCTATAGATCTAATAATGTTCTGATATAAACAGAAATAACAGGGCTGTCAAATTATGACATCCGATTGGCAAACTTATTGCGGGAGTGTAATAACAATATACCACATGGTGTCAATAGTTAGAAAATTGATTTTTTATTTTATCGAAGAAGATGCATGGTCAGTTTTTTAGAACCAGATGTCTTAACCTAAGAGAACATCTTTAGCACTTCGACTCTGCAATTAGAAGGCCATTGGACACAATGTTTGTCAGAGGATTCGGTTTGGTGATTCTTGTCGTTGTCGCGATTGTAGTGAGTATTGTTCAGTGTTTGAAAATATATTTGGGTTATTGCATGTAATATTAATAATGATATGTACTATTTCAGGTTGTCATATAGTTTGGATGATTTTAGTTGCATATATTGCCATTGATATTAGTTCTGCTTCTTCTGGTTTTTGTCGCCGCACTTGTGCATAGTAATCGTTTTCAGTTAGATTTAGAACTTTAAGATTAGATTTAGAATTTTAAATAAACATTTTTTCTTAAGTTAGACCTCATCTAAATTGAGTTGACAAAAGGTCAGTAAAATATTCATTTAATGGAATTGTTATATACATTTTACAAAACAGTGCGTGTTATTTCTATTCTGCATTTTCAAACAATGCGTCAGGTTATGATCAAAATTGAAAATAAAGGGCCATGTGGGGTGTGGCAGAGAGTACTCAGGGTGAAAGATACGACCGCCTAAAATCTCTTACCATATCTCACATGGACCTTTTATTTCTTTGTTTTTGATTGATTTTTGGGTTTGCGTCCGACCACCGACCATTACAACCGAACAGGCATGATCACTCTCCACAGTTCGGTAAGCGTGGTCGGGTTTCGGCTGTCGCTCTTTTACATAAGGATGAATACCAAGGAGGATTGGCTCCCAGAATCGAAGTCGATATTTTCCAACAATGAAAACGCCGAGATGTCGTTATTTTCTGAAATTATAACCGATTATAAATTCAAAATAAACAGTTCAAAAGATTCGAACCAATATCTCGATCATTTCCTGTGAGTTTTGGAATTTTTCGTTAGGAAATAAGACCAAAATTCACGATTCAAATGTTGAAGTTAACAAAATGGCGGCTGTTGGAATTCAAATTTTGTAGCACGACATGCCCATATATGGGACAGAATATCGATGTTGCACTCTGGGAGCCAATCCTCCTTGGATGAATACTTAATATTACATTGTGTTCAGTAATCACTATGACAACAACAAATCATTATTATTAGAAATACATAATTATCATTAAATATAGGCCTACGTTGAATTTAGTAAAATATTAGGATAGATTCCCATAGTCACGATAGGTTGGCAGATCAGGAACCTAAGTGTTTGCTTGCCTTTCATTTTAATCATTTTAACTTAATTGAAAAGAAAACGTTGCTACATTGAGAGCTTTTTTGTCATTGACGTATTCCTCGGTCTTGAAATATGATGTCTCTCCTGAAATACCGCAGTAAACCTTGACATTTCTCTCTTTTTGTCCTGTGGTATTTCTCTTGTTCAATTTATAATAGGCTAGATCTCGTCGGTTATGTTATTTTGATCTCGATATCTATTTTATTGTCAACTGCTATATCAAAGAAAGATTTACAAAGGATCACGAGTTGTATGGATTTCAATGGGAAATTCCTCCAAGAGAATATTCTAGGGATTAAGAAAGGTGAAGAAGTAAGGATTACACAATTTGAGAAATTATTGGCGTATGTAAAACCCATTTATGACAGCATTTATCTTATTCAAAAAAGTTGTATTAATGATTCCCAGAAATCTGAAGTTTGAAAAATAAAAAGACCATGGGTGTTAATTCATGGATTATCTTTGGAAATGAGGTATGCTTTTTGGATTATATTGTGTTATCTTATGGCCAATAAAACGTTTTATTGTGTATCGATGATTTTAGATGAAAACATAAGCAAAAACGATTCATTCTACATACAACTCGCGGTCCTTTAAACCAAGAACTTTGAATACATTTTAGGTAGCCTTACTAACTAGAATCCACTATTTAAGGTTTACCTAGTTAAGTGGGAGGTAGCGATCTAAAATAGGTTGTGTTCTTATTTCCGATAGATTGTACATGGAAGTGAAGAGAGACGGAGGCGTTCCCCACAACTTCCTGAAAATGACACTAAAAGTGGTGACGTCAGAAAGCGTGAGGCTCCCCCACCTCCACCAGACAACAAAATGACTAGTGATGGTCCAAATGTTGGTGAAGCAAGGAAGAAACGATCACCTCGATGGAAGTGGGGAGGAGTTTCTACGAGGATGCTCGAGCCTGAACAAGAAAAGAAGTGTGAGACATTAGAGGCTAAACTAAGAAAATGCGAAAAGAAGTGTGAGAAATTAGAGGCTAAACTAAGAAAATGCATCCAAGGTTGATTATAAAGCAAAATAAATAAATTTGAAGTGAACACTTTGCTCTTTAAAACTGAATCATGTTGTTTAATGTCTTTGGCAAGTAAAAATACTAGATAGTTTATTACAATCGAATCAAACTGTAACTGCAGTTTATATGGGCTTATTATCCTTTGGCAGATTATTGACATAGACATAGACACTAAAACAGTCCTGTATCACCTGAAACAGTGGGATCATTACGACAGGGTTTGTCTGGGAACATTTAACATAGGGTTGGTCTGGGATCATTATGACAGGGTTGGTCTAGGATCATTATGACAGGGTTGGTCTGGGATCATTACGACAGGGTTGGTCTGGGAACATTAAAACATTGGGTTGCTCTGGGATCATTATGACAGGGTTGGTCTAGGATCATTATGACAGGGTTTGTCTGGGAGCATTATGACAGGGTTGGTCTAGGATCATTTTGACAGGGTTGGTCTGGGAGCATTATGACAGGGTTGGTCTAGGATCATTTTGACAGGGTTGGTCTGGGATCATTACGACAGGGTTGGTCTGGGAACATTATAACATAGGGTTGGTCTGGGATCATTTTGACAGGGTTGGTCTGGGATCATTACGACAGGGTTGGTCTGGGAACATTTAACATAGGGTTGGTCTAGGATCATTTTGACAGGGTTGGTCTGATATCATTACGACAGGGTTGGTCTGGGAACATTATAACATAGGGTTGGTCTGGGATCATTATGACAGGGTTGGTCTAGGATCATTATGACAGGGTTGGTCTGGGATCATTATGACAGGGTTTGTCTGGGAGCATTATGACAGGATTGGTCTGGGATGATTATGACAGGGATGGTTTGGGGTCATTATGACAGGATTTCCCTTGGGTCATTATGACAGGGTTGGTCTGGGAGCATTAGGACCGTGTTGGACTGTTGGTCTAGGATCATTTTGATAGGCTTTGTCTGGGATCATTTTAACAGGGTTTTTCTAGGATAATTTTGACAGGGTTGGTTTGGGAGCATTGACAGGATTGGCCTTGGAGCATTATGACAGGGTTGGTCTTGGAGCATTATGACATTATGACAGGGTTGACATGAGATAATTATGATAAACTTTTACATTGTCAGGTTTGCTGATCAAGTTAGGCTTATAAAATTACACAATACAATATTACTGTGTCTGTAATAGCCACATTTTATTTTATTTACAATATTTACTGACACAATATACTTCTTTACAGTTGCTCCTTTAGATAATTATAGATACCAACATTGTTATGATTGTGATACCTGCGTCCCTACTTTCCAAGGCAAACGGCATATAGTGAAATGAGGTCTTGTAAACTGGAACGAGATACCAAGAGTATTATATGACATCATATCGTGTATAACAATGTACTGTACTTGTACTCAATTTTGTGATACTTATTTTGGCAGATTTTCTGTCTTGAACATTCGGCAGCTACTTAATTTGGCAGACTGGCAATATTGCAACGCACTAATGGTACTAATTTACATGGTACTAAAATTAAAAGGGAATTTGGCGGCTTCTTAATTTGGCAGAAAATAAAAATGGCCACAATATTAAGTAGAGATACAGTATACAGTACTTGACAATACGTTTACTGACATTTGCTCTGGACACACTCTAGGTTTCCAATAGACTTATGTCAAATGAACAAACCAAATTAAGCCCCAATTATTTCAATTTTGGGATAATTTTCAAATTTCTCTGGTTTTCCCTCAGAGTAGGGATTGCAGGTTTTATAAAAAAAATAAAGACGCTTTCATAAATCATTTTCGAGTTCCAAAAAAATTCTTCAAAATACATTTTCTTAACTTTGGTCCCAATTGCATGACTTGTATATCAAAATATGATCAAATCAACTACTAGAATATAGTAGATGCACATCTTGCTTGCACACTTAAGTGTCAAAATGTGGTGTTATACTTTAAAGCTACATGTACTGAAAATACAAAATTACATCCAGAAATGTGTTTTAAAAATTGTTTATCAAATTTGATATTTGACATTTGAAATTATACATTTGATATATAGCCACCTATGTAGTTGGAACTGATTATTTTGCATGAAAACATATTATTGATAGACTGTTACACCCATTTGAGCTGAATTTGCACAAACATTACAAACCCTTACATTTCTCATATTCAAAGTGAAATCATTGTATATGTAGATGTCAAATATTAAAATGTAAGTCTTCTAGTCTCCAAATAGAAAGAATAGTTCATAAATAAATAAAATTCTTAGTTTTTGATCTTCTTTACAAATAGTAATTCGGTTGACGATATAACATGTTGACAATATTTCACTGAACTTTCAATTCCAGTCAACAGCAACATAGAACAATAATCATTGTGGTACATGTATGTATTCACGAAGGCCATAAGAAGGAGATATTTGTTTGACATCCAACTTAAGTCCAAATCAGTCACAAGACTATCATCTTCCACAAAATTCTGACATTTTTTGGAACTTTCTAGTTTATAGTGATTGATGTCATGAATCTATTCAATTATGCCTTTGATTCTTACACAGAACCACAGGATAGTCTCATCTGACATCATATGATATTCGGATGTTGTTTTTCTAATTTTTCTAAACCTTAAACACGTAAGGGGATGTAAAACAAAGAAATCCACTTCTTATGGCATACCTGAATGACCTGATAATCAAACAGAAATAACATTCACAAGACTGTTATGACCCTGTATCAATCCAAATCTCAATCTCCACATTCCATTCCACAGTCACAGCAGGGCTATGAGGATGATCAACTACATCTCTCATGTACCTTGTACGTTATAGTTCTGATTTCAACTCATCTGTTATTCTATATTTCATCTCATTCAAGTTTGACTTGAGATATTCACATAAAATATCACTTTATTATTTATTACATGCAAATAATCAATATATATATCGGATATATTCACAACATTTAAATACTCATACAAACATGCATATGTAAAACATTTCTAGCCTGGGGAACGGGCAATGAACACAGCAGTCAGTTAATGCCCATTTTATACCTTTACCAGTACATAACAACTGAACCAACATTGGCCCTAGCAACTGAACCAATTACAATTCACCTAGCCTTAGTCCAGAATGTGTCAATATTCAAACCCAACTGAAATTGATTGGATCTGCATCTGATCATTCTCTGCTTGATATGAATTTGATTTAATTGGCAGAAAAAATGATGATACAGTAAACAATCATACAAATTACTAAAGATCAAAGTTCAGATCAACCTTTACTATTGAGAACAACTGAGATGCTCTGCTTGTAAAGAACGATATTTGTTGTAAATAGCCTTGAGCTTTGTCCATATATTCAGCAATCTCTTCAGCATTAGATCAACTTGGTCTCCAAAATACTTAAAATTAGGATTTAGACCCTGTTTCAGGTAAATCCAGGTGAAATCCCTACTTTCATCTTCAGTTGTTTCAAGATTCCACTTTTAATCTAATATCAAATCCAATCAATATTCAACTTTATATTGACTACATCACACTTAAGGAAGCACTTCTACGACAATACAGGAGGTATTTGAGATTATGGCACTATCCTAGCATATATTCAAAGATTCATTAAAAATCTAAATTAAGGCCAATAGTAAACCAAATATATATCTCACAATCACGTTGTATTTGCTAAAAAGGACAAAATGCAGGTCACTCAAAATCACCACTTTAATACTGTATAGAAAATCTTAATTTATCATTTCAATCAACTTCATCAATGTATGTACCAGGATAGGGTCATAAACATAGAATGTTGTTTTAAATGTCTGTGTGAGAATTATTCATAGTCAAGAGACATAAAATCATTTAATTTCTTAATGAGTTCATGATGTCCCATACAAGTGCTTTTTAGAGTAATAATATCGGCCAGATAAATCCTATATGCACACTATACAGTTCCTTTCTGTATATGTTAAAGTCAAACTATCAATGATTGTTTTCTGCGAAAGCTAATTTAATGAAAGCCCAGACCACCCTCTTGTTTCTGTTAGTTAAACACTCAATGTTTTTTCTATAACAAAACCTGGATGTTTACCCCCCACTAATTTTATTAGTTTCGCCAAAATGTTACATTGATATTTGACCAAGACCTTTATACAGAGACACAATTCACTACACTGCTGATAACGATCAATATTCACGAGTTCTCAAAAGCTACGATATTGTAGAATAGTGTCTGGGTGGAGAGCCTCCTATAATATCACGCAACAGGAATTTGTTTTCTTTGCCTAGAAATAGAAAATAATGCAATATACAGACGCAGACAATACAAATAAACATATGAGTTATACATGGAAAATCCAACACAAGCATTGTATCGTTAAAGCAAATTTTTGAGATTACGAGCTTGAGGTATCAGAATCTACTTTTAATAACCAATCTGTCAGTAAACAGTATATAGTCTTATATATGTATTGTATCTATTCCCTCGTTGTGTATCTAAATATTGTATTTTCGCCAAATGTGGTTGAAGGGAGCAAGACTAATTTCACTAAAGAGGTCAGACACCTGCACGAGTGTAATGCAGAGGCCAAGAACAAGATTGTTTTGAACATGTCTAGCTGATTATGCTGCGTCTATAGGAAAATAGCATTGATAACTCCTCCATAATTCAATTTGACCTTCAATCCTCGTGATGCATCCTGCAGGCTGTCTTTGAAAACTCAGTATGTGATATTACTCTATCGCTAGATATTAAACTTTCGTACTTACTGTTTTATAAAAAGCTTTGGACTGTGTGCTGAGACCCTCTGACTTGTCCACTAAGTCATCTAATTTCTCCCCTCTTTGTAATACTGCATCTATAGTGTTGTGCTGAACAATATAAAGAAGTACTTTTAATTTAAAGTGACATTTATCTCCAAAAGTAATATATATTTATACAAAGTTATGGAAAGTTACTTTAATTATAATTAGAATTTTTATAACATATCTATTTTCATTAACATCTCTTAAACTGAATTTCAATTACACACTTTAAATCGAAAATTCACAAAATACTTACTAAAATAATTTTTGTTTCATCTAAATCTGCCATGATTTTTGTCATTGCGTCCGCTTCCTTGGGATTCTGATACTTTGCCAAAAACTGACTGCACTGGGGAAAGTCTATACTACTGCAAATAGAACACAATAACATCAAAAATTGCAAAAAGAGAACCATAGTAGACTGTTACCACATGGGCCCTAGGGTCTTGACTTTGTATAATCCGAGAATTAGATAAATGTTTTCTTATTAGATAAAGGAAAATGTGCAATTATTGGCAAATATCCCTATGGGCAAAATGAATCATTCGTAGGTGTAACATGAAGAATAAAATGTCATATAATACTTTGGAAAATATTAAAGTGCTCAGACACACATAAACTGAGATAGGGATCATTTCGTTCAATAAGCTTGTATTGACTTACATGGGGCTGTGCACTTTTGACTTAACATGAGGATATCAGCAGATCCCAATAGAGGCCATTGGTTTCCATTGATTATCACAGAAATACCAAAAATACACTATGACCTGAATCGATTGCAAACTTAATAATTTCACAATACGACACAAATGGTTTATCTCATCAAATGTGCAAATATGAAGTTTGCAATCGATTCAGGTCATACTTAAAATTAAAAGATTGTACATTTTTCATCATTTTTTTCCCTACAAAATGGCTATAGAAAAATGCTCCAAAAACAACTTTTACACTTATCAAATATCATACAAGTTTGTAAAACCAAAGATTATACTATTATATTTCATTATGTAGTAACATATTTGGATAAGATGCAGGGATGCGTAGGATGTAAATGGATTTTGACAGACACAAAAATACTTCCTGGTTTGGAATCTATGCCTCTACACTTCATGATTGAATTATGACCCTAATAAGTGGCCTATTCATCAATGCAGTGCTGAATATAGGTCAACAAGATACTAGTGTGCATATAAATATAACTAGAGATTTAAGATTGCAAGCAATCTTACGGAGGCCCTGTAGGCGTTTTTGGCAATTTGAAGGTCAGCCAAAGGTCAAATCTCAAATCTAGGGTCATATACTAACACCAGGCAACTTGTAGATGATTTTTAAAAAGAGGTTTGGTCAATTTGAAGCAAGTTGAAATTTAGTCTTGAAAAGTTTGGAAATTTGACCTTTTTTCAGTTTTTGAGTCCTAATATCTCAAAACTGGTACACAATTTTAATAAATAGTCAATTGCTAATATGTGAAGAAACTATAGAGGAATATATATCCTGACTTTCATTAAAAAATATTGATTTGTAGTCACCAAAACTTAGAAACTTCGAAAACACAGTTGGTGATTTAATTTGATGACCTTGACCTTTGATCTTGCAAATTTTACTTTAATTCACCTCAGTAGCTCTTTTGTGATCAAATATACCTAAATTTGAATCCAGAAAATCGATTTAAAAAATCAACTTTTTTTCCCTTCCGAAGGTCACTGAAGGTCAACCAAAGGTCAAGGGTCAAAAGTAAGGTCAGATTTAAATTCCTGAGATCCTGCAGATGCTTTTTAAAAAAAAGTTTGGTCAATTTAGAGCAAGTTGAAATTTAGTCTTGCAAAGTTTGGAAATTTGACCTTTTTCCAGTTTTTGAGTTCTAATATCTCAAAACTGGTACACAATTTTAATAAATAGTCAATTGCTAATACGTGTAGAACCTATAGAGGAATATATATTCTGACTTTCATTTAAAAATATTGATTTGTAGTCTCCAATTTTGAGAAACTTAGAAAACACAGTTTGTGATTTCGTTTGATGACCTTGACCTTTGACCTTGCAAATTTTACTTTTTTAGACCTCAGAAGGTCTTTTGTGAATAAATATACCTAAATTTGAATCCAGAAAATCGATTTGAAAAATCAACTTTTTTTACCTTTCGGAGGTCACTGAAGGTCAACCAAAGGTCAAAGGTCAAAAGTAAGGTTAGATTTGGAATCCTGAGAATTTGTAGATGAGTTTTAAAAAAAAATTGGTCAATTTGAAGCAAGTTGAAATTTAGTCTTGAAAAGTTTCGAAATTTGACCTTTTTTCAGTTTTTGAGTTCCAATATCTCAAAACTGGTACACAATTTTAATAAATAGTCAATTGCTTATATGTGTAGAACCTATAGAGGAATATATATCCTGACTTTCATGAAAAAATATTGATTTGTAGTCTCCAATTTTGAGAAACTTAGAAAACACAGTTTGTGATTTAGTTTGATGACCTTGACCTTTGACCTTGCAAATTTTACTTTTTTAGACCTCAGTGGGTCCTTTGTGATCAAATATACCTAAATTTGAATCCAGAAAATCAATTTGAAAAAACAACTTTTTTACCTTTCGAAGGTCACTGAAGGTCAACCAAAGGTCGGAGGTCAAAAGTAAGGACATATTTGAGTTCCTGAGATCTTGTAGATGATTTTAAAAAAAAAATCTGGTTCATTTGAAGCAAGTTGAAAAATGACCGATTTTTGCCGATTTTTGACGTCAAATATCTCAAAAACGGTAAAAAATTAACGCGTACATATCGTGAGCAATTTGTAGAGAATGCTTATATCTAGTTACATTTTAATTCATCGCAAGAAATAATGAAGTATGAGGACGAAATCTGAGAAACTTAAAAAAAACTTTGATTTGACCTAGATTTTGACCTTTGACCTTGACCTAGATAAAAATTCCTTTCCCCTTAAGTTCAACCTAGGTCCCTTGTAGGTTTATATAGTAGATAGTTGAAATCTAGTTGGAAGTAGGAGAAAAAGTGCGGAGAAGAATAAATAATAACTAGACTTTGGAAATTGAACGAAGTTCAATTTCAGACTCCAGATCTAGACTTTTTTTTAGCCCAGTCATACAGAATAAGCCGAGTCATCCAGAATAAGCTGAGTCATCAAAATAAGCTGAGTCATCCAGAAAAAGATGGATGGGTGGATGGAATAAGCCTAGTCATCCAGAATAAGCCTAGTCATCCAGAATAAGCCGAGTCATCCAGAATAAGCCGAGTCATCCAGAATAAGCCGAGTCATCTAGAATAAGCCGAGTCATCTAGAATAAGCTGAGTCATTCAGAAAAAGATGGATCGATAAAATAGGAAGGTAGGATAGGACAGAATAGGAAGAAACGATAGGATAGAATAAGAAAGAAGGATAGGATAGAACAGAATAGGAAGAAAGGATATGATAGGAGAGGAAAGGAAGGATAGGAAGGAAAAGATACAAAGGAAGGATAGGAAGGAAAAGATACAAAGGAAGGATAGAAGGAAGGATAGGATAAGATCAGATAGGAAGGATGGATGAATTTTTCAACATTTTCTTCTCTACTCTTGACTTTCTATCAGGATACCATCAGATCGATTTTCCGAAATTTCAAAACGCCATAACTTCCGAACCGGAAGTCGGATCAAAATTCGATTTAAAGATTCGGATTCCTGACAAAATTCTACCCCTAATTCATAACTCATACGTTAAATTTGGCGAATTTTTATTTTGACCTACTTTTTGGACACGCCATAACTTTGAAATAGGAAGTCGGATCGAAATTTGGTTGCAGATTTGGATTCCTGAGAAAATTCTACCCTTAATTCATAACTCATACGTTAAATTTAGAGAATTTTTTATTTTGACCTACTTTTCGGACACCATATCTCAAAAGTGGGTCAAAATACTTTCTGACGGAAAAAGGCTCACACTATTAACACACTCTTTCCTATCTGTATACAAAATTTTGAAGTAAATTATTGAAATGTAGTGTCAGAATCGAAAAAATAAGGAAAACCTATGAATTTGACCTAGATTTTGACCTAGGCATTTTGGTGTCCAAATTTTTATGAAAAGAAGGTCTTGAGGTCCCTTTCTTTGATGGGCTTCCATTATGTTTAGCTGTGCTTAGTCCATATCTCGTATTTTACACTTCAAAAAAATATTTTTTCCCATTGAATTAACATGGGCACCAAATTTAGCGATTTTTGAATTTTCAAAACGCCATAACTTCTGAACCGGAAGTCAGATCGAAATTTGGTTTTCAGATTCGGAATCCTGAGAAAATTTCCTATAAGACTGATATCCTGGACATTGGATTCGGAGAACTATTTTTTGGACCTCGTTTTCGGACACTGATATCTCGAAATCGGTTTGAGATACCAAAAAACTAAATCGACCCTAGCTTTTCTACTTTTTTATGAGGAACACAATGAAAAAAAACCCGGATCAAAAATATTGAAGGACGACCGAGAAAATCGAAAAAAGTGACAAAGTACTGGATTTGACCTAGTTCTTGACCTTTGACCTAGATAAAAATGTGACCCAATTTCCCACCAACTAGATACTGAACCTAAATAAACTGTATAATGGTCTTTACTGGATACCTTATAGTTTCTGAAAAAACGGCTACGGAATAATAAGAATAATAAGAATACTGGCAAAAACAATAGACTCCAGATTGACATCTGGAGTCTAATAATAATAACTAGAGATCTAACGATCTAAGATTGCAAGCAATCTTACGGAGGCCCTATATTCGTTTCTGAACATTCAAAGGCCAGCCAAAGGTCAAATCTCTAATACAAAGTCATATATGAACTCCAGACAACTTGTAGATGATTTTTAAAAAAGGTTTGGTCGAATTAATGCACGTTGAAATTTGACCTTGAAAAATTCTGAAATTTGACCTTTTTTCAGTTTTTGAGCTATAATATCTCAAAACTGGAGCCAAATTTTAATAGATAATCAATTGCTAATATATGTATAACCTTTAGTAGAGGAATATATATTCTGACTTTCATTAAAAAATATTGATTTGTAGTCTCCAATTTTGAGAAACTTAGAAAACACAGTTTGTGATTTCGTTTGATGACCTTGACCTTTGACCTTGCAAATTTTACTTTTTCAGACCTAAGAAGGTCTTTTGTGAATAAATATACCTAAATTTGAATCCAGAAAATTGATTTGAAAAATCAACTTTTTTGACCTTTCGGAGGTCACTGAAGGTCAACCAAAGGTCAAAGGTCAAAAGTAAGGTTAGATTTGGAATCCTGAGAACTTGTAGATGAGTTTTAAAAAAAAATTGGTCAATTTGAAGCAAGTTGAAATTTAGTCTTGAAAAGTTTTGAAATTTGACCTTTTTTCAGT